AACTAATATAATAGGACATAGGTCCATGTTAATAATAATAGCTAGTACTATTATAAGATATATAACCTAGTAATATATACTAAACTTAGAATAGGGCTCGTATATAAAGTCAGCCTAAGCTATAGTAATCGAAGAGTATAAGAAAGTATCCTTAACTATAGCGTATATTAGGAATATTTCTATATATAGTAACTTACCGCTATTAGAGATAAATATCTCATGTTAGAGGTTAAAATTAAAGGAGTTAAGCTTTAGGCGATAGTAGATTCTAAAGCATAAGGGAACTTTATATCTCCTACTATTATACTTAAGTACTACCTATTAATCGAAGTAAAGGATAAGGGATACTATCTAGTACTAATAGATAGTAAAGTCGCCTCTAATAAACTAATTGAAGTCCAGACTATTCTAGTCTATATAAGTATCGCCGGACACTCTGAAATAATCTAATTCGATATCATTAGGATTAGAAAGTATAATATTATCCTAAGGCTACTATAGATAGAAAAGTATAATCCTATTATTAATTAGCAGATAAGAAAACTTAAGTTTAGTTATTACTAAGACTACTATTATCTACTAGGAATAGAAGTAGTAAGTATTCGAGAGGTTAGCGCTACCTCTAAGGAAGAGCTTAGATACTAAGACAAGGGTCTACTAATAAAAGATATACTATTAGTATATAAGAAGTTTATAATACTATTCAAAGAGGAATAAGGTATCGAGGCCTTACCGAAACACTAAGACTACGATTATCAGATCGAGTTAGAACTAGGTACTAAACTAATATTCTAACTACTTAAGGAATATTTAGTAATAGACTTAATAATAATTAAGTAATATATCAATAAAAACCTAGCGAAGGGATTTATCCGAGAGTCTAAATCTCCGTAGGGGAGTAATATCTTATTCGCAGAAAAAAAAGATAGTAAATAACGAATATATATTAACTACTATCGATTAAATAATATTATAAAGAAGGATTATTATATACTACTATTAGCCAAGGAGCTATAAGATAGACTCGTTAGAGCTAAGATTTTCACTTAGCTTAACCTACAAGAAGTATATAACCTCGTTAGGATAGCTAAGAGAGAAGAAGAAAAAACAGTATTTCACACTTATTTCAGTTACTATAAGTATACAGTTATACCCTTCGGCTTAACTAACGCACTAGCTATATTTCAGTATCTAATTAATAATATTTTATAGCCTTACTTAGATATAATATATATATACTATTTAGACGATATACTAGTCTACTTTAAATCAGAGGAGTAATATATAAAAGATATTATAGCTATTCTCTAGAGGCTAGAGGACGCTTACCTATTACTTAAACTAGAGAAGTATAACTTTCATATAGATAAGGTTATCTTTCTAAGCTATATAGTTACTACTATAGGACTAGCTATAGATCCTAAAAAGATTAAAGCAATTATCAAGTAGATAAGGCTTATAAATATCAAGGAAGTACAATTATTCCTTAGGTTTACTAACTTCTATAGGCGATTTATTAAGGACTACTCGAAAATCACTAAGCTACTCACAGAGTTAACCTATAAGGATAAGGAATTCCACTAGTCCGATAGCGCACGAAAAGCGTTTAAAGCACTTAAAGCAGCTTTTATCGCAGAACTAGTACTTACTTCCTTTACCCCTAATAAAGAAATACATATAGAGATAAATTCTTCAGACTACGCTATTAGAGCTGTACTTAGCTAGCCAGGCGAGGATAGAAGATAATAACTAGTCGCTTACTATTCGCAGAAATTATCACTAGCAGAACTTAACTATAATATATATAATAAAGAGTTACTAGTAATTATAGATATAGTACACGAATAGAAAGTCTACCTTAAGGGCGCCGCTTACAAAGTACAGATCCTAACAGACTATAAGAATCTTATTTACTTTATAACTACTAAAGAATTAAACTAATACTAGATTTAATAGTATAAAACACTCTCTACTATAAAACTTCGAATTTCTTATATTAAGGGAACAGAAAACGCTAGGGCCGATACCCTAAGTAAGAAACTAGAATATCTTATAAATAAAACTCACGAATCTCATACTATACTATAAAAGGATAGTAATTCACTAATAGTTAATTACTAATAACTAGCCTTAATAAGCCAAGTTACTAAGAAAATCTAGAAAGATTATACTAATAACCTAGTTATAGCTAAACAGAAAAAGCAACTAAGTAAAGGATTCTCCTTTACCTTAGATAGCATACTTCTATACTAAGAACGAATCTATATACCTACTAGGGATAGGATTAAATTTATCACGCACTAATATAGGCTACTCGCTTATAGATACCAGGGGGTAGCTAAGACGCTATCTAAGCTATCTAGGGAATACTACTTCCTAGGAATAAGGAAGGTAGTTAAAGATATAGTAGCGTTATATGATATATATATCCGGAACAAGGTATCACACTATACTCTATATAAGCTTATAAAGTCACTAATAACACTACCTCGCCTATAGAAATTAATTACTTTAGATTTCATAGTCGAGCTACTACCCTCAAAAGACTTAGTCATAGGAATTATATATAACTTAATCTATATAATAACAGATAAGTTTATAAAGTACATATATATAGTACTAGTACTTAGAACATAGGACACGCCTATAATAGCGTAAGTATTCCTTAGAATAATCTTTATAAGCTATAGAATACTAGATAAGATTATCTTAGATAGAGATAAGCTCTTTACCTCGAAGTTCTAGAAAACTCTTATCACGCTCTTAGGAATAAAGTAGAAAATATTAACTATATTCTATCCTTAGACTAATATATAAACAGAATAAATCAACTAGATAATAGAGACTTATCTTTAGTATTATATAAACTATAAGTAAGATAACTAAGTATAACTACTCCTACTTACCTAGTTTATATATAATAGCGCGGATCAAGAGACTATTAGAGTATCGCTATTCTACGCGAATTATAAGTATAATCCCACGGCATATAACCTACTAATAGCCGGTCAGGGTACCGCGTAAGAAGCTATACTACAAGCAAATAAGCTTAAATAGCTCTATAAAGAATTATCAGCTAATATTCTCTTTATCACGTAGAGATCTGCGATCTACTATAACAGAAAGCGTAGTATAGGACTAACACTTAAGGAAGGAGATAAAGTCTACTTACTTAGAAAGAATATTATAACTAAACGACTAAGTTATAAATTAGATCATAAGAAGCTAAGACTATTTAGGATTACTAAAGTCAAGGGACTAGTTAATTATTAACTAGCTCTACTAAAGATAATAAATATCTATCTAGTATTTCATATATCTCTCCTTAAACTAGTACCGCTAGGAGCACCGCTGGCTCCTATTACTAAAATACAACTAATTAATCCGAACGCCGAATATAAAATAGAGGCTATTCTTAACTATTAGTACTTCTATAGTAAAACAAAATATTTAATCAAATAGAAAAGGTACTTATAATCAGAAAACACTTAGGAACCTAAATCTAACCTCTACTACCCTAAGCTTCTATAGGAATTCTATTAAAGAAATCTAGGTTTACTTAGAAAGAAGAGGACCTAAGGTCAGGGACTAAGCCCTTAGAAAAGGACACTAAGTAAGCGTTAGGTTCAAAAGCAGGGAACTAAGAAGTAAGATTATCCTTAATAGGCTTAGAGGGAGGCGTTAGAGAGTAAGTAGGAGTTACGGTTTTTCTTATCTTAAACTAGTATATAAGTCGTTTAAGAGTAAACTTCTTAATATACCCTAAGATATTATAATTATAATACTTTAAGCGAACACACTTAGAGTATTATTTCGAAATAGATAAATCTAGAAAGTAAGTATAGGAAAAGCTATAGCAGAAAGAATAAGGCTTTACGAGTTACGTAGCACACTTAATATAGAGCGCGAGCTAGATACTCTATTTTTTCTTTATCTAAGTAATACTTGATTTCTTTATAACACTAGATATAATAGATAAGGAAGATAGTCGTTAGTAAACTATTAACGTCCCTTAAAAGTTATACTTAAGTATAAGGACTACGCTAGGCTAAAAGGGAGATAGTATTATAAACCCCTTAGCGCTATAGTTCAGTTAGCACCTATATACTAATAGTACTATCAGTAGTACTATAGGGGCATTAGTACTAACAAAGGAGCAGTGCTATTAATAGGGTAGTACTAACCAGGGAATAATATAGGATAGCGAGTAGTACCGCTATATACTCACGCTTAGTAGTAATAGTTACCTAGATCATAGTAGATAATAAGTCACGTGATAGATCCCTAGATCCCTAGATCCCTTTATAAGGGAACAGATCTAAGGATCTAAGGATCTAGTATCTTAAGGGATCTAAGAAGAACAAAGGTTCTATATAAGACTAGTATATCTACTATTAGATAAGAGCTTCGTGCTTAACTTTAAATAGTATTCTAATACTTAGTAACTATCTTCTGTCTACGTGATACACCTACCTCTCGATTATCAGAGATTAACTGCAGCCTTCTATATTTATAGCAAGTAAATACCAGACTATTATACTTTAAAAGATAGAAGTAGTTTAAGAGGTAAGAATACTATTAATATAGTAAGATATTATAGTTAATTTCGTATTTTAAGTAAGCTCTTATTAGTAGTACTCTGTGAAGGCTTAAGGCTCTTTTAGGAAGTAATTATACTCTCTTAATAAGCTTAATTCAAAGTAGTAAAGCTCTTATTAACTTATAAGTCACTCTTTTATATTAATTCGAAATAAGTAATCTAATTTAAAAGTATTTTACTAATAAATTCGATTAGAATCTTTTACTTTTAATTTAAACTTATAGCTACTCTTTTTATAGCTTAGAACTTTAATAATTTAACTATATTTCTTTGAACTACGACTTATAGTAAAAGTATAACTAGTAATAGTAGCGTAAGCTTATACTATATTAAAAAGAGTATTAAAAGACTTGTATAAACTAGTAAGAAGTAATAAAAGTAGTTTAATAGAAAAAGATATATCTATAAAGGTATTAAAGCTAAGAATAGAAGCTTTAGAATCGATTTAGTATAATAGATAATATAATATCTAGTACAACGTGTCCTATATAAAATTAGTAGTAGCTCGCGTACCGGGCTTACTGCTGACGTTTATAAGTAGGTTAAGTAGAGGGAGTTGTCTCTATATCGTCAGGGGGTCGTCTCTATATCATCCCTCTACAGAACGGTGAGGCGAGATGGGGCGAGATGTGTGTGGGTGGTTGGTGGTGGTGTGTGGGGTAATCCTGGCGTAGATCTATGCAGGGCTTTCCCTGCCCCTCTTCTGAGTTGTTCATTATCCCGCTCAAGAAAAGCCACTGGGAATAAGCTGCACTGCGAACCGCACAATAATCGCCTAAGGAGAGCAGGCCTTGGGCTGGGCCCTTATGTCATGCCTCTCCCTTGATCTTCATCACATCACCGGCCACAACATGTCCTGAAAGGCTGAACGGGGCTTTGATACTCCTCATAGTATCGAGATCTGACATGGAGTCTAGATTGGGCAATGGCCAGCACGGCTGAGAGATATGCGCATAATAGGAGGACTCTTATTCACAAAAGAATGGCGTGATGAGTTGAAATGTTTATCGAATGATCTCCCAGATCCTCTCGATCAGCCTCCATGGAGAGTTGAGACGAAAAGAATATTGTCATTGGATTGCAGGGCGTATGTGGCTTCCCCTTCCAGCTCCCAGTCAGCGTCGTTGATGAGGACCAGGATGCCCGGGCGGCTGGATGCATGAAAGTTGTCAGTGAGTGTGTCCCGATTTGGCGACATGTTTTGAGACAACCTGAAGAAGCGAGGGGACTGGAAACGGTGAGGGTTCTGCTTTGCGGGGGCAGCCATGTAGAGGAGGCAGAGCAACCCTAGACAAGCTGATGCGCAGCATGCAATTAAACGATCGCGATAATGCAACCAGCAGAGGCTGGAGGGTAACGTAGAATCGTTGAGAAGCGGTGTATGGTGACTGCATGGGGAATGCAAAAAATCGAGAAAGTGGCTTACACGTGACCGTCCAATAGGAACATCTCCTTTCTTGTATCCTTCATGAGTTCCTCGCAGAGATAGGCGACTAGCCATCCGACTGTGACCGCGTTTCCCTTGTCGTCTTTGGCAGGGACCTCGATTTTGTGCTTTCGCTCGTCGGAGAAGAGCATTTCAAGGCCGCCACTGAGAGCAGAGTTTAGCGTCGCAACCCCCACGCTTCAGAGCCTGAAAGACACTTACGAGAACTCGACGGTGAGAGGTATCATGGTGTTGGACGTCATACTGGATATGTAGGAGGGCCCAGGGGTGGTGGGAGATGCTGAGCTCTACTTCTGCAAGTAATATCAATGCGATGTCTAGAATGTAGGAACGACGTTGTCATTGGAAGAAGGTGGGCGGTCAGGGCGGTGTGTGGCCTTCTCCCTTAACGTAATTAATCACTTGTAATGTGATGTGATGTCCGTTGGTACCTTAGGTAAGTAGATACTTACTGAGGCAAAAGAAGACTACAACTGTGAGTATATCGCAGGAAGTGATTGTTCTTCTAGCTTCTCTAAGCGTCTTGATTTTATTTCTCCCTAGAAAGTTGTGCACCTACGTTGAGCTTCGCATTTTCAGATACCCTGGTGGTCCCCTGAAGTAACGATAAAATGTTTAGCCGAAAAATCTTCACTCAGAAACATCGTCACTAAACCCCGTGACCAGTCCACACAATATCACAGGCGCAAGATCTCTAGGCTGGTATCGAACGCCAATTATCAGGCGGGCGACTTCAATGAGCTCCTCGAATCGCTTCGTCATCCTCTTTTTGCACAACTATTGAGCTGCTGCCTGGACATGAATTGAAAGATGGCACGAGCCATCGCGGAATATCTGGCGGCAGGGGCTAATCGACATCCCTCTGCGGCAGATTGGGACGTTCTATCTGGAATACTGGCATATGGTGCTGATAGAAATGTTGCATTGTGGCATCCTCAAGTAAGACCTCCCGCCATTCGAGATCTCAAACTTGCGTCCTTGCGCACATGGAAAGACCGAACAGCAACCATCTGCTACAACCAAGAAAATGACTGAACCCAAATAGAATGAAAACTCAAAAGGAGTTCAAACACTTCTCAGCGGCCACACAGACATTGTCAATGCTGTCAAGTTCGTACCTGAGTCCCCAGGTCTCCTCCTCAGCGGCTCGGTGGACAAGACCGTCAAAATATGGGCCAAAGACCAATCTTCCCAAAAGTACACATGCATCCAAACACTCTTAGATCACCAAAGTTCCATCAATTGCATAGGGGTCTCAAGCCGCTCTCCCAAAATATTCGCCACAGGATCCGCAGACTCAACGATCAAGGTGTGGGCTCTGGGTGAGCAGAATGTAGCGTCACTACAGCAAACGATCACTATCTCGCCTCGATTCTTTCCACTGTCTCTAGCTCTCAGCAACTTGGCTGATGCGCTTGATTCCTACGTGCTTGCTGTTGCAGGGACGAAAGATATCATCCAGCTTTACATCCGAGACTCATCAAAAAGTTCGGATTTCAAATTTCAAGCTACGCTAGCTGGTCACGAAGGCTGGATCAGATCATTGGAGTTCACTCAGGAGAGTTTTGATCCAAAGAGTGATCTCATCCTGGCATCAGCGAGTCAGGATAAATACATACGTCTATGGCGGATCCATCAAGGAAAGGAGCTACCTGCCGCAGCAGCAACCGCAGATCCTGCTTTAGGAGCATTCCTACCCGGAAAGTCTCTGTCTAATAAAGCGCATCGATTCAAGGCCGACGACCTGGATTTCTCAGCTACGTTCGAGGCACTTCTACTTGGACATGAAGATTGGATTTACAGTACTCAGTGGAAGTCCACTGGTGGCAAATTACAGCTTCTTTCGGCGTCTGCGGACAACTCACTTGCTATATGGGAATCTGATGAAGCAACGGGAGTTTGGATTACAATTGCACGAATGGGTGAGATTAGTGCGGAAAAAGGATCCACGACTGCAACAGGTAGCACAGGTGGCTTCTGGACTGGTCTGTGGTCTCCTTCGGGTGAAACAGTGGTCTGTCTTGGACGGACTGGCTGCTGGAGGTTATGGGATCATGATCTTGCAGCTGATAGATGGATTCAAGGCGTCGGTATTAGTGGCCACACACAATCTGTGACAGGAATTGCGTGGTCACAGGGAGGAGACTATCTACTTTCCACCAGTTCTGATCAGACAACGAGGCTGCACGCCAAATGGAAGCGAGACGACCTTGTTTCCTGGCACGAGATGGCAAGACCACAAATACATGGCTATGATTTGAATTGCATCGACTCGCTGGGAGCATCGAAATTCGTCTCGGGAGCGGACGAGAAACTGCTCCGTGTGTTCAACGAGCCCAAAGCCGTCGCGAACATGCTAAGTAGTCTCTGTGGATTTTCAAGCTCGCACATAGAGGATATGCCAGATGCTGCAAACATGCCTGTTCTAGGCCTATCCAATAAAGCCATCGAGGCAGTAGACGACGACGAAGAAATTGCACAAGGAAATCCCAAAGATCGCAACGCTCCTAACCCTGCCTTCATCGTCCGCAAATCGACACTCAGCCAAACCCATCCACCTCTCGAAGATCAACTATCACGCCATACACTATGGCCAGAAATTGAGAAACTCTATGGACACGGGTATGAGATCTCAGCTCTGGCCGCCAGCCACGATGGGGCTCTCGTCGCCACAGCTTGCAAAGCAACGTCCATTGATCACGCTGTCATCAGAATCTTCGAGACCGAGCATTGGCATGAAATTAAGCCGCCGTTGACGGCACACTCGTTGACGATTGCGCGACTCAGATTCTCGTCAGATGATCGATACCTGCTCAGCGTCGGCCGAGATCGGCAATGGGCAGTATTCCAAAGAGATGAAGATGAGTCACGCAAAAGAACATATAAATTGGCAGAATCAAATCCAAAAGGGCACTCTAGGATGATCCTAGATGCTGCTTGGGCACCGACTGCAGGAACCGTGTTTGCGACTGCTGGGAGGGACAAGCAGGTAAAGATCTGGGCGAGGGAAGAAGCAAATACAGGTGGATACGTTTGTAAGGCGACCATTGCGGAGGATACACCTGTGACGGCGCTGGACTTCATGAATGTGTGCTTGCCTGATGGCCGAACTTACCTCGCGATTGGAACCGAGGTTGGCCGCGTAAGAATTTACAGTGTGGGCGTCAAGGAGACGTTCTCTGTGATCGAGCTGGCAGTCGAATATCCAAGGTCTGTCCGTTCTCCCCCGTGTGCAAAAGGAATACTGACGAAGCCAAGCCCACATCCATATTCCTCAAAACCTATTACACAACTGGCGTGGAAGCCCACAAGCGGAGAGAAGACCGAGGGTATTGAAATGGAACTTGCAATTGCAAGCGAAGACAGCTGTTTGCGTGTCTACTCTATAAATCTATCTAGCTCTACATAGACACTTTCAGTTCTTATCCAATGCCGGTGCAGTGTTAAATCCTGCACCAGTCTAGGAAAAATAGGTAGAGCAGTTGAAATGCTCATGCTCTGCAGTCGAAGAAGTGCAACCAGATAAACAACCAAGGGGAGATTCCCAACCCACCGCCCGGCTATGAACAGAGTCCAGGATGTGTTGAACGCCGGGCCGATGTTTAATGATGCGCAGACCTATGCATTCCCAAGAGCCGTTGAGGCCTCCATATAGTATCATGATTGATCATTACCGTAACCCAACCCCAAAGAAAATTGCAATGCTATCACATCATTCCTCAAGTTAGTTTAAAAAGTCCTCTTCTCAACACTCTCGGAGCCATAACCTCCAACTCCCCCGTTCAAGTATGCAGTCCCCTCACTCGTTCTCCCTAGATTCCTCGGGCCCCTCTCACTTAGATCATCCTTCAGCCACGTCAACACCAACTCCCCCAATCTCGAATTCCCTGTATCAGTTCCCCTGCCATCTAACTTGAATGTCTCAATGCCACCCCATTCCTTGACCTTCCCCAAACTCATGTGTACCAGATGCGTCGGCCATGCCGCCAGATTATCAAGGATATGCGTCGCATACACAATTGTGCATTTCCTGGTTTCCGTCTCCTTCTTCAGGAACCCAAGGAAGTTGCTCCTACTCAGCAGATCCAAATCAACGGTAATCTCATCCAGCAACAGGATTCTCCACGGCCTAATCAAGCCCATGGCAAGCTGGACCCGTCTGCGCTCACCATCCGAAACAGCATGCATGCGCCAGTCCAAATCAATATCCAGCACCTCCACCAACTCGTCTTTCCGCTCGGGATAATGATCTCCACCAACAGACTTCAGTAGCTCCCGTACGCCGATGTCTGTTCGCACGATAGGATTGAGTACCCATTCTAAACCGAGATATGTGACACCCTCGAGACCATCTTTGAAGGGGTCAAGTCCGCCCACGGAGATGGCTCCTGATGGCGCGAGACGCTTGCCAGAGAGCAGGCGTAGGAGAGTCGTTTTGCCAGCGCCGTTAGCGCCAATGAGGAGGGTGCGCGACGAGGGCGGGAGGGAGAGCGTGAGATTTTGGAGGCCGAGGGACCGGTCAGGAAAGGTGTAGGAGAGGTTGCTGACGACGATTTGGGGAGCGCCCGTTTGGTCGATGTATTGGCTTGACATCTTGCTGCTTCGGGGAGGGCTGTTCGGGAGACGCTTGAGGGAATGCTGCGAGAATTGAAGCCAGAGTGAGAAAGGAGAGGCACGCGGGTGTGAAAGTGGGAGCTTTACATCAGCCTCGAAATGAAAATATTTGGACATCATGACGACACCATGCGATTATCTTATCTTATCGCCGACCAACAACCCTGTCGATACCAAGAATATTCATTTGCGTCGAAATGTAAATATAATACGAAACCGATTCCGAGCAATTTATTTCTGATTATATCACACAATGGTTATTCCCTGGAGTAAGCTCCCGACTAATCAAGAGACGTGATGGTCATTGAAGGAAGCAGGTCGTTCACATTAGGTACCGAGGCAAGTCCAACAAGCGAATGTGCATGTTTACATCAAGCGTTTTGATGGAGTGATTATTTCCTGGCGCTTTATTTGCGTTCGAGTTTCACAGATATACCAACAGTGATGATAGTCATCCAAGTGGATGGACGGACATAGTCCTAGCATGGCACATTTTGACCTCGCGGTCGCATAGAAAAAGAGCTTTCCCTGGCGGCAAATCGCCTTCGATTTAGGTACTTCATTTATTACATTTTGAGCCTAATTAGGTAGCATTCTCATCCTTTCTTAGTACCTATGTACCGAGCTGCACATCTCTGACCCCATACTCCCGGACATCGAATGTCTCTTCCTGCGAGGGCTCGTGTCTCATATCTACCCAACCATTTTTAGAGTGACCTTAACGGCAAGCTCGCGTGACCTTGCACAAATAGCACCTTTCCAGTCCTCCCAGGAAAAGCTAGCATCAATCTGCCCATCTCAGAATTGCGAATCCAGTCAGTCGAGAAGGAGAGTGTCTGTCGAAGAATTCAACGCTGACTTCTTCCGGGTTGGTCAGAGCAGGCCAACGGTCGCGGTGTGAAGGAACGAGGACACAAGTCCGGGCTCTCGGGTGCTAAAAAGCAGTCGCTTCAGGGCCGTGGTGCTGGACCGGTACGCTAAGCGGACCAATATTGAACGACCACACCCTAAAATTTACGCGAAAGCCCCGCCAAAGCCTCATCCTTTGTACCAGGCACGCCTGGCCTCTTAGGATTTTACCTCTTAACTCATCAATTCTTCGTCGCATGAAAACCTCGCATCATATCACAAATCAGTTTTCACAATCGCTTCTTGCCCAAGGCCACGAGCCCAAGCAGGCCACATTTAGAATGATGGTCACACCACCATCCATATCCCTCTCCTCAGAGGAACTAACTTCCGTTACCCACCTCCTCCACCTCTTCCACCACCGCAACAAAAACCAACATCGCCTTTCAAAATGGTGGAAAGCATTCTCCCAGCTCAGACGCCAAGTCGGGAAATTACTGCTTGAAGTGGAAGCCTTGGAGACATGTGTGAAATTCTCCTCTGCTCCAGCATCAGCCTCAGCCTCAAGCAGCAAGGTAAAGAAAAGGAAGGGGGAGGGCAGCAGAGATGAGGTTTTTAGGGGAGGTGGAAGAGAAGGAGAGTCCAAATTTGTCAGAGCGGCGAGGGAGACGGTTGAGGAGCGCGTGGAGTTCTTGGAGAATTGGGTAGTACCGAAGTGTTTTCTGTGAGTGCAGTTTTTCTTCTCTTGAGTTTTGAAACTATATTCCGCCACGTGTACAGTGTATTCTTTTCAATTTGAGGTGATTTAAGCTAAAGATGGTTTTAGGGCGTTCTCAAATGTCGTGGCTGATAATCAGTATGCGGCTTTGGGCCTTATGTTGATGGGCACGCTTGCGAGGTTGCAAACTGTCATGAAGGATTTGGGGAGAGAACGTGAGAATGGAGGTGGTGATGTCGAAGAGGATTGCGAGGGTGATGAGAAAGAGATAGCGCCTCTAGAGAAGGACGATGATGCACGCAAGGCTGATCTTGGGGAGGTAGTAAGTCGGGAAGGCGTCCTAGGAATCGAAGGACATGTCGATGACGAGATGCAGCTCAAGGTGTCTAAGAAGCTGAAACGCAGAGACAAGGCCGAGAGGGGGGAGGAAAGCGCAATAGGAGGAGAAGCGCCGCCTGCGAAACGACCTAAGAAGAAACGGAAGAAGGGAGGCGATGCGTTCGATGAGCTGTTTGCTGGTTTGATTTGAGATTTAAGCATATACCCATCGTCTTTCTGTATTGATACTCATTTGCAAATCAATCGCTTGCAACTGAATACTGAAAATTAGACGTTCTATTCCTGTTTTTTGGCGCCTTCCTTTGTCCTCTATCCTAGTCTATTGATACATCGTCCCCAACCAATACAGCAAGCCTCCCAATCCCACATTGACACCTAAATGCTGCCCCAGACTCCACGCCATACTATATAGATATTTAGGCGAGAACACCGTCCATATAAACAGATGCGTTCTCAAAAATGTACAAGCTGCCATGACAAACACCAAGCTCGAAGTCACGAACACAGTCAATAGCGCGAGATGTCTTCCCAGTAGATTTCTCTCCTTTCCCTGCCCAGCACCTGTCCTCCTTAACCGCAGCAACATGATGATCGTAGCGGACGTCCAGAAGATTGGTCCAGTCCAGTTACTAGCGAAGGTCAAAATACCGACGGCCACCACGTTGTATCCGCTTACGCCATTGTAGGCGCTGGACAGGTCGACGGAAGAGATGGCGTTGGAGCCGCCGAATGCAAAGAATGATGTGTACTGGAGGAGGAGGGAAGTAGTACTTATTTCAATGAGATTAAGGTCTAAATCATTGAGAAGGTAGAATTGGACTGAGAAGAGGAGGATGAGGGGAATGTTAGTAGCCCGGGACTGAGTGATAAGGAAGAGGGTTAGGAGGTCATGAATTGTGTGCATCGTCGCTGTTGTACTGGTCAGAGAAATACCGCTTAATTTTGATTGGGGATGTAAAGCTTACGATTTGGACGTTTTGAATTCCCAAATCCAGACCCAATGGTGTAGACCAGCGTGAGGGCAATGGCTCCAAATGCCAGTCTGGCTCTGCCGATCAATGATGCTCCAGCACCTGCTTCGCTGTCCGCCATATACTTGGCGATTCCAGCCATCAACTCCGGGGAATCCTCATGAGTGAACGCTAGCTTGAAAGTTATGGCGGCAGTCACAAGAGCTGTCGATATTCCCGCCGCTACCATCTGTGGGAAGCGATAGAATGCTCCTGCAGCGAGAGATTGGAGGTTCCATAGATATGTAAGTCCCACGCAGGTCCAGAGGGTCAGTCGATTTTCAGAGAAGAACGTTCGTGCGATGTCAGGTTCGCCAGCCCATTTCTGACCGGTTTGGTTCCAGCGTCTTGCGAATCTTGAAACGATGAGTATCAAGATTGAGCTTACTGCAAGCAAAATACTGTTTCGGCTCTGTTTACGTGTGCTGTGGTATTTTTAGTGCTGAAGCTGGGTAATGACTGGGAGACATACCATTTGACCCAAAGTAAAACAAACCATGCCGAAGTGGCCCAATACCAGAAATGCTGCTCTTCTTCCACGTAGCTGCTTGCGAACATCATGATGCCATATAGTAATGATATCAAGAGGATTGGGAGTGATTCCTTGAATGAATTGACCAAACTGGAATAAGCTGCATTTGATCCCAGGAGTAACGCCAAAATTGACACCGCTTGCCCAGTGGCGAGCTTTCGAACATCGTAATTGCTCGCCGTGCTGCTCATGATGTCTTGTGCCTTTTTCAACCACTATTCATTGTCAGAGTAATCTCCACTTCCAGTTTCGTTACCTACTTTGGTAGTAACTCGTAGCCATTCATCAACGGTCTGACCTTCATCATCAGTTTTGGGCAGGCGCTCGGTCACGAACTTCCACTGGCATGCGAGCGCATCAATATTGCTAGACGGTTCTTTGCAATCTGTTACGGAACTTGCTGCTTCGAATAATGGAAATGCTGCTGTAACAACCCCCAGAATTTGTCTTGCATTTCTCAACAGAATTTGTACTCTATCATTCTCTATTCTCATCAGCATTACACGGCAAAACTGGAGCAGATCTATTACTCTTTGGCCAGAATGAGAGAAACTCTGGAATCATGGCTCCAAGGTTGTTTCGGGGTGCCGGAAATCCAAGAAGTGATCCTAACGTTGGTGCTATGTCTGACTGCTCAACTATAGAGTAATATTGGAAGTCTTCTTCAAAAGGAGCTGGAGCGCGGTGACCTGAATTTATTGTTCTTAACTTCGGCGAGATGAAGACAAGAGCCGGCGAAGTCTCTCCAGGAGCAGATCCTCCGTGGTTTCCGGCATCGTTCATTCCATGGTCTCCACAGAGTACCAGAAGGGTGGACTGTAGGTGCTTTTTGTTTGTGATGGCTTCATAGATTTTTTTCACTATGCCGTCCATCTCATGCTGTTTAGGGATCATGTTCGGGCTGTAAGCTGTTAGTGTTGAGATTTGATTCGAGGGAGGGTATGTACCCTCTAGGTCCAGTTTTGTGACCGATATGATCAAGCCCAAGGTAATGCAGCACCATCGTATTCCAATCGTCATTTCTAAGCTCTTCAGGGACATGTCTCGTAACATTATTGTCCACTTCTGTAAAATCCTGGTTCATAATGATTTTTAGCTACACCTCTATGTACAACCACGAAACCTTGACTGACCGAAACAAAAAAGCTTGATGTCCCATCCGCACGATCAAAGGTTTCGGGAAACAACTTCAGCCAAGTATCGTCTCCATACATGATCATTTTGCCTGTACCTTTGGCTTTCATTTGTGCAAGCCATGTATCTTGTGTTGCGAGCGTGGAGGATGTATCAGACTCGGCAAAATTCAGGATCAAATCAAGGAATGATGGCGTCGATCCTGTCGTAATTGCCTTGATCCGCGGCATAGTTATGGTGGGAGATGTGGCATGGGCAGTGAAAGGAACGGCTTCTCCATTTTGAATCAAGCTGCAGGGCTGTCAGCTGAGTTCTTTGTTACTTTGATAAGTCTGACATACCTTTGGGTGAAAAGAAATCCTGATGTGTTGGAATACACGAAATCACTATAAAAATCAGTTTAGATTACTCCACGACACCTGGAAAGAAGCTACCTTCGCAATGCATCCACCACCATGAACACAACCTTGTCGAAGGGAGCTCCTGGGAGCGAACCATCTTCCAAAGCTTCGTATTGGGCCAATCCTGGTAGAAATGGTTTATAAGGAAAGAATCCGCTGGCAAATATCAATATGGCGATAGGAATGAGGATATTCGCAGCAACGAGGGAAAATGTTGAAGTCCGAGAAGCCATCTTGCTGGAAGAGTCCAGCTCATATAACAGGTAAGAAATCCAGAGGTATCGATATGCACAAAGAATCAATCTTGCGGGACTTAATTATGGCCATTGCTTCACTTCACACGGAGGTTGGATTAAAGGAGTCGAAGACGCGGTTTGAGCAATCTGTCATTGGCGAACGCGATTTAAGGAGCTAGCAGGCTAGCTGCGGGCACTGATAAGGGGAAGGAAGGCTTATCGATAGGACCCCATAAATAAAAAAGTTTCCGGATTTCCAACTTGGTCGAGGGTGCGCGGACGCATCTTGCCCGGTCAAGCAACGGCCTCGAGCAGCAGGAGTAACTCCCGAGATTGAATTTCTTGCTCAAAGACTTCAGTTGTAGATGAGCCTAAAAGTACTTGAAACAAGTAATCTGGAAACTTTGTATCCCATTATGTAGAGTCAAGATCTGGACTCTCCTAGTGGTGATTTTGTAAAAAAAAGTACTTGATGCGCCTGCCAATGAATGCAGCGGCCATGAAGTCGCAAAGACACCAAAACTCCCCCATAAATATCTCAACAACGCCGTAAAGTAGATCTTCTCCTTCCTCAGTCTTTATCCTCACTTCTTGCCCTTCGACTTCTTGACTTTACTCCGTTCGTTGTACTTGGGGAATACAATTGCGCTCCTCCGTTTGCTGACCCGCCTCTTGATCTCTCCCTTCCCAGACTTCGAGTCGGGCTTTTTAGAGTCGACTTCCATAGCTGTAATCAGGAGTCAGATTTGGATGCATTGTGACGAGGCATTGTGTGGAATGAGAGCATACCTTCTGTCTGCTGGGCCACTGCCGCTGGCACTACTTTCTCTTCCGTTGCGACTGAATTTGTGAGTCGCAAGCAACTACCATTCTTGGGAAGATTTCATACCATCTTCTGCCTCCATATCCACGTCCTTCTCTGCTGGCTTGGGCTTGGGCTGTGCGGCCAATGCCAGGAGCTTCTCCGAGAGTCTGGCTGTGCGGTCTGTTTCCACTGGTCCAAAGACCTTGCTCTTTAACTTGACATTGTTCGCCTTTTTCGTGGAAGCTCTTGCACCTTTGGCCATGATGCCGAAGTGATATAATGCGATGTGATATGGTACGGGATTATCGGTAGTGGATCGAGGAGCAATTCGCAGTAACGACCGAGTTGGATGGAGTGGAGGTTGTTCAAGCTCTTAGATGCGCTTCCAATACCTTGTAGGCAGTTTTTCAGTCCAGTGCGGGCCCATGCCCGCATTTTAGCGCTTTGGAGAGGAAGCGCGAGGCGAGGCGAGGCAAAGGCACGTCGATGGTGAAGTCGTGGCTCACAAGGCGCCCTCAAAATTCACCAACCTGTGAGGAGCCGTTACTACCAAAGGAAGGAGAGAAGGCAGCCCGAGGCGAGACAAAGATCACACACGTCTATCGCGCATTTCCTTCTCCGCCAGTATCCCTACATCTTTTCGCAACCTCGCATCGCACCGTATAATACCGTACCGCACTTCCTCCATGCCCTCCTCTGCCTTGGCGCCTGTCCTCCAGATCCAACTCGAAGAGAATGGCCTCAATGGGGGGCGTCTACCTCGATTCCGAACCTCTCTGTCGGATCGTCAAAGGCGGCGGCTTTCTTAACAGAACTCTACAGACAATCTGCGGGGGAGAGGGTCTCAGCAAGCTCGGCGTGAAGGCGGAACTTCAACAGCGCATTATCGACAGTACGTTCCTTCCCACAGCCTCGCCTCGAGAGGCGGCTACCTACCCCGAGTTATACCACTCCATATACAGACCTCTTCGCACCATGTAAACTCCAGACTGATTTCTTAACTCTCTAGGACTCCAGCTTTATGCGAGAACGAACAATGCGCCAGCTTTCCAGCGGTTGAAGTCCATGATAGAGAATCCGAATAGTATACAGCCAGCCGGTATGGCGAGCGCGTCGCCCTCGGTCGCCGGTACTCCAGCACCGCCAAACCCCTATCTTAACGGCGCCGCATACACGATAGGTGGAGGTGTGAATGCGAATGGCTTCCGGCCTCTTGGACACCCGAGTACGTTGTTCTTGCTGTTGTTACGATACGCTACCTAAGGTCTGACTGTCCGATAGAAATCGAATTTAAGCCCAGTCCATATTTCGAAGTCAAGGAGCAAATTGGGAACCCTTCACCATGCGAAGGTATGCAGCATCAACATCTAAGTATTTATGGCGAAGCTAATTTTACAACCCAGTCATGACTCAACACCGACATACTGTCAAGATTATTCTCAGACCCGCCGACTACCCGATACTTTCCCGAGTAACTGGTGACCATTCCCTGAGGGTGATGGTCTTCTGTGCTGGCGATATTCAAGGACGACAAGACATCGCTTTCCCGCATCAATCTGAGATCAAGGTTAATGGAGGAGAGGTCAAGGCTAATCTACGCGGATTGAAGAACAAGCCAGGCTCTACAAGACCTGTTGATATAACAAAGGATCTCCGTTTCAACCCACCAGCATACAATAATTCAGTCGAGATGACCTACGCTCTGACTAACAAGGTTGGTGGTGACCTTTTTCAAATCAGCTGCCTCAACTCCTCATCTCGTTTCCTAGTCCACCCAAGTTGCTATTTGCCCTTTACGCCACGCTATCTTTATCAACGCTGACATTTTTTCCAGAAGTTCTACCTGATCATCTACGTCGTCAAGGCCGTTCTTGTCACGGATTTAGTGAAGAAGCTAGAGACTGGTAAGAGGATTTCGGAACTAGCAGTTCTTGAAGACAGTAAGATTGTTCTCCCCTCTGCCAGGTCATGTAGCTGATGAGAGTTTCAGTGCGTAGTAAAGCCCGAGACGCCGATATTGTAGCCACTGCTTCAGTCCTATCACTGAAATGTCCACTTTCCACGCTAAGGATAGATCTGCCGTGTCGATCGACAGCCTGTCGCCATAACCAATGCTTTGACGCTACATCATACTTACAACTCCAGGAACAGGGCCCTACGTGGCTTTGTCCCCTCTGCAACAATCCAGCCCCTTTTGATAGCCTAGCTGTTGACGAGTAAGTAAATCCGGCCCTTCGCTTCCTGTTAGGAGTGCTAATACCTTGAAGATACGTCAAGAACATTTTGAAGGCAACTTCAAGGTCGATTGACCAGGTCATTATTCAGCCTGACGGAAAATGGGATCTGAATGACAAGAAGAAGGAGAGTGCTCGACCTCCTCGACCGAGCACTGGCATCACTAGCGATTCTGATGATGACCTCGTTGAGATTACCAAATCAGGCGATAGCGTACGAATGGGAACACCTCGTGTAGCCGCCGCCTTCCAAACAAATGGAAGCTCTTCTGTCCAGTCTCGAGAGCAGTCGAGTTCATCTGTTCCAAATAGAGACTCTATAGGCTCCACGAGCGGGAAACGTACAATATCGGATGTCATTGACCTTACGTCCAGTGGGGATGAAGATGAAGAGCCATTAGCAAGGCAACCCAAGCGACAATTCACTGGAAATGGCTATGGCGCTCCCGCGACAAGTGTACCAGTCTACCGACCTCCACCTGGCAATATGGCCTACCCAACACGTCCCGCTTGACAATTCACTCTTCTTTATTTTCTTCCTTTGGCATATTCTTGCTTCACTTGTAAATAATTTATGATTCCCAGGGCTATAGCGAATGGTATTTCGGGCGTTCAGGTGAAAAGGGAAGCATATGAGGAGTCAATGGGGCCGTCAATCGGACAGGCGTCTAAACCAGACGGCATTGCGTTTTGCTTTTATGTTCAGGGATGAGTGTGTTCAGGGATGAGTGTGGTCAAGAAGTCCACGGTTCTGCTCCAGGAAAGATCAACATGATCTTGTGTGCAGAAAAATACTCGATGTTGTGTTGCACGCCTAGGGATTCGAGTTTCTATTTCTGATCTGCGTCAAGGTGGATTACTATGCCTCGCTGGAGGACGTTAGCAATTTTTAGCAAGCACCCCGAATAGATAGACACATACAGAAAATGTCACAAGATACGTGTTCGGATGCCTGTGAATCGTCCTGGAGTCCCATGCCACCTTTGACTGTTATTCAGGATTCTCTTCAATGTCTATAGCATCATGGAAAGAAAGGACGCCGATCTAGACCTCCGTGTCATGTAGTGGACACAGACCAAGTTGAAACAGGCCCTTTGAAAATGCTACTCGTCTGTATTCCCATACATACAGATAACAGATTGGCTCTCCTCCCCTGATATCGCGGTCAATAAGGAACCACATAATTGTGTTTGTGGACGTCAGTTGGAACATCCTCCCCTTGTCTAGCTACCTGCCTGACAATTAATTTGACCAATGAGCGTGAACAATGCTATAGGAAACTGCAAGCGCAAGTTCTAGTATGTTCACTGTTCACAGGGGCCATATCGGTATCCATCTTGCTGCATTGGAAGGCAAGTGCCCACTCTCACCCAAGCGGTGCCAATCCGCGCTTGATCTCAATATGTTGGCTCAAGCAAAGCTTCTTACTTTTCGTCCGAGTAACATCTGGATGAATCGGCCTATTACTTTCTATGTGTCTTTATAAATGTCACTCTCTTTATTCCAAAGCGCTTTATTTCTTCTGGAGCTACTTCAAGTTTGAAAGCAATTTAGTGCAATGAAAGTAAGTTTGCGGCTCTTGATCCTCGTGGGTTTTGTTTGCAATGCCTAAAGAAACAAAATCCGCCAGACTCCATCGCCATGCCATATACGCTCTCAATAAGGAACATCCACAATGTAGAGCAAAGTAAAAAAAACTGTACGCTCGCTCCCAATACCATGCATACCATGCCATGCTCAACGCCAGTCTATCTTTACAAAGAAGACCATAGCAAACCTCTTCTATCACTCGCTCGTTCTCTCATCTGATCCTCCGCTGTCATTAGCAGAGACTGCTACGTTGTTGTATATCCTTGGTGGAGGCGTCAATCTGGCACAAAGAGTTAGTCAGCCTCTTCTATCTTAGAGGTAGACAACATCAGAATTTCCCATGTCCAGTCAAGCTGGTGGCGGTGTGTCCATGTTCATCTTCTCCAAACTTCTGCAACAAAATGGCGGAAACAGGCTTACTTCAATATTTCAAACTCATTGTACTTCTTCAAGTACTTGATACCACGCCGATAAGCCCGCATGTGATCAGCTGGATTCTTTGCTCGGAAAGAAGTGCCGATCAACTTTGTGATGTTCTGAGCGTCGTGAAACATTGGGTCGAAGACGATGAGGTTTTTCGAGCCGTCACGTTTGCGTTCAAAGCCGACTATTGTCATAGAATGACCTAAGTGGATAGGTGTGTTAGCATGCCTCCTCGAGAGTTTGGATGGGTTTCGAGAGGTATGCAGTAGCGGAGAGAGAGAAAGAGGGTGACATACCTGGGTGTTGGAAGTATATGGGTGGGAGAAAAGTGCAGCGGATTTTTGGGTTATAGTCGGTACAGCCGTTGACAAAGTAGTTTTCGACAGCGCGGAACAGGAGCTCGTGTGCTGGTGTAGATTTGCCCTGTGGCTTGAGGCCTTGAGCATCACAGCTTTGTTTATCAGTACCTCAACTGATAGGCAGAAAAATGTAGACTTACGCGATTCCTAATGAGCAAAACATTGCTTGTGCCTGTAATCACTTTGTCAGAAACTGTACTCTCGTCGAGAAGCAGATGGGTGGCGATTGCTTACATCTGGGGTTCCGATATACTTTCTTGTGCCTCGAATTCCACCAGTCTCAATTCGACCTGTAGAATTTATACCAATATCCCAGGCATTTTCGATGTAGTCCTGAATATGGAAGATGCTGGGTATCTTTCCATTGAAGTATTCGTACCCTTGGGATTCAACGCCGATGATATAAGAGCATAGCATCTGGATGTTGCGGTATCCACAGAAACCACCTAGTATCATTAACATAGCCCCTACTGTGATAAATGATGGTCAGAGTGCTTACCCTCCCTTCTAAGCTTGGAAACATGCCTGACAGCTGGATCACAGAAATACGCAAAGTCAACCTGCTCATCTTGGTCACACAGCTGCTCAAGAACCGGAACGATACCGGCAGTCATGTTCGGACATATCTTGACCTTCCGCATCGTGCCATCGCTGTCGAAGACATTACTAGTCTTGACAGCGCCATCTTCTTCAAGAAGTTTGACAAGCCATGAAGGCATCTGCTTCTCGTGCGCATGAGGACCGAGTTCTGATTTCTGTGGTAAAGTGAGTTTCCTTTTCAAGTGCTGCGTGGTGGTTGATAAAAGGGAGGTCTCACACCAAGCCGACGGCGTGCAGCTGCTTTTGGAACAGAAGAGCTCTTGGAAGACGAATCTGGCATCTTCAAGACTTTCCTCCAAGCGGCCTTCGCTGAAGCGTGGCGGTCAGGAGAAGGAGCATCGGGAACCACTGTCTGACCATCATCCTCGTCATCGTCATCCAGATTCTGAAGAGCATGAGATAGTTTGATATCGAACGCATCAGCGATAGCTGGTTCAACTTTGAGTCCAACGCTTAGAGAGCGATCTGAATTGTCTGAGTCAGCAGCATCTTGCTCTTCCTCGTGCATCTCGATATGACTCTCAAGTTCAGCCAACAGAAGATCCTCCCCGCAGCCTTCGACTGGACAGTGGATGTATTCCTCATGCTTGCTGGAGTCCAGATCTACAAGAGCGGCTATGCTGGTGTCCTTGACGATAAATGGAGACTCTCCTCCTTCGGGGTGCTGAGTCTCCAGGTGTAGCTACAGGGAATTTAGCAAGAGGGTTTAATGAAAGAAAGCAGGAAGAAAGTATATGTACGAGACATAAAAAACATTTACCATGATCTGATACTCGCCATCTGCGCTATAACCACAGAATGGGCAAAGAATTTGATCTCCTCGATCCATAATGTCTGCGATGGTGTTTTGTCAAGCTGCAGTCTCCGCCTTGTCTGGTTCAGGACGTTGCGTATATCTTGCATAGGCGTACACACATTCCTCGGATGGTGTTGACAAGGGCGGGATTTAGGGTTTGAGGTCGGCTGTTTGCGGCATTTTTGAGTGCAAGGCCATCAACGTAGATAAAATTAAAGGATGTCGCGAGGCTGGGGCCATGAATTGTGAGGTATATTAGGTGGCTAGCAGTAGCGGGAGATGGCGTGGCCGCATGAATGATGCGCCCAATTGGAAGTTGGAAAGTACAATTCCACTCCCTCATCAACGGCATTATAAGTTTACAAACAAATTGCAGCACATTCTCGACCATATTTTTGCTCAGAATGACTCTCTATTCTTACGATGTGACAGTCTACAGACTGTTTATCATGTCATCAAATCATGCGGCAGACAAACCCAGTGACACGATATTGTCGGATCTGTCTGGGGCTCTTATTCATTTAAACATCCGAAATGGCCAAATCAAACCTTGAGATCCTTTAACTTCTCTGCAGCTTCTGCAGGAGCAGCCCCAACAGGAGCAGCCTTTACCTTTGCTGCCTTATCACCAGCCTTGCCCTTCGCCTTTTGAGAGGTGGAATCCTTGGGTAGTTCCTTGGAAAACGGAATGAAATCAACAGCTCCAGGAAGATACTTTCGGAGCGGTTCTGGGACATTGAACCCCTATATACTCAATCAGAACAAGTATGAAAATGACACGGGGAAGGTTCATACCTCTTCGGTCTGGAAATTCTCCAAAAGACAGCACAGGGCTCTCTCAGTTGCGCAAAGAGTTGAGTTCAATGCGTGCACATACTTCTTTCGGATCTCAGTCTGTAGCTTGGCACCGTATCTGATCTCTAGAGCGCGAGACTGATAGTCTGTGCAGTTTGAGCAAGAGACAAGCTCCTTGTACTCGCCTTGGAAGGGGAACCAGGCCTCCAGATCGTACTTCTTGGAAGCAGCATTGTTCAACGCACCAGAGACGATGGCGACAACGCGATATGGGACACCGAGTGATTTGTAGAACTCCTCAGAGACGGCGATCATTTCGTCAAACATCTCCCATGACTTTTCTGGGTCGGTGAGAATAAATTGCTCGATCTAGTGGAGAGTGGATCAGTAAATGACCAATGATCTGACATTGGACAGTTCCTACCTTCTCGAACTGATGAACACGGAATATACCCCATGCATCACGACCATGAGAGCCTGCTTCTCTGCGGTAACATGACGAAAATCCAGCGTACCTAAGGAGAATTAGTCAGCCTCTTGCTAGCAGTTGAAGGAAAATCCATACTTGATGGGTAAATCCTTCGCAACCAACCACTCGTCGGCATGGAAAGCAGAAATTGGCTGCTCAGAAGTAGCAATAAGGTACTTGTCGTTCTGTGCATCTCCGTCCACAACCTTGTACAGCTCTTCGTCGAAGTCCTCCAACTGCGCTGTCTTGGCCATGTAATCCTTCAGCATAAACTGCGGGGTCTGCAGAGGCGTGTATCCCTTTGAGTCAAGGAACTCCAATCCGTAGTTGATCAAGGCCTGGTTCAAAAAGACTCCCCATTTCTTCAAGAAGTATCCTCTATGTCCAACAACCTTCACTCCTCGCTCGGGGTCGTATCCGTCCAGTCTGGTGAGAACCTCGTGGTGGGAAAGAACGTCGCGCTTCTCGACTTTGAGGCCTTCAGGAGCCCAGTCTCTTTGTACTGCGTTGAAATCCTACACTCTTTGGTCAGAATCAGAATCACATAGTACAGCCAATCGCATGCGCAATCACCTCATTCTGCTCAACCGTCACAGAGTCGTGCACATAGTTGCCTATCGTTCCAATCTTCTTCTTCAGGATCTGTTCCTTTTCTGCCGCAGAGTCCACCAGGGCCTTCTTCTCCTTCTCAAAGTCCGCCTTCTGCTTCATGAGATCCGCGGCATCTTCCTTAGCCTTTCTCTTAACGCCAATCTGTTTCTGGGTCTCGTTGATTTTGGTGTTGATTTGAGTTGCTGCGTATTGGGCTAGGGGAAAGTCAGCTCGTAATATTCCAGCTCTGTTCGGAACAGTACTCACTTTTGCGGTGGTCCTCGTACAGCTCAATCACTTGGTCCACAACCTCCTCAGAAGCATACCGCCGTCTCTGCGACTCCTTGATCTTCTCAGGGTTCCCACCCTTCTCCTTGATGAAATCGAAGACGTCGAGCATTTGTATGTTGTTCTTTGCTCCTTGGAGAGCTGCGAACAGGGTATCTGGTTGTGCTTTATGTCTAGTTCTCTGTTTATTTGAGTCACGGCGAAGACAAGACGAATTGCCAGTTCAGGTTATTTCGGTTGGTGGGGTAGTTTGGCAGACCTGCAGGGATCCCGATCGCGGTTTAGCCTGGACGCCGGAGGACTCATCGATATCACGTGAAGAGGGGTATCTTCGAGGCCAGACAAGTGCTGCAAAGTCGATGGCAGGGGGAAGACATTCGGAATCTGTACCTGCGTATCTTTGTAGAGTCCTGAAGATATCGAATGGCGCTGTACACATATGGCTAAGTGGATGTAGTCTTCACCCTTTGTCGACAAATTGTATGCAGTGAAATCAGAAACCGTTGATTCAATTTCCTCAAATCGCTTGATCATGATCAACTGACTGTCGCTCTGTGCCTTTAATCCACTTGAAAGTGTAGTAAGGCCGTTGAACCTAAACGCCAAGCCAAATCATTCCTCTCCGAACGCCAAACAAACATCCAGGGAGTCAAGCAAAATGCAGTCGTTCCACCTGATTCATCACAAATGTCCTCCACATCCCCGCCCTACATGACCATGCACTTGTTTCCATCAGCAGGCTCGTTTGGGTTGGTAAGCTTCTCAATTTGACCGATCATCAACTCGAAAGCCTTGCCGACGTTCTCATTGTAGCGAGCACTGGCTTCGGTGTAGGCGCAATTGAACTTCTCGGCCAAAGCCTTGCCTTGCTCAACCGATACCTGGCGTTGATCGGGACGGAGATCGCTCTTGTTACCAACGAGGACAACGGGTACCCAGTCAATTCCCTATGGTTTCTTATCAGTATGAAATAATGAATGCTGAAGATGGAGACTCTTACGAGGTGGTTTAAGATCTTGTCGCGGATGACCTGAACCATTTCGAAAGATTGAGTGGAAGCAACCGAGTAGACGAGAACGTAGCCATGGATACCAATGAAGTGCTTGGAGTTCAAGATCGAGTACTCATCCTAAAAGAGTAGAGCGATTAGCCACACATCCCATTGCATCCCATTTCATCCCATTCATAATTTCCCTTGAGATGAACATGTGATCAGCCGGGGTGGGTGGGAAGACCCATCAAAGTCTCACGTACCTGACCAGCTGTGTCGACGATCTCAGTGGCGTACTCTTGGTTCTTGTACTTAATGACCTTGCTGAACGTATTCTCAATAGTGGGATAGTAGCTCTCGACAAAGTGACCGTCGACGAACTGAACAGTGAGCGAAGATTTGCCTTTTCGAAACGATCAGCTTAAGTTCCAACCATGACTTTTGCCTCGAGCTTGGCAACGGAAGTGAGGTCAAGGTCAAACGACTGCAACTTACCGACAGAGCGACTGCCAACGATAGCAATCTTTCGTTGCTTGGGTGTAGCGGAAACCATATTTGTGAAAGTCTATCTGATTTGGTGGTAGATATTGAGTTGGGATGAGAACGGATGGGTGGTTGCAAGAGAGCGAACCGGTGCGAACTGCGCTGATGTTCAAAGTGGAATCGTTGGGCAGCAAAATACTCGAGGTCAAGCTTTGCCTCTCGCCTCGCCTCGTTTCTTTGGGTTAGGCCAAAACTCCCCGCGACTGAGACGTCAGAGGGCGGCAGCTTTGTTTAGGCTATGCCGATAGTGAAAGACCCTGAGTAAAGCAAGGCTGCTGTAATTTATTTTTTCTTGGAAGAAAGTCTTGTTCTGAGGTGTTGTTCGTTTACTTTTTCCTTGTTTTTTCTGGTTATACATGACAGCCATGGGGCAAAAAGGAGAACATCAAACAGGATGCCTGACTCTCGTAAGTTTGCCCAGGCTCAACGCGAGTGGTCTTCTTGGATGAAATATCTAGAGATACTTCTCTACTCTGGATTAATTCATTCTTGCAATGAAACGTGTTCTTGAGTCTAGCTTAGTATGCCCGGAGAGCTTTCTTGATTCCTATGCTGCTAGTGACCAGTAGGATTTCCAAGCCGAGTATCGTGGGGTCATAATAAGCACTTTAAATCTTCCACGTCTTCAACGATCTGCTAGTTGGAAAACAGAATCCGGCTCACTAGTCAAGTATAATCTGTGTGCCACGTTCGAATCAAGTTCTCCTGACCTTGGCGGTGCATTAGAAATTTGTAGGTGTATGTGGCTGTTACTAGAGGCACGGATCGATATTAAGACCTTGTCACATAACTGCTTATGAGTCTCCTGCATAGAAGTTCCTTGAATATAGCATCCGGAGGCTCATAATGGAGGAGCTTCCACCAAGAGAAGCCCTAAGAGAGAAGCAACTGAAGAATTTGAAGCACGAGACCAATACTCACACTCTAGCAACACATACCCGAGCTTGCATCGTCTGGCAAACTCGTTCCTTTCTCGAGTCAGTCTATGTAAAGACGAAACCATGTTCAGATAGTAAGGCGTCCAATGAATTCGTGCCTTTTTCATTCTTTTCGAGAGCTTTTTCCGAGAGAGATTGTATTCTGCCACATCTCCCCTGATTCCCTTTCCAATTGAGGTCCAAACCCTAGACGCCATACACGCCAATCATATGATCTCCACGTTGCCTAACCCCATCTCCAAGTCCATGCACGCAAGCTTCCTTGCTTTGCTCCAGGAAAAATCGCTCGGTATTGTTCCGCTAAAAGTACAGATAGAAATCTATAGAGTCACCATTATGATTGACGTCTTTATCGTGGCACTCGTCTCGTCTCGTCCTCTAGATCCGATCACTCATTCCTCTCCCTCCTTTTTTGCGTTGGGGTCTTCGATGATTTCTCCTTCGCGGTTGTCACCTTCGCATCTTTCTCGTTCGAGTTTCATTGGCATGATCATGGCTAATTCGGGGCAGTAGTCGAAGTTGCCTTTCCTCCGGTCTGGATTCTTCCATACATCATCTGAAAGGCCCTCTCCCCCCTCTCTGACATGATATCCCATGGGCTTCTCGTGCCATACATCCTCGACTGAAAAGTGATCTTCTTGTTTTCCGTTGGCCACCTTTGCTCCTGGCAATACTGTAATTCGCTTGCCAAACCACTCATCCTCCGGTTCTGTGTCGTTGTATCGTGATTGAAACCCTAGTATCTTCCTGACTGACGAAACTCTGCGAAGTGAAAGTCCTCCATTCCCTGCGAATCTATCGTCCGCGGTCCTACGCAATGTTACGTCAACTTGAGTTTGAGCAGAATCTGTCCGTGGTCTCCTTACCTTGGAGCTCCTGCCCAGCTGTAATGCAACCAATCGTTCAGGCTGTCATCAGACCTGGCGCACATAATGCTGTCCGATTCAAACTTCAGCAGCCATTCCACCTCCGGTAAAAATTCATCGTAGAACCGTATGTCCGTCAGCATGCGATACACGTCCTCCTTCGAATCAATCTTCCATGGTTTTGGCAGTATCACCAAATCCAGCTTCCCGTTTGCCTCCTGGTATTGCGTCGCAAAGCTGCGAGAGACACTGATGACGCTCTTATTTGTCCCAATGAACACAAATCTCCAATCCGGGGGAACGACAGCAATCATATGTAGAAGTTGTGGTACGAGGTGAGGAATCGGGCGGCCTTCGATGAGAAGGGCGACTTTCGAGGCGTTAAATTGGGCTTTAGGGTCGTACTGCGGGTGCCAGTCGACCTTCACTGCTGGCAAATGCTCAATCGCATCGTGATATTTCTCTTTCGCAATGTCCTTGACCGTCTGCTTGTATGCGGGCAGCAGACTTGCGATTGTCCAGCTGGGAATACCCCGTGTCAGCCTTGAGATCTCCACTGGTCAGCAAACGGAACGCAGGGATAAGCACTCACGTTATGGCGAGAGAGACAATTATCAAGATTTTCGTCCTATTGATGACGAAGATTCCACTGGCCAGAGAACCAGCATGCGTGGTTGTCATTGTCGCGATCTGGGTGGAGCACAGTGGCTCTCGAGTATGTCCAGCACTGCAAGTGGCTATCGTGGATCGCGAGATAGGGGATGACGACGGGTCCACCAGAACCTAAGGATGCGTGATGGATGAATGTTGCATAATGGGCTCTTGGATGAGGTGCGTCGTGCTGCCCGTCAAGTGGTGACAAGAGGAGCTTCGCAGATCACAGATGGGAGAGGGAAGCGGAATCGAAGGTAGGAAAACATGAAAGGGAGGGAAAAGTATGTATTTACTGGACTGGACGCACTGTATGGGAACGGCCAGAGGAGAATCGACCGGACCTTGGGGCTGACGAGGCTTGCGTTTAACTGTAATCTTTCTAGGGCCCGGAGCGTGGCCTATCACAGCGCATCGCAACCCCTGTGATCGACCCAGAACATGGATTTGCCCAGCTGAAGCTACCAAGGTAAACCAGTCCAGGCTTATCCCTGGTTACGAGTAAATACTTCCCACAGTTTGTTCTATTCTGACGCCCTAGACTTCTGTTTGCACCCCAGAGGGTGCTATGATCATCTCGGAGTCATGGGGTTTGGTAGCTTTCTCAATTTCGTTTTTGTTTTAGCATTTGGTGCTTTCCTCTCTTTATGCCAGCTCAAGCCCTATCAGTGCTTCAACCTTTTGTACTATCAGTTGTGTCATGCATTGTGGTTATTCGGGAATCGCCAAGCAAGGAGTGACTATCTATGGCTCAGAAGCAGTAATGACCACAATTCATCCCTTGCCTCCTATTCTCGATTATCCATCCTTTTCTGTTTATCGCCTTCCATAACCTCAAGTGTTCGCATTCCAGATGTCTATCGAACATTCGTCTGTGGGGCTTATAAGTCTTCCAGTACTGGCATTCTTTGAGCTCAATGACTTATTATGAGGTTGCCATGAGGCCTGGGGCTTGGTAGGGAAGTAGATTGGACTGCCTCGACAAGATTTGATAATGCCCAATGTTTCATTTCTTCCTACAGATATCACATCAAGCCTACCCAAAAAAGTCCATTAGTCACTGACGGATTTGGACCACGACAATTTCAATTATCGCCCCGTCGAGTACCCATTAAGCTTTTGATACCAGCACACCTTGTGTAGTACCCCACATCACACCAACAACATGAAATGGAGTTGGGTTGAATGCTTTCTTGAGGCCAGGCTGGCCTGATAGTCAAATACACCAGACTGAGCATCAAGACAGCCTTGAGTTTATTGAAGGTGGTTGGCTTATCTTACCATGTAACTTGACGTGCAGCAAATAACGGCGGGACAGCGGGAATCTCGGACCTCTGCTCTCAACCCCCGTGTGACTGGACTGGCAGCATGAGCATGAAATACTCTCAAGTAACTTTTATTCTTGCGTTTCACAACGCGGATTCGAGCATCTGATTCTCACGGAATCCACAGTCTGCGCCCCTAGAGTACCGGCCTCCTGCTTGAGATTTGAGGAAATGCTACTTCCCGTGAGGTAGGTTCCTGAAGTAAACTGCGTTCATCTATCTACCTAGTCACCGGTACGCAAAATCGGCAGGTATCCAGAATCCTTCCGTTAGCTCGACATGATTTCTTGAAATTCATTTTTCCAGCCCATTAAGCTTCCAACAGATCTATGTTAGGCAGGATTCAATTCTGTTGGCGACTCATATTATCATTCTCGGACGCTCGATTTTCAGGGCTGTGAAACATCGCGGGACTCATCCAAGGGAGATTTCTAGCCACGCGACCATGGCCGCCCTCCTTTTCGTACTTCATTCCTCTAAACTTTCAGATGCTTCACTTGGAAGGCTTGGCAGGCATGGAGGTTTCATCCAAATGCTGATCTGATTCATCTGAACATTTTTATTCCAGAGCCTGGTAGATTTCAGACGATTTCCCCGGTCAAAATCCTCCAAAAGGTCTCCTGTGGGCTCACGAACCGCCAGACAGTCTGTGAAGAACTATGAGGCTCCTCTTGATGGTTCAGTAGTAGCATCTCTATTCGCACACCTTCCTGGAGCTATTTCGTCTCAGCTTTTTAGACTTCCCACTACATTATGCCCGACTCCAACGTTATTAGGTGGAGAACGTGGGACCCAATCAGGTCTCTCAAATCATCATCTGACATTTCCACCTTGTTGAAAATCCTCATGTTGCGCAGCTGAGTACGACGCTGACGCACAGTCCACAGAAATGGCTTGCTATAATTCTGCTGGACTTGAGCGATAACATGACAACATCAACGACTGTATAAGCTAGTGGCGGTGATGTCGACTATTTTTCAAAGGTCAGCAAGAGTCTTGACAATCTGGCAACTTGCTAACTAACCTGTATTATCTTATTAATCCTGATACTCTCCCCCCCTTTAAACAAACGTTAAACGTGGACTTTTGTAGGCTAAAGTCCTAGTAGGCCTTTTCTAAGTAGTTACCTCTTTTAATAGGCTTAAAGTATAAGCTAGATTCTAGTTAACTATAAAAGTAAAAGTAGCTTTAAAAGGTTTAAGATACACTTAAAGCTCTGCTTAAGGCTAAAAATCAGTAGAATTATTAGATTAACACCCTAGCTAGCTACTCACACAAGGCCTAGTTTTAATAAGGTTTAACGTTTGTTTAAAGGGGGGGAGAGTAAGTAGGTATGCAAGGTATGCTAGGCTAGGCAGGAAGTTACCATGTCGCTGGTGAAATGATAACTCTAACCCCTGGAATGATCAAATGTGTGGAAGATGAGGACACCTGGCGAACTGGTGTTTCCGAGCAGGATACGAAGAACTCATGCGACGAATAGAAACTGGATGACTTCGTAAAACGTGCGTTATCCAGTGCTGACAGCCTCGTATTCCATGTCAATGTGGGTTTGCCATTCGAGTAACCAGGCGAATCGTAGCGCTGTTCCAGCTGCTTGAGGGGTCCCTTATCTTCTCACCTGTTAGCCCCTCCCTTTCCCTTCTAGCCAATAATTATACTGTAAATTACCTCGTTAAACTGTTGTTGCCAGCCACCACCAGCCACCACCAGCCACAAGCAATTCTGACTTTGCAGGCCGCAGACGCAACTCTGTCTGGAGGAACGGAACAAGTAAATAATGTTGGCTGTACATATTTTTGACAATCTCACCATTAACAGATTTCTTTGCAGCTTTGTGCTTTGAAACGCTGCTCTGTGCTTGACTCAGGATCCCGATTTCGTGGTTGACAGCGCGGCCGATCAAGTTGACCTTCAAGCGAATTTGAAGGCGGTGAACTCGCGCACCCCTTTTCTTCTCCGCCCAATTTGTGTGGATTTGGCCTGTCGAGGGGTTTCCACTTCAAAACTATCTCAGTATCACCAGCCTTCATCTCTCTACGCACCCGAGCACGGTAACTGGACAACTTTCCTGCGCATTCTGCACAAACTTTCGAGCCAGCGCCAATTATTCATCATGGCCGCAAACGGAACAGGTAAGTTGCGGCGCAAAAGTGCTCTCTCACAGTGGGATGGAATAGTGACATTGACAATTGCACAGCTCCAAGTTCAGGGCAGAACAAGTTCTTCGAGGACTTTGGTGTTTGGAAAGATGCGCCAGTCTTGACTGGAAGCACCAAGTACGAGCCGCTACCAGACGTCAAAAATATTATGATCACAGGAGGAGCAGGATTTATGTAAGTGTCCTAGGTGTCAGCGTGACAACAAACAATGCTAATTGCCCCAGTGCTTGCTGGCTCGTACGACATCTTACCTTGACCTATCCCAACGCATACAACATTGTATCTTTTGACAAGCTTGACTACTGTGCGTCCTTGAACAATACCCGGGTCCTGCAAGACAAGAAGAACTTCACATTCTACCATGGAGATATCACCAACCCCTCCGAGGTCATGGACTGCTTGGAGCGTCACAATATTGACACCATCTTCCACTTCGCCGCACAATCCCACGTCGATTTGAGCTTTGGTAACTCATATGCTTTCACACACACAAATGTTTATGGGACACACGTCCTGTTGGAGAGCGCAAAGAAGGTCGGAATCAAGAAGTTCATTCACATTTCCACCGATGAGGTCTATGGAGAGGTCAGGGACGATGCCGATGATCTGTTGGAAACCAGCATTTTGGCCCCAACGAACCCATACGCAGCGAGCAAAGCTGCCGCAGAGATGCTTGTCCACTCGTACCAGAAGAGTTTCAAGCTACCCGTGATTATTGTGCGTAGCAACAATGTTTACGGCCCACATCAATACCCCGAGAGTGAGTTCCCAATTCCCAATTAGCTTAGCAGCTGCTAACTTGAGGCAAGAAATTATTCCCAAATTCAGCTTGTTGCTCCACCGCGGTCAGCCAGTCGTTTTGCATGGTGACGGAACCCCAACGAGAAGATACCTCTTTGCAGGAGATGCTGCAGATGCGTTTGACACCATTCTCCACAAGGGTCAAATGGACCAGATCTATAATGTCGGCTCTTACGACGAGATCTCCAACTTGACCTTGTGCTCCAAGCTCCTCACTTACCTCGACATCTCCCACTCGACACAGGAAGAGCTCCACAAGTGGGTCAAGCACACTGTCGATCGTCCGTTCAACGATCACAGATATGCCGTAGACGGAACCAAGCTTAGACAGCTCGGCTGGGAACAAAAGACCAGCTTCTCGGACGGAATGGCCATCACCGTTGACTGGTACAAGAGATTTGGCGAGAAGTGGTGGGGTGATATCACCAAGGTCCTGACACCTTTCCCAACAGTTACTGGAACCGAGGTTGTTGCTTCCACCGAGTTGGTTGAGGACATCAATGACAACATGATTGTCGATAGCGACGACAAGATGACCCTGGCAAAGAAGAGGAAGACAGACGCTTAGAGTGAAAGAAAGTAGAGTAGAGCGTGGTAGAGCATGTTCCCGACGATCTGGCTTTTGGCATGTGCTCCTTTCATGCATGGGCATTTTCTGGCAGCTTAATCCGCGCACCATGAGCAGCGTTATAGACGGTGAAAAGAATGACATCGATTGAATCCCTAGCTTTACAAGCTTCCAAAGCACTTACTCACTCGCTTGTAAAACGACAGTGGCGGTGGTATGAATGGCGTGATGTTGACATGTATAGCTACAAGTATGGGCAGGAAAAACAGGCCGGCGTCTGATATCTGGACTCCTAGGCTTCTCCAAACATTGGTTGAGCCGAGTTTCGACCTCATGTGCAAGGAAGCTGATGTTGGCTTACCGGTTACGGGGGAGGTGATGCATTGACTTCGAAGAACGGACTTTAAGAATGTGTAGCTGCAGCTGCCTGCAGGCAGCTGAATTCATACAAGAATGCTTCCTCTCCGTACTATCCTGGATGTTGCATGTCCCAGAATGCGATTACCCGGGACGAGCGGGCGTCAGGCGTCGGCCTTCGATGACGAACAATGATTCTCGAAGGACTGGATGGTGAGAGACTGAGTTATTGGACTTGAGTAGTGTATTCCTCTTTGCACTTACCCACGCACTCATTCTCTTGTAATATTCATACGTTGTGACATCACTCTGGGGGACATAGATGTACCACTGACACTTCACTCCACTCCAATCCCGCCCAACATTGTTACTGGCACTTATCTGGGGCCCATGTCTTTTCCAGCGACCGCCTCGAGCCGATCCGGCTCGTTGTGAAGTGACTCCTTGCTGAATGCATATCATGTCCATGTCCTCAGTACGGCATCCTTTCGTTGGGATTCCTTCGCTTCACTTCCATCACGGCACAGGCCGCCCCCACGTCTTCAGCGTAAGTTTGACCGTCGACCTCGCACTGGCCAGAGGGATGATGCAGCATCCTGCAGCCCGTCACAACCTGCCGGTCCCCTGGCTTCAACACTGCACGCTCATTCGAACAGCCAGATTCAGGGATTCTTGGGGCTTGCCTGGCCGCCTGGATCTGCGGAGAACGGAACGTTTCCTCCCCTGCCATTACAGTATTGTTCTTGTTCTTTTGAGCAAGGCTCAGGGCTGGCTGGCTGGCTGCGATACATTCCGAGTCGGGCCCTCACTCACTCACCCACCTATTTACTTGCCTCGCTACGCACTGCACTCTCTTTCGCGCTCTTAGCGTCCGAAGTCCTTTCACGTCCAGGGGTGGGCATGGGCAGTGGGCACGGACTCAAGCCTGGCTAGAATCCTGACGAAACAGTACTGTAGGTACGGTACGGTCGGGTACAGTACAGCACAGCACTATTACTATTACTACCCTATTTACTACTGTACTGTACCTCAGGTAACTTCGTAAGGATGGGGAGATGGAAGGGGCTTGATATCGGACCATTCTCCAGTTCAGGACGGATTTGTGGGCGGTATCACCACCTCACCTCACCTCACCTCACCTCATTGTTAGCAGGCCTGATCTAGCCTCCCCTCCTCTGCAACTAGATAGGGTATCTAGCTAGGTACGGTGCAGTAAAGTACTAGGTATTTATCCAGGCGGGCCTATCTTTGCTCTCCCCTCGTTCCACATTCTTCATCTCCTCTCCTTTCGTCTCTCCTCTCCTCTCCTCCCCTTACTGTTCACCTCGCCTGTGGCCACCAACAAATTCACTGCACTGCACTGCACTGCACTGGACTGGACCTGCAGCATTTAGCCTGACACTGCCTTTCTGGGCCCTTCCCGTGCCCTTGCCCTTGCTCTTGCCCTTGCCGCTACAGTAAATTACAGTACAGTAGCAGGCTAGCAGCACAGTCCGGCTACCCAAGAGCATGGAACTGGCGACCAAATCCCGCTATCGTGTCACTGGGAACTGGGAACTCTCAGCCTGCAGCCGGCACTGGCGCGTTGCTCTTCAGAGCTTTTGTTAGAATATCTTAGGTCCGCGTCCGCCGCATCAAGACTGCCTTACCTACTCACTATTGGGACTAACTGGGAGCAGTCACCGCCCCCCGCCGCCCAAGTTCCCGTCTTCCCCTCTCTTGGTTCTTGGTTCCTGTCCTGTCCTGTCCTGTCCTGTCATGTCATGTCCCTTCAAAACCTTAAATAATCTTCTCTTCTTCAGCTGGCTCAAATACTGTTCCGGATACTCTTTGCTTCCTCCAAATTTGACAACGTTCCCACCACTTTCGGTGTGGTCATGACAAACTTTGCCGCACAGCTACAAGTCAACACGGACGCTAGGAGGGGCAGATATAGACCGAGGTAGCAAATATTGGGCACAACATTTTAAGACGACGAAGTTGCTCTGTGAAGATGGCACAATTGGACCGTGAGCAAGAGCGCCATACTTTCTCCAACCACTCATCACCAACCCGAGAAACAGAACTGCCTTTGGTCCTAGATGAAGACCAGATCGACGACGACATGGACGACGATGAAGATCTTGCAGCCGACCTGGTTCGGTACCGGGTCCAAGCTGCCAGAACTTTATTCCATCAGCCGCGCTCAGAAAGCGATACACTGCAAGTACTCAACATCTAGGAAATAACTTACAGCATGACTGACCATTTCCATACAGAAACTCCACCCAATCCTTATACGATACTGATATCGAATATCTGACTATCCACCAGAGGCGTTACTGCGAGAATTACAGCATGCCAAACGACGATGCGGAGCAGGGAAGATTACAGATGCTACATGATATTTTCCTTGATGTTATGGGTGGTCGCCTCTCGATGGCTCCTCTCCAAAATCCTCAAAAAATATTAGACATTGGGACTGGGACGGGAGAATGGGCCATAGCTATGGCTGAAATATACCCAAGTGCCGACGTGACTGGGACTGATATTGCCAAAATTCAGCCAACTTCAGTACCATGCAATATGGACTTTCAAATCGACGATGCCGAGTATGACGGTGGGTGGACATGGACCCCTAACAGCTTTGATCTGGTCCACTTTCGAAACATGATTGGGGCATTTGCAAACTGGAATCAAGTCTACAAAGAGGCGTACAAGGCCATCAAACCCGGCGGCTTCATAGAAGTGGTGGATCTCGAGATCACCACCTTGCCGGACTACTTCCCTGATGAACCGATAGTCGTCAAGTGGTTTGACACTTTTGTAGAAGCAACCAGGTTGGCTGGAAGACCCATGACTACTGTTCATCTAGATCCACAGGTTCTAGAAGCAGCGGGTTTCACGAATATTTCCGTTGTTACGAAGACGATTCCTTGTGGAGTCTGGCCCGATGAGAGTGAGGAAAAGAAAACGGGTATGCATTTCCTATCCGTACTATACGACGGCATAGAGGCAGCATGCCTCAAAGTCTTCGTCGAGCAGCTCGGCTGGGAACCCGAGGAAGTCACTAAACTTTGCAAAGAGGTGGCGAAGGCTATCCGGGCCCTAGCACAAGATCAGCGGAGATCGCAAGGGTTCGGTATGGACATCAAAGTCCTTGTTGGGAAGAAGCCGGGTGGGAACGAGCTTGAAGTACCCGATGACAAAAGCACCATGGGCGACAGCATGCGAACCATAAGAAATGGTCATTTATCTAATGGGAATTGAACCAATGATGATTGCTGAAGTGGCATGCAATTGGGTCGGCCAAGGCTGACTGTGAGAATTTTAGCTAGGCGTTGGTTGGGGAGGATCTCGTACATTTGGAGACTGCACTTGGTCTCCAATTGTTGCGTTGTGTTGAGTTATGATGGCTTGTTTTGCATTGTGATGACTGGTTCATAGATACCCTACATGTATGAAGATTTTTGTTAGACCTTCGAGCTTTTCAAGACTTGTCCTTGGAATTTGGTTTTTATGGTTGCTGCTACCTCTTCTTTACAGCCACGTATTCCGAGGCCCTCCTTCTGTTCCATGCATCGCAAACTTGCGTCTTCACACCTTCCTCTCTTTCAAGAACGACGCTCACCAGCTGAGTGAGGAGCCTCGCAGTGCTGTTGTGCGGTCGATGGTGGATGTAAAGGTTCAGAAGCACGGGAGCTACCCAGGTTACGCCGAGGTCGTGGATGGAAGCATATCTCGTCGTCCTACAATGGGTATACGGATTCCATGCCAGCCCCTGCTATTATTTTCGCTATTATCAATGGCCCTGGCGAGTTTGTTTATTCAGACATCTCTTGTCAAATTCCATGTGGCTGCCAGCATTGGCGTTGTGTTACATTTCGTTGCATGTCAACGGAAACGGCGCCACCCTCGGCCGTATTTCTTGCGCTTCATGGATTGATGTTCGATACCAACAGACTCGATATGCTAGTCATCATTCCACGGACTTTCATGAAATCCAACAGAAATCCACGAAATACCCCTCACAGCCGCGAATAATTGCACTCGTTTCGCGATTCCGTTGACTTGAGCCGGGAACTCTCCTCGCTCATGCATCTTTCGCAATTCGTTGCAATTTCAAGCCTCAACAGCATTTGGTGAAACGTTTGAGCGGCCAAGTGAAGAGGGGTAAGTCTGCCCTGCACTGTCGCAGAAATTCCCCCACTATTGTTGAACTTGGGAGGTCACGTAGCATGTGCTTGTGTACCTGCATTGACTCCAGCATCCGCTATCTGGTGGAACTACACCTACCTCTTGTGAGTAGGTCCCGTCAGTATCTCATCAAATGTGATTGTTGCCTTTAGCAAGAGAGTACGCATCTATCTTGGCAACTTCAACGGCTCGCGATTGAAGATACAATGTCGTTCAAAAACCAGCACGAGATCTGAATGGAGTAGTCAATGTATGCAACGGTCCGTAAGATTCTCACTGCAAGGTCTCCCTCTACTTAAATATCTCCTCTTTCTCTTGATTTAGTCTTCTATCATCTCGAGAAACTCTCCTGCTACTGGTATATCCAGGATGCTTCTATTATCTCTCGGACTTGCCTTGTGCATCGCCCCCTTTGTCCAGGCTGCAGCTGTGCCGAAATCTCATGTACTTCATGAGAGACGAGACACGACTTCAGCCAAGCAATGGGTGAAACGCGAGCAGCTTTCTCCCACAGCTATTCTACCCATGCGAATTGGTCTGAAGCAACAGAATCTGGAGTACGGTCATGACTATCTCATGGACATGTAGGTTTCAACTACACTGGCCACTTCTCAAGCTTATTGTTATCGAGATCTCATCCAGACTCGCCCAATTACGGTAGACACTGGACAAGTGAAGAAGTCATTCGGAAATTCGCTCCCACCCAAGGGACCGTTGATGCGGTTACCGCATGGTTGACTACCTCTGGCATTAACGCTCAGCGAATCACGCACTCAGAAAACAGAGGATGGCTGGCTTTTGATGCAACTACTGAAGAGGCCGAGGGCTTGCTGCACACCAAATACCACCTTTACGAGCATGTTGAGGGTCATCTTAGTCCAGCATGCGAAAGGTATCTCTTTTTTCTCCCTCCATCTGCATTGAAGCATATGTCGATTAACGCTATCTAGTTACCACCTCCCAGAGGAAATCCAAACCCACATCGACTACATAACTCCCGGAATCAAGCTATTTGCTCCCAGAAAACGCGCTCTCTCCTCTCGCACCTTCAGCGGCATCTCCAGCCCCAGCAAAAAAGTCGATCCCTACGAAGGGTTCCCACCAATGGCAGCAGGCGAGCTGTCGATGTGCCACCGCTGGATCACCCCAGCCTGCATCAGAGCACTTTACGGCGTTCCTCAGAAACCAGAATATCCTGGGGGTAAACCGAGGGCGGATAACGCACTTGGCATTTTCGAGACCGGCGATACTTATGCCCAGCAGGATCTTGATCATTTCTTTGCTAATTTTACGAAGTATATTCCGAAAGGAACGGTAGGTGCTGGGCGAGTCCATTCTTCTCATCTTCTGAATGTTCCATGACTTTCAGGAGACATGTCTTTTTTCCCGCCAAACATTCCAGATATGGCATTTCTGATTTTCTACTGAATACAGCATCCCAATCTCGCTGCAATTGACGGGGCAGAGGCGCCGGAACCCGATGCGTGGTTTGGGGGTGGAGAGTCGGCGCTGGATTTTGAGCTGGCTTATCCATTGATTTGGCCGCAAAATATTACGCTGTATCAGACTGATGATTGGTATTGGACAGGATGGGCGAGTGTTGGTGGTGGAGTTAGTTGTCACTATGTGTTAAGCAAGACCTGATACTGACGTCTATAGTTCAATACATTCCTCGATGCATTGGATGGGGTAAGTTGATATATGTGTTGTGTCCGCGAGGGCAGACTGACACCTGTAGTCTTATTGTACATACTCAGCGTTTGGAGAGACAGGAAATGATCGTAGGTGCCATGTATTTCTCGCGTCTGGCAGCTACTGATCTCTTCGCAGCGGGTCTGGATCCAGTCTATCCCAATCCATGGACAACCGATGGCTATCAAGGCCAGCTGATGTGTGGCGTTTACAAAGTGAGTTGCTGTAATTTCTTTGTATATACCTTGACTTACAGCATATAGCCCGCGAATGTGATCTCCGTTTCGTATGGTGGTCAAGAATCAGAATTGCCGGAATACTATCAGAAGAGGCAATGCGATGAGTATATTCCCAGTCCACCGGTTCAGGTACCTGACTAAGATACCTCCCAGATACATGAAGCTTGGCCTTCAAGGCGTGTCTCTAATTTGGGCCTCTGGAGATTCTGGAGTCGCCGGTCCCATATTCAGACCTGGTTCAAACGGATGCATCGGAAGCAAAGCTACAGTTTTCAGCCCAACATGGCCAAACAAGTAAGTCAGAGTCAGCGCCATTCAAGCCTCCCCTACATCTCCCATTCTACTAATAAATGTCAGCTGTCCCTACATCACCAACGTTGGCGCCACAAAAGTGTATGCCAACCGCACCGTATACGAGCCGGAAAGCGCCTGCAATGATCCCCTCGGCCAGCCTTACCGTGTAGCATACTCCTCTGGAGGAGGATTTAGCAATTTCTACCCTGCACCCAGCTACCAGCAGTCAGCACTGGAAACGTACTTTGTGAAGCATGCGCCAAAGTACAAGTCGTATAACGGAAACGATAACTTTGATAAGGAGGGTGGAGTATATAACCGTCTTGGGAGAGGGTATCTATGCATCATTTCATCCACTTGCTTCCACGCAATGAACGAATCAATCCCAAGTAGAAATATAGGAATTTAGCTGACCCATCTGGTGTCGTATAGTATCCCAGATGTCTCTGCCAACGGTGACAACATCCCCGTCTTCTTCGGCAACGACTTCTCCCAGTCGGGTGGAACCAGCGCCTCAGCACCCATCTTTGCCTCCCTCATTAACCGCATCAACGAGCAGCGTCTCAATGCTGGGAAGTCAACTCTGGGATTCCTTAATCCGGCACTATACAGTAATCCGAGCATGCTCAATGATATTAAGAATGGGACGAATCCTGGGTGTGGGACGCAGGGCTTTGAAGCTGTGGAGGGTTGGGACCCGGTTACGGGGTTAGGTGAGTATTGTGGCTCAAGTGAATGATGATTGCTGATGAATTGTTTAGGAACACCGAATTATCCCAAGATGTTAGCGTATTTTATGAGCCTGCCGTAATAACTTTTATGTGTTGGCTGGCAGACCCGGTGGCTGGTTTCTTTGGAGCAAGGGGACGAGCTTTTTAGATGGGCTTACTAGTGTTCTTTGAGTTTTGTCTCTCTAGCCATATTCAGGTTTTTCGTTGTTTTCTTGCCAATGACGATTAATGAATACAACTGCTGGTCGCTTCTTTTAATGTGAATTTGCTTGAAATTTGGATTTAGAACTCCGCGGCAAAGGGACAGGATCTTGTTCCTTCAAGCAAGGTTCAGCGACGCTATCAAAATAATCCGACCACTCTTTTGAATCTTGTAGTGTTTGCGAGAAAACTGGATGGAAGAGGTCCTCGCTTGGGCTAGCGAGATCCAAACAATACTAAGTCTCTCTTCTGTGTTGATCATTTCCCCATTCCCACCGCCCCGATCTGTTCTTTCATACAGAACAAATGAATTGGAGTAGGTTTATCATTGTCATGTGAAGTAAAAGAACGGGCAGTCTCCCAAGCGGGTGCGATACTTGGCGTCAGGGCGTGAATCTTTTTGATTTGTAGCTGTAACGCTGTGTTGACAGGAACTGTTCAACGGGTATGGCAATGATTGGTATGATGCAGCAGATCAGTTCTCTGTTTTGTGAAAATTACGCGGGTAGGCAGTCGGTTCGACTCGGACCCTTTTCTAGACATGATTCACAAGTAAAGTAACAGTCAATTCCACTTGGTTTACTTTAATTGTACTCCACGAATCCAGTGAGACGCTGCCATTGACGCATATTATAGCCATAGAAATATGTATATAATCCGGGATGGAGAACCACTATCCCAGAAATTTCAATGTACACCTCAGGAGTAAGCTGATTACAATGCACGTTACCGCAGTTCGTTCCGATTGAGGGAACAGAGGTTGAAGTTTCTCTAGCGCTCTGGGAATTTCTAGGTCATAGAGGTAGAAATGATAGATATTTCATTGGGATGTTTCCTCACCGAAGAACAGTGGTTTATGTTCAAGTCTAAATGATCTCCAGCCAGGCCCTTCAGAGCTGCTGTCATATGCCTATATTGTATTATGACAAATTCAAGTCTAACTACTATCTCTTGTGATAATAAGAGTTAGGACATCTGAAGGCACTTTTCGGGCATATATAGCATTGTAAATGTATAGCTGAATGAGTAATGGCATGCTCGATATATAAATTCAAGTCTTTGAAGCCTTCTATCTTGTTGATTTGTCCAAGGAACAAAAGTAACGCAATCACTCAAGAACACCAACGCCGTAGCCAAATACAACCACCTAGAGGAGTTAAAGAGATTTTCAACGCGCACAGCCTCGCTATGGAAAGTCTTCCACATAATGAACGCCATTCCGAAATCTTCAAGCTGCTCGCTTTACGTTAAAAATATGTTGAACATGTACCGAAGTGGTCCAACTGTGCACAAACCCAGCTTGCAAATACCGGACTTCGAAGCCATTGCTCTATGTCACCTTTGGTACCCTGCTGTTGGATCACCCCAACATATGGCTGGCTTCTAAGTTTCGTCGTTCTTTTGTATTCCTTGCTAACTCATCGACCCACCAGATGCGACCCCGCGGTCCAAAAACCACCAGGGCGCTCCCACCGCTGCGCAAAGGACGATTTCTATACTAGGTGGATGGATAAAGCTGACAAGACTGTTGTGAAAATTCGAGGGCGTATATGCCGTGAACAGCTTATAGTATTAGAGATTGAAACTCGAGTTCTGATGGAGAGATTGGTGAGTATGAGGATCTCTAGGATGGAGTGGCTCGCTCTGTGTTCAGAGGTGGAGAGACTGATATAGTGCGAGGGCAGAGGTGGTCTCTTCTGAGCTTTAAATGTGATTTGGAGCTTTGAATACCGTGCTTGATTACGGGGGTGACAGAAGCGTCCAGTATCTCGGGTTTGATTCTCGCTCCTTCTTCTTGGTCTATTCTCTTGCCTGCAGAAGTATGCTGATTACTCGGAGGTGAACCTGCTACTTGTATGTATCTGTTACTTATTGCTTATTGCTTACGCTGCAGACGCCTGTTTTTCACAGTCCACTCAACAAATTTTTTTTCGATGCTAGGGAAGTGTTATTGATTGTGGGGTCTGTAGGTAAGTTCTGGAATCGGTGAAAACCCAAGTCTTCGGCTAAATCCGGCCACATTGTCAACAAACTGCGCTCATGCTGTGTTTTGGGGCTTTTTGGGTTACGGAAAGTCGTGTCTAAACACAATTTCTGATCTGTGTCAAATTTGTCTTGTCATTTGCAGGAAATCTCAAAGTAGCTACTATGGCATAGACTGCTCCCAAACGCCATGCCAATAAGCCCGCAAGTATAGTAATTCAAGCAAGCCTCCAGAGGTATTACAAATCTAGGTATCCTTACGCCGTTTGAACCAGCCGGCCATGTGTGAGTGCTCATCCATCCGCATTGTACTGGCACCTGACAGCCCAAATATAAACTCCCGAACTATCTGCGATAGACATCACGCTCTCGATCCCGTTCTCGGTCTCTGTCTAGCGGCTCGCGATCTCGAGGCCCACGATCTCTATCTCGGTCTCGGATTGGACTGCGACTCCGGCTACGTGTTCGTCCGCTGCGACTTCGTTCGTCATAGTCAAGTCTTCCACCATCTCGTTCCCTGTCATGCCGACGATCTTCAACGTGTCTTCTCACCCGGTCATCTCGTGGTAGTCGATCATCTCTTTCCCTCGGAGGTCGACCGCTGTCAGGGCCGTAACTCGGTATATAGGTATCGATATTCGAAGGTCCGCCTCTAGTTCTCGGCGGTCTATCCAGGTCACGAGATGCTGATCGATAACCGTCTCGTCGATCGCCATCTCTGCCACCGTCTCTTCCCCCGTCTCTCGGCGGATCATACCTGCTGTATTCCGCTGGAGGTGGGGGTCTTGGAGGGAGTCTAGTATCTGGCCGATGATCATCTCGAGGTCTTGCCCAAGCGGGCCTGCGCTCTTCTTGTGGAGGTGGTGGAGGCACACCGTTGCGATATCCACCGTGAGGCGGCGGAGGGTGTCGACTGCCATTGTGGTGTCGATGGCCGTTGTGAGCATCTCCATTTCCATATGACCCGTTTCCTCCCTCCCCTCCCCAGCCACCAGCAGGTCCCATTCCAACCGTTCCGCCTTTAGGTGCTGGCGGAGGAGCAGCTTTTTGACTACGGAACTTCCTCCTATCCAACTCATGAGAGTCTTCGAATGTCGGTAGATCTCCAGGTCTGGCAGGAAGCGGTGCAGTAGTGAAGTAAGGATGCTTTAGCGCATCGATGGCATTGGTTCTCTTCTTCCAATCGAGCTTCAACAGTTCATTCAGCAGAGAAATTGCCCCAGGACCAAAGCTACATTCTGTTAGATAACGACTTCGATCTCATTCAAGGCCAGAAAACTCACGGTGCAAAGCGCTTTGCCAAGGTGGGGGGATGTGGTTGAATGTTTAGGCCTTCAGCACCCGGTAATGATCTGAACTCCGGCATGTTATCTTCTGTTGGAGTGCCCATTAAGTCGAATATGATTTTGAGCTGATTGGGGTCACTGTCTCCTGAAAGGATGGGCTTTCCAACGAGCATTTCTCCAAATACACAGCTATTGCCATATTAGTCTGGCACACACTTTCGTAAGTGGCTTAACTTACCCCACTCCCCATAGGTCGATCGCAGTCGTGTACCTTCTCAGATGTAACAGTAGCTCGGGGGGTCGATACCACCGAGTTACAACAAGTGTCGTATAATCTCGATGGGCTGTACCTCCACCTTTTCCAGCAACCGGTACTTCTTCATCATAATGCCGCGCGAGACCGAAATCTGCAATTTGAAGGATTCCTTTGTTGTCGATCAGAAGATTCGCAGCCTTCATATCTCTGTGAAGGATCTTCTCATTGTGCAGATATCGGACCCCCTCCAGCAGCTGCAGCATGTAACACTTTATATGCGATTCCTGAAGCTTGACTTGAGGGTTTTCCAGCAGGCCTGAAAGATCGTGAGACATGTACGGGGTGACCATATACATGATAGCTCGCTTCCTCTTATCCACGGTCTTGTGATGCTGCTCCACAGCCATTTCCTCCAGCTTGAGTATGTTGGGATGCGACAGAAGCTTCAGAAGCTTGATTTCTCGCAGAGCGGTGATTGGAAATCCGTCCTTCTCGTTGTGCATCAGGATCTTCTTCAGCGCGAAGATGGCGCCTGTCTTCTTTGACCTTGCCTTATGGACTTCTCCGAATGTGCCTTCTCCAAGCTTCCCCAACATCTCATAATCGTTGATTTTCGAGCAACCAACAAATCTACTGGAATCGCGTATATGCTGCTGCGCGAACGCAGCCGAAGAGATGCCATTGCCCTGCGGGCTATCTGCGTGAACTGGAGTCGCCATCTTGGAGATTGGAAGATGCTTGTGTGATTCTAAGACGGATCCGGAGTCGAGTCGACAGTTCGTATATCGCAGCCGAGCCGAAGCAGTCGGATGCGCAAAGTTGCGACTAGATTTCGGTGCTTCTGTTCATTGACTGGCGGACACGAGTTGGTTCTCTGAATCGGTGGTGCTTGATAGGTGAAGGTAGAACTGGCCAAGGAGAAGCATCAGTCGAGGTTTATCTTCCCAAGTGTTGCATTTCGTTGATACTGTGCAGATACGCCGCTAGTGAGAGTGGCAGACAGCCATCAAGGGGAATAGTATTGAATGAATACATCCATTGGCAATGAAGGCGTTCGACCTCATCGACCATGAGCTTACAATGTCCGGAGCGGATTAAGTATTACCCACTTTCACAACCCGTCTCCACGTTAGTGCGGCTCAATTGACCAGCTTCACGACTAAATCAAAGGACCCCCTCATCCCTGGTCAAGACAATTGTACGTTGAAGGTTCATCTGCGTTAGTATTCCTTCCTTACTTGTCTGTCTGGTGGTGTTGAACTGTTGTCGCCCTAACTGGAGCCATTGCTGTGGTCGTTGTTTCTGGATCTATCGGGCTGACCCAATGAGTAGGACAATGGCTGCTGGCAAACATCCAGTAACGATCCCGCATGTCCGTCCCCTTTACAGGTTCGCTGGCACAGCACTTGGCGCTTCAATGTGGTTCTTTGTAAGGTTCCTATTTATCACTGCTATCTTTGAAATGGCTGCTAACACGGCGTAGTTGATGTATCGCGCAAAGAAAGACGGTATATCCTCCAGAAAGCACTGCTCAAGATTCGTACACTAATTTCCAGTCAGGACCCGCGCTACTCGGCTGGAAGCACCCATGGGATCATTGAGCAGCTCAGAACGGATGGAAGGTTGAGATTATCGTGGAACTGAGGACGTGAGATCCGGGAGAGGTACTGGGAGAACACTTTGGAGGATACTTCGAGTTACGCATGGGCGGACGATGCACTGTACATACGGAGAGCAACTGCAACAGAAACAAGCACTTGGAGTCATATTATTCTGAAGTCTACGAACGGATGTTATTCTATGAAGCGCTGGGCTTTTCAAACAAGTAATGGGTTACGCCCCATGTGTCTCCTCCTTCGTACGCAAACAGCTCGGCACATGCCATGTAGAAGATTTGCCATCTATAATACCACATAGCCGTATCTTTCTCTCCATAGGTCTCGGTCAGATGGGGCCATACTTCCTTCTTGCTGGCAGTCATCTTGGACAACCAATCCTGATCCTCATATTAGCTTCCGGACTCAGCAAGCAGAAGAGTTTGGGTCTCACCTCACAGGTCTTGGCATAATGCTTGCCAGAAACCCACCATTGGGTCTCCAATTTTAGATCCTTTTGGAAGAACAAGAGGAGATCAGCAGAGGGCATTGTTCCTCCGGAGAAGAAATGAGTGCTCATCCAGCCCTCCTCGAAATCGTACGGAGTAGTTTTGTGAGCGAAAATGTGAACAAACAGCTTTCCTGATGGCTTCAAAGCCCGGGAAACTTTGGCCATGAGGAGCTCATAGTTTTTCATGTGTTCGAAAAGCTGGGCTATATTAGAACGAATGGATTTGGGCGCAAGAACATATCACGTACTTCGATGGATACGACACGGTCGAAGCTTTCCTTCTCAAATTCGTAATCAACAACATTGCCCGTGATGACTGTCAGATTCTTTAGACCTTTCTCTTTGGCTTTGGAATCGATGTAAATCTTCTGAGTCCTCGAGTTCGAGAAAGCCGTGATCTTGGATTGAGGTAATACTTCAGCGAAATACAATGCCCCGGATCCCCATCCACACCTTAGTCTCCAATGAGCGAGGATTCTCAAACATAATACCAAAGTAGGACTCACCCAAGATCCAAAATGTTCATTCCGTCCTTCAATTGGGCTTTCTTGATATAGGTCTCAAGCATGGCAATTTCAGCTTGAGCAAGAGTTTCTCCACCCTTCGGGTACAAGCAGCACGAGTACTTCATTCGAGGACCCAGACATGCTGCGAGGACTCCGGTTCCCACCTCATAGTGTTGCTCATTCGCTGTTGCCGTCTCAATCGCGATCGGTCGACTTCTAAGAAGCTCGACGTAGCTCATCTTACGCTTGTACTCTTCTTCAAGTGACGTAGTTTGGATGATCCTAATTCGGTCTGCCAGCTGACGTCGAATTCCCACTCGGATCACAGCATTGGGGAGATAACCTCCGTCAAGGATCCAGTCTGAACAGTCACTTAGTGTTGAAGCTGCACGGAATGCACGAGATCTTACCGTAGTTCATTATCGTGAATTGAACGTGGACCAAAAAGTGAGGGTTTAGCGCAATTGCTTCACAAAAAGAATACTCTAATAAATTGTTGAGATGAGGGGACTCAAAACTGTTTGAGACCTTGGAACACGGGATCAAAGCGCGGATGTTGTGGTTTATCATCTCAAATAGACGCTGTCGTTTGCCGTAGGTGCCCCCCGGACCATGAAAAATCACTAGCCGAAATTTGTTACGTCACTCTTGTCAAATGCTTAATTTGTTGCTTTATTTATACATAGCATTTGATATATATACAGTATTGCCCTCTTCCTCAGGACACCTCGTTTTCTATTGAAGAGCACGCATTCCTTCTAGCACGATCTTGTATGCTTTGCGCTTCTTCGGCTTGCCCGAGACAAAGATCTTTACTGCACCCAAATGTTTTGCCAATCTTGGGAAGATGTAGTTCTCGGAGGTCCACGCGATTGCGACGTACCCAATTCCTAGAATCAAGATGAAAGTCTTGAAGTCCCAATCCATCTTTGTCAGTTGCATGAACTTTGCTACCCCTGCCGATGGATCGAAGAGTAGATAGGAGGAGAAGAGCAAAGCGACAACAATTGTAACGACGAATGGCACTTTGTGTTCTGTTAGTCCGACACTTTACCATCCAAGAGATGACTTACAGTTGTGGGAGATTGATTGGCGAAATGGCGGTCCTACACTAAGGACAATTCCAGAGAGAATGTATTCATAGCAGGAGACCAAGAACAGAGTCGTGTTCTCAGAGTTTTCCACATTTGACTTCTCTCTGTTAAGATGGGGAGGGATGAACCTGAAAATATTAATACTGCTTTATGTGATGCTAGACTGACTACTAACCATGGTTGTCGTCGAACTGCCTGAAATGCAACTGCTTGTATCAAGATGCAGATTACGATTTGTCCAAGCAATGGCGTTAAGACCTTGCGTGATACGAGGTTTGCTGTCGGTCGCTTCTGACACAGAACTGGGAATGGACCCGTCCATCCCACTAGGCGGCGTTAGCAAAGCATTTTGCTTATACGACGAAGAGACTTACTGAAGATGGCAATTGGCAGGATCAAAAGGAGGTCGATGAAAAGAAACTGGCTTTAAGTCAACACAATTTGCGGCTGTTAATCAAAGAGGTGGCATACCTGGAAGTCTCCCAAATTCGATGCGGAGGCGTAAAGGAAGCTGACCGAAGTGAATTGAATGGCCGAGTAAAGACTCATATACTTGAAACAGCTGAAGCTGGTTACAAGAGCAGCGCGACCTTCCCTAAGCACAGTATCAGCAAATGCCGCAGCCGAAATGGAGAGGGCTGGGGAATACCTGATGACTTCGGGAACACAAGTAATGTCAAAGACACGACTTGTGAATGGAGCTGCAACAGATGCTTCTGCCTCTGAGAGTGAAATGCCAACATCGGCTGCTGTGAGAGCACCACAGTCATTTGCTCCATCGCCACAGAAGCCACAGCAATAGTCTATGCTCTGAAGCTTCTCCACCAGCTCGTGCTTCTCATCGGGAGACATTCTTGCAAATACTTGGCCGCATACCAGCATCTGAGAATGTTAGAGGGAGCACATTTGCTTGTGAGGAGAAGATCACGAACCCTCTGTAGCACATCTGGCGAGGCGAAGTCAATTATCCACCTGAAGACATCCCCGCTGACTGCCAGTGAATAATTGCGAAGGTTAGTAATATCATATGGAAGTGATGCATCTCCTTCCGCTGGTGGTGGCAATGGCTAGAAGAATTAGAGCACACACATTGAGACTGAGATTGGGGTCTTACAATGAGGGTGTTTTCATCAAGCGTAAATATGTTGTTGTCTATACTTTCCCACTTCAGAACAGCTTTGGGATCTTGGAAGTCGCCTTGAAGATTTGTTAGCCATAGAAAATACTAAGTTTGGGTGCTTTGACCGACCTTCAGCAAAATGGGGTACGAAGCAATGCGCAGTTTTATCTATCAAGTTGCACTCCCGTGCAACACTGATAGCGGTCAGGATATTGTCGCCAGTACACATGACTTTCCTGATACCTGCTTCGGTAAGCTCATCGAGAACGCCTGCTGTGCTTGGCTTCAGTTTGTTCTCGAAGATAATGAACCCGATAAAGTCCAGGCCAGACTCTGCCTCATGTCGCTTCATCTTCTGTACCTTAACCCAGTTCAGCTTGTTGATGTGCTTGGTAGCAACGGCAATGACACGGAAACCTCGGTGGGTATAGTATGCGAGTAGATCCTCGTAATCGCTTGGAACTGTGTTGATTTAGTGAGACAGTATCAAGTAGCTGAAGAAGGAGGTAAGACGAACAGCTTTCGGGTTTACAGATATCCTTCATACATTCCGGAGCGCCTTTGACATAGATATCGCAGCCTGGAGAGCCAAACTTTCGGACGATGACACTTGCTCTTCGGAGTTGAGAAACGAACTCGAAGGACTTCAAGATGCCGAGCTCTATGGGTGATCTCTGCACAAAACGTTAGCGGAAACCAATTTTATTTGGATCATACAATGTTTACTGATGCACTCTGAGGGTTTTCGTTGTCGTCTAGATCATATTCCATTCCAGGTGGTGGTCTTGCAATGGATGGCGAGAGGCCCCTCTGTTCCTCATCATCAGCGTCGCCGCCTTTCTGTTCGCCTTCCTCGAAAGACCACCCGGTAAATTCGAACATCTTCAAATCTAGAGGGTCCCCCATGAGTTCACCATCCACGACTCGCAACGAGTGACAGGTGGCCATGGTGTATAGTGCGGCTTTGTGGGAGTCGTATTCAATGGTGGGATCTCGCTCATACGCGGCGCCAGGAAGTAATGACAGAGCATTAGAAAGGATATCGCTGAATCGATTTGCGGGCCTTTGTGCAACGCGGACCCCTAGGACGTCTAGACCATCCTCCGTAAGGGTTCCTGTCTTGTCGAAGCATATAATATCGAGTTTACCTCCGACATTGACTCTCTGAGGGCTGATGCAGAAAATCTGCTTTTTTCTGAGCCGCGTAAGAGCAAAATTCGTACCGATTGTCAGAGTCGCCGGCAGAGCTGGTGGTACAACAATCGTAATCAAGTCCAGAGCTCTGACAATGATCAAGTGCCACGCGAGCTCTAGCCGAACGAAGTTTATAAACGAGGCCACAAAGCCGAGCATAGCAATTCCACCCATGACAGAAATGTAGCGGAACGAATCTCTATAGAACTTAAATCCCGAGGGTTTAGGAAAAAGCATAGATCGAACAAGGGCGCCTTTAGTAGTGTTGAATCCAGTACGAACAGTCATTGCTAGTCCGACCGCCTCATCGTCTTTGTCATCTTGCGGACGTCTGGCCCGGATGATCTTCGTTCCACAGAACAGGAAATGCCTCGCTAATTCAGGGGCAATAGATGTAGCAGCCAAATTGAGAGCTGCAAGTGATTCATCACTAGCTGGCACTTTTGATACAGGGACAGATTCACCTGCTTATATTAGATTATTTTCAAAGGTAGAAGTGCAGTCTTACCAGTTAACATGCTCTCATTGACGATACAGTCTCCGGCTAGTAGAATGCTGTCGCAGGGGAATTGCGTCAATGCCGGGTCTGTTACTTCGTAGACGTCTCCTGGAACGAGCTCGCTTGATGGAACATATCGCCCTCGGCGAATCAGCCACAGCAACCCAACCAAAGGAATCAGACCTACAAAAGCCATTTCGCAGCACACGGATGTCACATTCAAATTTAGATATCTCTCGTAGTCTTCTCATCGTCTAGGTATCCATGAGTTTATTGCTTATCAATAGGAGATGGCATGGGAGCTTACAGAGCGAGTCTCAATGAGTGTTGTAGTTATGCTCACAACAGAGATTAGGAAAATGCAGGCTGCATAGTAATAATACTCATCAACGGACCAGAGAAGCAAACTAGCTATCTGGAAGACGTAGAAAGGGTGGAATGCCTAAAGGGGTAAGTAGAGGCTTCAGGCTGGGGTTAATGTGACACACCTCATCCATCAACAGCTGCGGAATGGTTTTCTGCTTGATATCGATCATGTTCTTTCCAAAAACGAGCTCTCGACTTTCCTTCTCATCACCATCAATTCCAGCTCGAATAGCTTTGACATCTGTCCAGGTTGGGTCCTTCCAGCTGTTGCAAAGCATGAATCTGTCTTTCAAAGGATGAAATGAAAACCGCATGTATCTATAGTCGAGTATCCGGAGATCGTCAATAATAGGGTCATCATCTTCATCATATGACAGGATGTATTTGCTTTGAGATGCACCAAACACGGTAGAAAGTGGCCTGCCATAATCCTTGGACTCAACATCCTGAACTACAAATTCACCCCATTGATTCTACTATCATTAGCGGAAGTTAAACATCATGGGAATGTAGTCTAGCCGTCAAGGGGGAAAAAAACTACACATTATCTAATGCGAAGGCTCCAAAGGAAGTACTCACTTCAATGACAACCCATGAACAGTCGCGTAAAGGGCATGGCGTTCCAACAAGACGCACTTGCCACCGCGGGAGCCATCTAAGCAATAGATATCCAAGTCCAAATGTAAGGAGGCATATGGTGAAATATATGGCAAACCCCACTGTAGATGTCCGAAATCCAGCCACTACTATGGTCAAATCTTCCGTCACAATGTATATTTTTTGGCTCGTCCGGTGCCCACGCCCGAGAATACTACCCTCCGTGCGAGCACTATCACTCCTAAGCAATCGATCGTGTACTGAAGTTCGGGAACGTGCCCCAGAAGAGGACCGCCTCATGACTGAAACCTCGTCTGCCTCGAAATCCGTAGAACCCTCTTCTTCCCCGAAATGAAGCTCGGACTCGTCGTCTAAGATGGCGCTTTCGTCCGAAGGTGGGAGAGGCTCATCCTCGTCCTCCTGGTAATAAGTGAAGCTTGCTGTTGAGTCCGCCCGGCCTCTGCGATGGGCAAAAGAGGATACGCTGGTCGGCACACTCTCGCCCATTGGGCCTGCGAACATCTCGTCCTGGGCCATTTCCACTTCATCCATGAAGCTGGTGGTGGAGAGATTGGAGTCCCTTCTGTACATCTGCGCATGGCCGTTTGAAGGGCGACTTGCGCGATCGCTGCTTCGACGCCCATTATGAATGGGCATTCCATTGGATCCGTCCATGGTGTACAGGGCAATTCACGCACCTGGCGTGGGCGGCGCGCAAGTTGGAGCGGGCAAGATTGCTTAGTAGGAGGCAATCATGGCATGGTGAGTTGCGGTTGGGGCGTAAAGGTGGATGGGATGAATTTATCGTGAAGCAGCAGAGTCGTGCGCACAAGGCCCTCTGGAGGTTTGCAGTGGGAAGAGTGGAGAGGGAACAATTTGCCCTGGCAGGTAGTTTGGACCAAATTTATCGCAGGACTGGTGGGGTTGGTTTTGGGGGTTTTGGCCTGCTTTGCTTTCCAGGTTGCTTTGCTGCTGTACCTTACCTGGTCATTTGCCGTCTGTCGTCAGTCGTCAGTCGTCTGGTCTTGTAGTTGTCTCGTCCCTTATCGCCTCTCCTCTTATCGCCAACCGAGACGTCACGTCTGCTGTTTTATCTTCTCAGGCGCTGGCTGGGCGTGTGCTGGGCGTGCGGGCAGGACACCCACGGGCAGCGAGACCCAGTCAGCCAGTTCCAGCTCACGTTACTTGCTCCTTAGCGGGGTTGTGGAATTGGCTGCAAGCCCGACCCGAGTGGTTGAGTCTGGTCGCCGGCCCTGGCCCTCACCAAACTTCCTGCCCCATCGCCTTCCACCTCACTTTTTACAAACCCTTCCAATATCTCCACCCGCATCGCATCGTCCTCCGTTCCACGACACAAACGTGTCTACTCGACTTCTTCCATCTTCGACACCCTCGCAATATCTTCTTGCAGCCAACAAGATGTCTGAAATTCCCAAGAAACAGACGCAGACTGCCCCGTAATTCCTCACCTTTCCCCTCCTCCCCCACCGCTACCAAAACCTGGGGAGCCATATCCTCCCACCAAAGACTACAAAATCACCTGGCTGACATCTCGTTGCAGTACCCCCCAGAATACACCCGCCAACAATGCTCCCATTTCATCCCACGCCCAGCAGCCAGGTGTTGGCACGATCAAGGAAGGTACGCGCATCGCATTTGCCCCTCACCGAAATTTTACATCCAGACCACTAATATCTACAAATAGAGGAGCTCGACCGCGCGGCTGCAGCATCCATCTTCGCACAGAACCCCAAGCTTGTTCAGATGATTCAAGGCAAACTTGGTTCCCTCGTTGGCCGATCATCTGGCTACGTCGAGTCTCTTCCCGCTCCTGTGCGCCGTCGAGTTGCAGGTCTCAAGGGTGTCCAAAAGGAGCATTCGAAGCTCGAGGCAGAATTCCAGGAGGAGGTTTTGGAGCTGGAGAAGAAATACTTTGCCAAATTTACCCCGCTGTACCAAAAGCGAGCGACCATTATCAATGGTGTTGCCGAGCCGACGGAGGCGGAGATCAAGGCTGGCGAGGAGGACGAGGAGGTCGACGACGAGCCCGTTGAGAAGTCGGAGGAGGCATCTGATGTCAAGGGTATTCCAGAGTTCTGGCTCTCCGCTATGAAGAATCAGGTTTCACTCGCAGAGATGATCACTGACCGCGATGAGGCTGCTCTCAAGGATCTGACTGATGTCCGTATGGAATATCTTGACAAGCCTGGTTTCCGTCTGATCTTTGAGTTCGCCGAGAACGAGTTCTTTACCAACAAGATCGTCACAAAGACCTACTTCTACCAAACCGAGAGCGGATATGGAGGAGATTTCATTTACGATCATGCTGAGGGTGATAAGATCGATTGGAAGACCGGCAAAGACCTGACCGTACGCATTGAGAGCAAGAAGCAACGCAACAAGAGTAAGTCTTTAGATTTGATTCAATCGAGCCACAATCTAACAGCAAATCCTAGACACCAAGCAAACCCGAGTAGTCAAGAAGACTGTCCCAACGGAATCCTTCTTCAACTTCTTCTCCCCACCGTTGGCGCCAACTGAGGAGGACGATGATGATGCAGCTTCCGATATCGAGGAGCGCCTGGAGCTTGATTATCAACTTGGTGAGGATATAAAAGAGAAGCTTATTCCTCGTGCTATCGATTGGTTTACCGGAGAGGCTCTTCAATTTGAGGAGTTGGATGATGATATGGAGGAAGGTGATTTCGAGGACGAGGATGATGATGAGGATGATGCTAGTGAGGATCACGATGATGAAGAGGAGTCGGACGATGATGTAAAGCCGACCTATACTTCGGTATGAGAGGACCTAAGTTGCTAACAAATCCATAGGACGATGCTGCGAAGCCCAAGCAGGAGGCGGCTGAGTGCAAGCAAAGTTAAATGGTGTAATGCATTCTTATACCCAACAGCCACACCTTCGAACAGTCACTGTCTTCACCATCAGCGCATGCGACCAAGATGCATGGTCACGACCTATGCTTTGGCGTAGAATTCTCAGGATCCAACACATTGGTGGTCTTCACCTACATGACGACACAACGTTTCTGTTTCTTCTAGACTACCGAACTACCCTAATCAGCTCTCGAGAGTCTCTCCTTCTTCACATTTGCTGCACTGCATTACTTGGTCCATACAGATATTTTCAGGGGCGTTCTTCGTAGATGACAAATGAAAAGTTTACTGAGTCTCATTCCAATGTGGTGATGTGTCGTTACAAACAACCCTTGCTTCCGGGCCAAGGGGCTTTGTTTTGATGAGTGCCGATCTAAAATGTTGGGGCATCCTAAAGCCCCTGAGGCTGGGAATCCCGTCTTCGACCTGCTTCGCCCTCGTATCGTTGCCCCTTCATGCCAAAATTGATGCCGCAGATGACCTTCCTCTTGGAAATGAAAATCTCAGAATATAAAATGAAGCATAGGTGAGCTTCATGCAACAGAACTAGCATACCCAGACAGGGCATGTTTGCACCCCACATAAAGCTATGCAAGTATCCCTGCTTCTGTCGAGTTTGCAAGGAACGACAGCGAAAGACACAGTGTCAAGAGAACTGGCTGTTGAAGAGTCAAAGAGAGCCTGAGGAGTGGTTGAAGTTCACCAATTCTAGGTGGAAAAAGAGCCTCCTGTGCTATAAAGAAATCTCAACTACTTATTCATTGATTGCAGGTGTGCTAAGAACATTCGAGGTCTTGGTGGGTCTTTTGTTGACTCCCTCCCACAATCCTCCCACAAAGACTGCATTCTAGAGAACAGTTAGAGGAGATAGATAGATAGATAGATAGCACGAGCAAGGTCTACATGCTAATTACCTCTCGTCTTGAAGTCGAGGAGATATTCGGCGTGAGGACATAACTATGAGCTTGGAGAAATCGCCGACGCTTACGCTGCGTATACGCACATGCCATGCCATGCTGAACCATTCTCATTCCTGTCAACAAAGTGCTTCGCTGCATCTGCGTCTGCGTCTGCAGCTCTCATGCACCCTCAGACGCCCGTCTCCGACTCGCTCTTCTCACTCGGCGCTTGGTCCTCTCTAGTAGAAAAAGGGGTAGACGCTATTTCTAGGCTTGCGGCTTGCTCTCAGCACTTCTGGAAACCAGCCGAGCAGTTTATCCCTGCAGGGTGCTCTTACGCGACCGTCTCCGACCCGGACGCTCCAAATATCTGAAGACTGCTCTGCACTGCACTACACTGCACTGCACTGCACAGGACACGACAAGACACCGACTCCCTACATAACGGTTCTGTTCATGACTTCTGCATCTGGGACCGTCGACCATCGTGCCCTCCTCTGCCGCGGCCTAGCTACCTCCTAACGCCCTTACGATTGCTTCTTTCTGCTCCAATAACTTCTTCGCCAGGAGTTTGTTGGTTGATGCATGCTGCCCCTGTTGCAGCTCTCCTCTGCCGCGTTCATCGCTGAGATTGTTGAAGGGACCTTGATTTTGAGCTCAAGGAACGTCACGTCGCCCCTTCTGAACCGCCCAGATGGCGCACAACTATGATATTGGGACGAAGGCATGGCAGCCAGATGCCACCGAAGGTTGGGTGGCCTCCGAGGTAACCTCGAAATCTGCAGAGGGGGATAAAATCATCCTCATTTTCACCCTGGCGAACGGCGAGGTCAGTTTCCCATAGGCTGGACAGATTGCGTATTCATACATTCGTTCAAAGAGGATGCTAATTGTCCTCCCTTCTACAGACTAAGAAAGTTGAGACCACTGAGGAGGAACTGGCGGAGGCTAACAACTCGAGACTGCCTCCGCTGATGAATCCTACAATGCTCGAAGCAAGCGATGATCTCACGAACCTCTCACATTTAAATGAACCTGCTGGTTCGTTCTACATATACTTTCATTCTGGATAGCACTGATTGGAAAACAGTTCTCCAGGCAATTCGGTTACGGTACTCACAAAAGGAAATCTACACGTACAGTGGTATAGTCCTAATAGCCACGAATCCTTTTGCACGAGTCGACTCTTTATACGTTCCGGGTATGGTACAAGTTTATGCGGGAAAACAGAGAGCGACACAAGCACCCCATCTCTTTGCTATTGCGGAAGAAGCTTTTGCGTATGTATATTCTGGTGGAAAACATTACGGCCTTCTTGCTGACCACAACAGTGATATGCTACGGAGTGGGAAGAACCAGACCGTCGTCGTTTCAGGAGAGTCCGGTGCTGGGAAGACTGTCAGCGCCAAATACATCATGCGATATTTTGCAACTAGAGAGTCGCCCGATCAGCCAGGGACAAGGAAACGTGGAGTGGAGGCTATGAGTGAGACGGAAGAGCAGATTCTTGCTACCAATCCCATCATGGAGGCGTTCGGAAACGCAAAAACTACACGAAACGACAATTCTTCCCGCTTCGGAAAGTACATCGAGATCATGTTTGATGATAAGACAGCTATCATTGGGGCCAAGATTCGCACATACTTGCTGGAACGTTCAAGATTAGTGTTCCAGCCACTGAAGGAACGCAATTATCACGTCTTCTACCAACTCGTCGCGGGAGCATCAGAAAAAGAGCGTCAGGAACTCGAACTAGAGCCGGTCGAGAATTTCAACTATCTCAATCAAGGCAGCTCCCCTACCATTGATGGGGTTGACGATAAGGCAGAATTCGAAGCATTGAAGAAATCGCTCTCTACTATTGGTGTTACTAGCAGTCAACAGTCAGAAGTCTTCAAATTGCTCGCAGCTCTTCTCCACCTGGGAAATGTCAACATCACAGCATCAAGGACGGACTCAGTTTTGGCTTCCACTGAACCGTCTCTTGTGAAGGCGGCCTCAATACTCGGGGTGGATCCTGTTGAATTCGCCAAGTGGACTGTCAAGAAGCAGTTGATTACAAGAGGGGAGAAAATCACGTCAAATTTGACTCAGCAACAGGCTATTGTCGTCAGGGACTCTGTCGCCAAATTCGTATATTCTAGTCTCTTCGACTGGCTGGTTGAGAATATCAATGATGCTCTGGCTACAGAAGCAGTGATAAGCCGGGTCAAGTCCTTCATTGGGGTTTTGGATATTTACGGGTTTGAGCATTTTGCAAAGAACTCATTCGAACAGTTTTGCATCAACTATGCAAATGAAAAATTGCAACAAGAATTCAACGCACATGTTTTCAAGTTGGAGCAAGAGGAGTACCTGAGAGAAGAAATTGACTGGACTTTTATTGACTTCTCCGACAATCAGCCTTGTATTGATCTCATCGAGGGAAAGCTTGGAATATTGTCCCTTCTGGATGAAGAGTCCAGGCTCCCTATGGGCTCTGACGAGCAGTTCGTCAACAAACTGCATCACAACTATGCCGCCGACAAAAACAAATTCTACAAGAAGCCCCGTTTTGGAAAATCTGCTTTCACAGTTTGCCATTATGCTATCGACGTCACATACGAGTCCGATGGGTTCATCGACAAGAATCGAGATACGGTTCCTGATGAGCACATGGCCGTACTGAGAGCTTCTTCTAACCAGTTCCTTGGACAGGTTTTGGATGCGGCCTCTGCAGTGCGAGAAAAGGATAGTGCCTCCGCTGCTTCGGCGGCTGTGAAGCCTGCAGCTGGTCGTAGAATTGGTGTTGCCGTAAATCGAAAACCGACACTAGGTGGGATCTTCAAGTCGTCCTTGATCGAACTCATGCACACGATCAACAATACAGATGTTCATTACATTCGATGTATCAAGCCCAACGAGAGCAAGGAATCCTGGGTCTTTGAAGGTCCCATGGTTCTCAGTCAATTGCGAGCTTGCGGTGTTCTCGAAACGGTAAGAATTAGTTGTGCAGGGTACCCAACAAGATGGACTTATGAAGAATTTGCGCTTCGATACTACATGCTTGTCCCGTCGGTTTCGTGGACATCAGAAATCAGGGACATGGCGAACAAAATTCTTACGAAAGCCCTCGGAGCAAGCAGCGGGGGTGGAATGGACAAGTATCAGCTTGGCCTAACCAAGATTTTCTTCCGTGCTGGTATGCTGGCTTTTCTCGAGAACCTCCGGACAAACCGTTTGAATGACTGCGCTATCATGATCCAGAAGAATTTGAAGGCGAAATACTATCGTCGCAAGTATCTAGAGGCACGAAATGCTATCTTGCTCTTCCAGTCGGTCGCCAGAGCGCATCTTGCTCGGAAGCACGCTCAAGAGACTCGCAAGATTAAAGCTGCCACAACAATCCAAAGGGTTTGGCGTGGACAGAAGCAAAGAAAGAGTTTCACTGCCATCCGCAACAATCTTATCCTTGCTCAAGCTGCCGCAAAGGGTTTCTTACGACGACGGGAGATTATGGAGACTCGTGTTGGCAACGCTGCTATTTTGATCCAGAGAGTTTGGCGCTCAAGACAACAAATGAAGAGCTGGAGACAGTACAGACGCAAAGTCGTCATCATCCAGAGCTTGTGGCGTGGTAAGCAAGCACGCCGAGGATACAAGAAGGTCCGGGAAGAGGCACGCGATCTGAAGCAAATCTCCTATAAGTTGGAGAACAAGGTTGTGGAGCTCACACAATCCCTTGGCTCAATGAAGAGAGAAAATAAGACTTTGATAAGTCAAGTGGAGAATTACGAGAGCCAGATCAAGTCCTGGAAAACAAGACACAATGCGTTGGAAGCTCGCTCCAAAGAATTGCAAAGCGAGGCAAATCAGGCCGGTATCACTGCAGCCCGCCTCGCAGCAATGGAAGAAGAGATGAAGAAGTTGCAAACAAACTTCGACGAGTCGGCTGCGAACATCAAACGGCTGCAAGAGGAGGAGAAGGAGCTCCGTGAGACTCTTAGAATATCCAACCAAGAGCTTGAGGAAACGAAGAGAAAGAGTCAAGTTCACGAGGCTGAGAAGGATACCTTGAGACAACAACTGGTGGATCTCCAAGACCAGCTCGAGCTAGCGAAGCGAGTGGTACCAGTCATGCCGACCAACGGTGAACTTACCAATGGTGCCGCCGCGCAGCTGCCGTCGAACGGTCTCATCAACCTCGTTTCGTCGAAGAAGCCAAAGAGACGCAGTGCAGGTGCCGAGCCACGGGAGATCGATCGATTCAGCGCAGCATATAACCCTCGTCCTGTATCTATGGCGGTCACCGGAAGCAATCTCCACCGTGCTGGTCTTCCAGGCACAACTTTCGTTCCAGGTGTTGACAATGTTGAATTCGAGCTCGAGAACCTCCTCGCTGACGAAGACGGCCTCAACGATGAAGTGACGATGGGCTTGATCCGCAACCTCAAGATCCCGGCACCGGGAACTACACCTCCACCAACGGATAAGGAAGTTTTGTTCCCCTCATATTTGATCAACTTGGTCACTTCCGAGATGTGGAACAACGGTTTCGTCAAAGAATCAGAGAGATTCCTTGCCAATGTTATGCAATCAATCCAACAAGAGGTCATGCAACATGACGGTGATGAGGCTATCAATCCGGGTGCTTTCTGGCTCTCCAACGTCCACGAGATGCTCTCTTTCGTCTTTCTTGCAGAAGACTGGTACGAGGCGCAAAAAACCGACAACTACGAGTATGATCGTCTTTTGGAAATCGTAAAGCACGATCTTGAGAGTTTGGAGTTCAATATTTACCACACCTGGATGAAGGTCCTCAAGAAGAAGCTCCAAAAGATGATTATCCCAGCCATTATCGAGTCACAATCTCTACCTGGCTTTGTAACCAATGAGAGCAACAGATTTCTCGGCAAGCTCCTTCAAAGCAATTCTGCGCCAGCTTTCAGCATGGACAATCTCCTGAGCTTGCTCAACAACGTATTCAAGGCGATGAAGGCTTATTACCTAGAAGACTCTATCATCACCCAAACAATTACGGAACTGCTTAGACTAGTTGGCGTCACTGCATTCAACGACCTTTTAATGCGAAGGAATTTCCTCTCTTGGAAGCGTGGTCTTCAGATCAACTACAACATCACTCGAATTGAGGAATGGTGCAAGAGCCACGACATGCCAGAAGGAACGCTCCAGCTAGAGCACCTGATGGTAAGTAGTCCTGTCTGAAACACGGTCAAATATACTAACAACAAACAGCAAGCAACAAAGCTCTTGCAGCTCAAGAAAGCCACATTAAATGATATTGAAATCATTCAGGATATCTGCTGGATGTGAGTATTTCCATACTCCGCCCGAGAATTTTACTGACAGTGCCTAGGCTTTCACCCAACCAAATCCAGAAGCTTCTCAACCAGTACCTTGTAGCTGATTATGAACAGCCTATCAATGGTGAAATTATGAAGGCCGTTGCCTCTCGTGTTACTGAGAAGAGCGACGTTCTTCTCCTCACTGCTGTTGACATGGATGACAGTGGACCATACGAGATTGCCGAACCCCGGGTGATCACGGCGCTGGAGACATACACTCCATCATGTAATTCTACCATGCTTGCTTCACGTTTACATACATGACTAATCCTCAACCAGGGCTCCAAACTCCACGACTCAAGCGTCTTGCAGAGATTGTTTCTGCACAGGCTATTGCGCAACAGGAGAAACTCGACTACCCACTCGACGATACCAATGATCTCACCGACAGCGAGCTGAATGGATCATAATAACCCCTTGTCGAATAGCTTCTTGACGGTTACGACTTATTCGCTTCTCCTGTACCATTTTCTCCCTACGTTCTTTTTGGACGATCATCTGCTGCTGTTGGCTTCCAAACGGGCATGTTGTATATGGAAGGTCTTACCTGTTAGCGATCTCATGTATTATGTGAGAATTTGTTACCTGTTGGAATGACTGCACGTGGGATATCTAGGTGCATTGTACAAGACATCTTCGATTTGGCGTTGATCCTTTTTCACTTTTATGGATAATGGTGAGAGGAGATAGAGAATCTTCCACACCCTTCAGGCGCAAGGTTCAGCAGCATGGCATGAGGCAGGTAGACATTAATATTCCAAATGCCACCATGATCACGCTCTAGATTTGCCTTAACCGCTTCTATATGTTTTAGTGGATTTTTCCTTTGGGCTATGTTGAATTCGCTTATCTCGACTCTTGCCAACGGGATCTACAAGTCTGTAGGCCGCTCGAGGTTATTGGCATTTTAGGCCAGACATAATTAGGTGCTGCTTCTTTGTACGACCTACCTAGGTACCAATTCCTGTGGACGCGAATTACAAATATCACCGTGGAAGGCAAGGTCAATCAGTGTTGAATCCAGATTGGTCACGTGGATCCACCCAACGCTAAGATAAGGACTGTACTGTACTGTATGGTAGCTTATCAGAGAGGGGTTCAAGAATTTTTGTTGATTTAAACCTTCAACACATCAGTTCCCTGGCCACCACCACAACACCCACCATGCGCAACCAACCAAACATTATTGTGACCGGCACACCCGGTGTAGGCAAGACAACCCATTGCGAAAGTCTCGCCCAGAGCACTGGCCTTAAACACCTCTCCATCAACGATATTGTCAAGGAGCGGGGTTGCCACGATGGGTACGATGAGGAGTTCAAAAGCTGGATTGTGGACGAGGACAAGGTAGCGGATTATAGATTTGGCGATCTGGCGACCATGAAGCTGACACTTTGGCTTTGTAGTTATTGGATGCGATAGAAGACGAGGTCAAAGAGGGCGGATATATCATAGATTGGCACGCTTGCGACTTATTCCCCAAAAGCTGGATTGATCTAGTGGTTGTGCTGCGTGTGGACTCGACGCTCTTGTACGATCGATTGAAGGCGAGGTATACTTCCCCAATCTTGACCCGGTTGAAGGGCTTAGGTAATTGACTCCCCTAGAGAGATTATCCCGAAGCAAAGCTCCAAGAGAATCTCGACTCAGAAATCATGGAAGTCCTCCTGCAAGAAGCCCGCGAGTCTTACGACGAGGAGATTGTGGTTGAGCTCACGAGCAACAACTCAGATGAGATGGAGAGTAATATCGAAAGACTCGAGGCGTGGGTCAAGCAATGGAAGAAAGATCACACAGAGGATGCTCAGTAGAGGGTTGGCTTGTGTCTATTGCTGCAACGCGGCGTGTCATCCATCTCAGGACTCCTCCATCCACTTCTTGAGCTTTTCCAAAGCACGAAATCGATGCGAGATCTTATTCTTCTCGACTTTGTCCATCTCAGCATAACTGGGGAACGAGACTTAGCTTGTGGCTCAAAAGATCTGATGATGGAAAGGGAACTTACGTCTTGCCCTCATACTCGAAGATTGGGTCCCAGCCTGAGCACAATCAGTATTCATGTGTAAGGTATCGAAACGACAAGAATGCAGCTCACCAAAATTCGTTGGTCCTCTCGCCGGTACGATTTTGCCCTGCAGGAGTCAGAATTGATCTTGGAAGGGGACAGGAATATTTACATGCGTCCTGCCTTGAAAGATAATTGGCTCATGGCTTGGACCTTCGCAGTATGCAAATGTGCAAACGGCCTGAGCAGACTTATCTGGGAAGGCGGCGAGCATGTCGTTGAGTCCTTGGTGGCCGAGAGCTTCTAGGAACCACTTGCTGTAAAATGTCAAAATTGTATCCAACTTGAGCCAGAATTTGAAAATGCATTTATGCAAATGATAGATCATTGTGAGTTTCGAAAATATGACATACATATAAGGACCCGGTAGCTCTTTCAGTGCATTGAAGCACAGACATGTATCTTCAACTAAGACAGGACCATTGACCTAAGAACTCTAAGCAGTCTATCATCTGAAGGTAGCTTGCTTGCTAGGCCACTTACGGCGGCAGCTGCCCTCCGACACTTATCAGCGGAAATTTCTTCAATGGTACCCTGGATCTCAACTAGATCCAATGCCTGGCTTTTCAGATCTACAGTGTCGCCCAGAATAGCCTTGACTTCTGTAAGCTTATTCTTGTTGCCGGTGATGAAGTTGAGTTGCTTGGGAGCCATGGTGGGGGGTCTGAACGTGGGATGCAGGTGAGGATGAGAATTGAGATAAAGGTGATATTTGGCTCTCAGAAACGTAGAACAAGCTAGCCGCCAAGTATTATTCGGGAGATAGGTACGAGCGAAGCTCGGAAGGTGAATGTGGTGATCTGAGAAGCCTTCATTCTGGATGTCATAATGAGAGAACTTTGTGGTAGCTGCTGTTTATTGATAAAAGGCGTTTCGAACTGGATGGAGACACCCTCGAACAACGACCTCATTTGCAGCGGACCTCATTCATGCATCCACCACATCAAAATAAAGTATTTAAATACCTACTAATGCATCCCATCATATAGTATTCGAGACAACTACTGGTCTCGCAGGGATATGGACGACTTTTACAGACCAGCAAGCTGCCCTGACTGTCTTCCTCAGGGGCTAGTCGCCGACATATACCACTCACTATCCATTTCGCCAGCCATACTAGCGACTCTCCTCTTCGGCCCCATTCTCATCTTCCTTACTGCTCGGCTATTACTTATAGGAGATACTCCAGACCCCAAGGAAGAAAAAGAACAGACATCATGGATGGTTCCATTTCAACCTGTGCCATGGCGAGTCCTGGAATGTGTAAGAGCGAACGAGCTCCCTCAATCTGGCAATCAAAATGCTGATGATTAAGTTCTTTGGAGTGCCGAGACGGAGTGAAGAGAAATACAAGGAAATATCAGAAGTAGAAACCTTTCCATGTGAATTCGAAGAACGTGGACTGACATAGAGCAGGAACTGAAGGCATGTAATCGCTTCATCCTAGACGAGCCACACATGACCTTGCTACTCAACAATGCAACCCAAAACCTCGAACGAAACATCCCACAAATGATCTCTTTCATAAACACTTCCATCGATCTCCAGCCATGGGAGCAGCACGCCCAAGCCCATTTTATCTCCTCGTCAGAAGCAGAGCTCAATCTCCAATCTCTCATCCGGGACATGACGGGCTATGCCCTCGTCCCGGCTGTCTTCGGCCATGCACTCCTAGAGAAGTATCCTGCTATCCTGCACGACTTGCATATTATGGATACAGGTAGTAGCTACCTTCTGAAGAACCTCCCGCCTTGGATACCATGGCCTGGTGTCGTACAAGCGCATATGGCGCGATTTAAGGCCTTACAGTGTTTGGATGAGCATCAAAAGGCGGTTGATGGAATGATTATGGGTATGGGTACCGATGCATCATGGGGGGATTTGGAGGATGTGAGTGAGCTGATCATGAAGAGAAACATTGTCTTTAGAGGTAACTCTGACCCGTTGGAATTTACATGCTCGTACTGATTGTAGAACTGGAATAGAGCACGGACTTGAGCTCAAAGAGCGAGCAGATATAACCGTAAGTCGACCTTTTTCTTCAATACTCTCAAGTATGCCCGAAATAACAAGCAATGACCAGATCTTGTACTCTCTAAGCACCCTTCCATCCCTTATCATCTTCTGGCACATCCTCTACATCCTCAACACACCGAACTTACTTTCACGTATCCGGACCGAACTCAACCCCTACGCCAAGATCACCAAACCTTTCTCTATAGGCGCCATTTCCGAAGCACCGAAACTGGTACTTGCTAGTCAGGGCTTGGCTGAGAATTGTCCGCTGCTAAGATCCACGTATCTTGAGACGATTAGGATTGTTGATCAGGGAGTGGTCATGAGTTCATCTCTTGGGGGAATAGAAGGGTCAAAAGAGGAGATTAAATTCCCAGAGACGTTCGATCCCGAGCGCTTCCGTAAAGCGCCAGTAGCAAGCTCGAGTTCTGCTGGAAATACAAAATACGCCTCGATACACAAGAGCCAGTTGTTTATTGAACGGGGATGTCTAGCTGTAGTAGCAGCTATCTTGGCATTTTGGGACTTTGAGCCTATAGAGAAGGGGTCTGGGTGGAAGATTCCCGATAAGCAGTGGATGCGCGGGATTGCGCTACCGGCGAATGATCTGCGAATTAGGGTCAGGAGGAGGAAGTTCGACTGGGCTGATTGAGGGACTGCTGTTGTTATTAGCTTGGGTAATCTGGAGCTCCTACCGTAATCTTCACTGCGAAGATGCTCTAGTTAGCTTAGGAGGGGAGAATGGCAAACCTAGAAGGGAATTCAACCAGGATGTAAGCATCCACTGGAACATGCCTTACAATTCACATTCCATAACCTGAGGCGAAATACACTGATGTCTCAAAACAGACAATTTTCAATCGTAGGTTGCTAAACTAAACGGTCTGTAGACCACGACGATTTGACTTCATTTGAGATTTCTTCTACTTCATATTGGATCCAGAGCGCGAAGCTCTTATTGCTTATAGCCATGGTCTCATGTCCAGTATGGCCTTGAGAAGGATGCAGATATCTGCCAAGGTAACTAGGTACCTATTCCGACAAAAGAGTGGAGAAACCCTGCCAATTGCTCTCAAGAATGACCCCTTATCCAGTAACGTATTTGGATCGTCGAATGAGATTTTCAGTCCTCTCCTGTAGGTTTATACATGATTGTGGTGACGTACTGACCGTACATGTTAGCATTTGCTTCATAAAGATATCAAGAGGCTCACCTTTCTCTTGTATCTCGTCGTTGCCGACACAGCGAGTACGTTGTTCTTGATACTGCTAGTAGCCAGGTGATTGAGAACGGTATGGTTTGGCATGGTTAAGACACTGTTGTCGTCTTTCATCGGTGTAGCCGCATTGAGAATTGGCTTGCCCAAAAACCCAGGAAGGCTGGGCGGGGTTGGAAGCTTCTCAATTGCAGCGGCTGCGTATTGGTATGCGGGAGTTTCTTCAGCCTTGTCAAGATCAACAAGATATTGTGGTACTTGCGAAGAATATCGTCCCGGCGGTAAAACCGACTTGGTCCTTGGAGTCTTGGGAGCTTGTGGGTCGCCATCCTCTGGAGCTTTAGACTCGTCCTTTGCAGCTACGTTTGCCTCCGTATCTCCACCCGAAACTGGAGCACCTGATGCTCGTGCTATAGCTGGAGCTTCCTGTGGTATGTCATCTGCGCTGACTTCAATGTAGTTTACCAGATTGTTGCCAAAGTCCACTGTAGTTGGAATGTGCTTGGAACACTGCATAACACCATCAACAATGAATCTGATATGATGAGTTCCTGGCTTGACATGTATGATAGCCCTTAAAATGCCCGGTTGGCCAGAACTATATACAGTCAGTACCAATCTAATTGGATATGAATAGAGCACCGCAAGCTCACTTACACGGGATGTAAACGGTACTTCTTGTTCCATTGGAAAATAGTACCTGTCACGTAGACCTTTTGCTCCGATCCTTGTATCTTCCATTCGAATGGGGTGGGAACAGTGGCTTTGTTCTTGTCAATGCGCAACTCCTCTGCGTCCTCTTCATCGACGGTAGTGGTGCTGAGTGCGGATGAGCGTCGGCCCAGAGTTTCGTTGTCTAAAGCTTCTATATCCAGCACCGGAGCATCTATATCTGTTGGGGCAATTATGGGCGATCCTGGAGTGTGGACCTCCTCCTCGATTGGAAGGGGTAGCCGCGGTGGGCGAGTCAGATGGTATGACATATCTTGTGTTGCTGGAGGGCCTGATGGCTCGATTGATTGGGAGTATGATCGAGAGGTTGTAGCATCAACGTTAGGAGCAGGTACAGGGACATCGACGGGTTTACTGGGTTGGTCCTTCGCTTCCGACTTTAGTTCTTCTTTGGACTGCTGGACCCCCATCTGCGACTCGCTGCTGTGGTTAGATGGTGGTGTATTGGCGTTGCTATTTTGACTCGACGGCGGCTGTGATTGCTGTGGAGTTGGAGTGATTGATTGTGACTGTGACTGTGACTGTGACTGTGAATGTGAATGGGAGTTGCGTGAACGATGCGCAGTAGTTCCACGAGCCTGGGCTAGAGACGGCTCTGCAGGAGCTCGTTGCGCTTGAATCAGATTGCGGGGGTCTCGTCGTGTGGAGGGGGTGCGTGAAGCTTGAGCTTGAGCTTGAGCTTGAGCTTGTGCTTGAGCTTGTGCATCATGGTTCGAGGGCGAAGGCGAAGGGGATGAGGAGGCCGAATGCGAATGCGAGTGGGAGTGTGAGTGCGAGTTCGACTTCGAGTTTGTGGACGGATTGTTGCCCATAGTGAAGCAGTCGGGGAGGGCGAGGGCGAGGCAGGAGAAGCAGATAGGTCGGGAAGTAGGGTCTGATGTGCGAGGTGAGTGCCTGGGCAGGAAGGTACGATGCAGGGCAAGGCGAGACGACGGGAGGTATCCGGATGTCTTTGTAGATGGGGCACGGGAGGGGTCGAGGAGATGAAGAGACGCGGGGTCGAAGACAGGAGAGGGGTCCAAGAGAATGGAAGAGAGGAGTCTATCGGACAAGAGTTGAGATGTTCACATTGACGTGCTGTGTTGTGCTCTGCCGTGCTCTTTACGGTACCTAGGTATGTCTAGTAGCGTATTGTTGGTGGAAGCAAGATATAGGATGGATAATAGGTATGGCTGCAGAGAATAAAAATAGATAGAGGCAGGCGGGGGTAGGATTCTGAGATATGATGCTATCCCCAACACTGTCACGATGCCCCCGGCCCAGCCCAGCCCAGCCCAGCCCGGCGCCGAGCCGCCCCGCCCCGCCCATCCAAAGACGCTGACGCTGACGCTGACTCCCCCGAAACCCCGCGCCAAATTGGCCAGTCTCGCAGGCTAAGGTATTGTAAAGGTACCAAGGTAAATTACTTATACCGAACTACATAAACGACCTTGAGGCAATTAAGGTAGGTAGGTATCATTCTGTCATTCCTCCCGGTCCTCCTCTCCTCGCCCGACCCCCTACGATTATACGTCAAGTACCAGGGAGCCAGGGGAGCCAGGGGAGCCAGGGGAGCCAGGCCAGGGTAGAGAGACTGAAGTAGGGTCGCGCTGGAGGGCTAACCACCGCGCCACGAACAGAGCAGAGCAGAGCAAACCAAATCAAAGCATTCGTGTTCTTCGGCCCTGCAAAACTTGTAGTACAATTCTACAATTCCAACTACAATTACCATACCCACCACACCTATACCTGTAACTCAATTGATTTCATTACCCAGCCATCATTGACGCCTCTCATCCTACGTTCAGTTCATACGTACTCATCGATAGTCACAACTTACTCTCCCTTGCAGCACGCTTTCGCTCTGCTACCTGCTCGTCACTTCACAACGAGGGCGCTTGAAAGCAGTCTTCCAGATGCGCTTGGACATTGAACCCGGGCATCAATCATAAACATGGGCATGACCTGGCTCTCAGTTCTCGAGGTCACCTTCTACTATGTCTCTCTCCCTATTACGATCATTTTCCGGTGGATCGTGGCATGTCTCACGCTAGTTTCCAACCTCGCGATGTACATATCGTCAGGCTTCCTTTTGCCGCTGAGATTTCTGGCAAAATTCGAGGTCTGACGACATCTTTCTTAAGTACTTTGATTGCAGCTAACGCGCTACTAGACTATGTTTATCTATCTCGGTGTTGCTGCTGTCATAGGCCTCATCACTGGATCTATCCTCCATCTTTCATCTAGTCTTCTCGATTCTGTTTTCAACTTGACCACTGCGCCGGAAGAGACCGGCAGATCCGCAGCTTCGGTTCGAGCTGCACGTGAGCAGAAGAAGCTTGAGCAAGCATGGGACAGGATTCCGACCAAAAGTACGAAGGGTGACCTGCGTAGTGATCCTGAGATGGAGAGGTTTGCAGAGTGGCTTGAGAAGGGAGATCATGGGGTGCTAGGCCAGACCATCCTTGAGGAGGATGACTCGGATGATCTGGATGGATTTTGACAATCCCTGGCAGCAACTAAACGTACAGGCTGGAATTTTGTGTCTGGCCCGAGTTCGTGTCTGAGCCTCTTCAGTCCCTCCATTTAACGAAGACTTCATCTGTTCTGAATCGTTGGGTACAGGTGCTTTCCTCAAGAGGTGTTCTGAAGCCTGTCTCGTACGCCAGCAATCCAGCATGGGCAATCATGATTCCATTGTCGATGCAGAAACGTTCGTCCGTTGCAAATACACTTCCTCCCCTATCCTTTGCCATCAATCCCATCATCTCCTGAAGTCTTTCGTTACAGCCCACACCTCCAACAATCAGCACTTGATTGCTGCCGACGTGTGCCATAGCTCGTTCGGTAATCTCCACCAACATTGCATATACTGTCTCTTGCAGGCTGAAGCACAAGTCTGCAGTCGTGATCAATTCTCCACTGATTGGATCTCTTTGATTCGGATTCGCTTTTAGTTCTGCCGCAAGTATATCGATGCTGGAAAGAATTCCTGCAAAAGAGCAATCCATTCCCTTCACCGCATATGGGATATCCAAGAGAACCTTCCCTTTCTTTGCTAATTGTTCGATGTTGTATCCCGGAGCAGGGTCATTGCTGATCTCGAGGGTGCGGGCAAATCGATCCAGACAATTTCCTACAGCAATATCAAGTGCCTCCCCAAAAATCCGATACCGTTGCTCTGCATACGCGATGACCTGGGTGTTTCCTCCGCTCACATACAAGACTACCGGATTCTGGGCACCTGTGATCTCACGTCCCATTTCGATATGACCCACGCAGTGGTTGACACCAACAAGTTCTTTCTCCCACAGCAGAGCGAGCATACGCGCTGCTACAGCCACACTCTGCAAAGGGGCACCCATTCCAGGCCCTTTTGTGTAGCATATACAGTCGACATCTTTAATGGCTACTCCGGCTTGGCTCATGGCCTGCTTGACAAGCTTGACAACCCATGACCTGTGGTGTTTCGCCGTGTCCTTGGGCAAGAAGCCCTCTCCGGGAGGGGACACGAAGGTATGACGGATGTTTGAAAGTATTTGTGCCGGTTTCCCATTCGGAGGATGCGAAATGACACCAACTCCCAGTTTATTGGCGCTGCCCTCGAGACCGATGGCAATCATTTTAAACGGTGTTGATGTTTTTGGGAAGATGGAGGGGAGGGGAGGAGTCTCTTTCGGCGGGGTTGATGACCCTGGTCAGTTCGCCTTGCGATAAAGAAAAGTCGATAAGAGTCCCTCTTCAACATAAACAGGAAGGCAGAAATGCGACACAAGTTTTGATCTGATTCTTGTTGTAATCTAAAAGAAAACCTTCAACTATTAGGACACTGACTCTAGGTCATACTTTATAGCTTAAATGTAATATTAGTCCGGGATGTGCAAAGCTGCGACGAAAGAAAATAAGAGGCAGGGCTAGGTAGGTATTTTTCCCACGCTAGTGCCTGCCTGCCCTCGCTTGATACCGTCTTTCCTCCGACTCGACTTTTGCACTTCAACGACCTTTACTACAATTATTCCCTCCTCACCACCCGGTATTCTTGAATATTACTCCTGTTCCGAAGAATAAAAGTATGGACGGCGACGACTTCGATTCCAAGACCGAAGCCTTTCTGGCATGGCTCAAAACTATGGGTGTCGTTATGAATCCAAAAATCTCACTGGTTTCTTTTCGGTCAGCATCTCGAGGTCGGGGAGTTGGTAAGTACAACATCTTCTTCGACATCCTCCACCCTATTTGCGAGTACTGCTTGCGCAGCCTTGTCAGCTTTCTCTCGCTCTCGTCTCTATCCCTATGAAGTACGAGGAAAAGAACTGACTTTTCCAGTTGCGCTGGCGGATATCGAGGAAGATGAGGGCTTGTTCATTATCCCACGTTCAGCGGTCCTCAACACAACCACAGCTCTCACTGCTACCGATACTGCTACCACTCCAGCCATTTTAGAAATGCCCAGCTGGTTGGTATGCTGCTACACTCCATCCATTTGAGAACTGTCCAGTTGACACCACTCCCTAGGCTCTCACTGCAATCATCCTCGCCGAAGGAAGCCGACAGGATTCTATATGGGCACCATACCTTGCGCTACTACCTCGAGAACTGGACAGTCTGGTCTTCTGGTCGGCAGCAGAGCTGCAGGAACTACAAGCCAGTACGGTGGTGAGCAAAATCGGACGATCTGCTGCCGAAGACATGTTCTCCCAACACATCACTCCGCTGCAGTTAGAGAATGGAAGTGTAGAGATGTGCCACCGAGTCGCATCGATTATCATGGCCTATGCATTCGACATCCCTGAGAAGGAAAGCCAGGAGGAAGCTGATACTGCGGAAGGAGACGACTTAGTTTCGGATGACGGAGAGGACGAAAAGACAATACTGGCCATGATTCCCCTTGCGGATATGCTTGTAAGTCACGTCTCCGGTCCGGCGCATGGACTTCTTTCACAATTTCCAAGTTCCCAGTACTGAATTCTGTCGCCTTAGAACGCCGATGCTTCAAGGAACAATGCCCGCCTCTGCTGCTATGATGAAAACCTGGAAATGAGAAGTATAATGCCTATTTCTAAGGGAGAAGAGATATTCAACGACTATGGTCAGCTTCCCCAATCAGATCTCCTCCGCCGCTATGGTTATACCACCAACAATTATGCTGTATATGATGTCGCCGAAGTCTCGACGAAATCTATCCTTGCATTCCTCGCCAAGGGGCAATTGCTGAGCGCGGACAATACTCTTTCCCCATTGAGCCGTGAGCAGCTGGACCGACGAGTTGAATTAGCGCAGGTCTGTACATCTCCCTTTGTTTTTTCATTACCTCGGATCCTGGGCCCCTGAATCCGTTGCTTAAGACCGAACTCTAGATGGTCTACCTCTATCTGTGACTTCGAAATAAACCAGTGCTAATAACAAACAGCGCGAAGGTGTGTACGAAGACTCCTTTGATATCTGTCACTCTGGCCCAGATGGCCCAAGCATCCCGGACGAACTACTGGGGCTCTTGTTTTTATTACTAGTGGACGAAGAAAATCTAGCCGCTATCGAATCGTCTCAAGCTTCCCTTTCAAGTCGCCTTAAGCTTGCAACAGTTCTGGTTGGAAAGGTACTGGCTGTCATTCTCGAATCGCGTGCCAAAGAGTACTCGACGACTATTGAGGAGGATCGAGCTCTCCTGCAAGCTGGAAACCTCACAAGTCGACACATCATGGCGATTCAAGTGCGACTGGGAGAGAAGCTGGTCCTGGAAGAAGCCATACAGGAAGCCAAATCTTTCACGGGCAGCGACAAGAAGATGCGACTGAAGCACGACTCGGCGCCTAAAACCCATAGCGGGAAAAGGAAGGTAGAAGATGACGCGGCAGGAAGAAAGAAGGGAAGAGTCAGATGATAAGCAACGATCGCAAGCACAACTAGTGGCACACTTTTGTTGTTACAAGCGTCGAGTCGTATGAGCGGCATCTGGTCTAGAGAGAAAATTGATACTCGGGCAATGAACGCAGAAACGAATGAAATGCTAGACCTGGGAACGTTACAAGTAGGTACGAGTTAACAAGTTTTTCTTGTTTTAGTTAGGTTGAGCTCGTGTGAGCAGTGCTAAAGTTACATCAGGTTACCCGTTCACCTCCCTTATACCGGGGGGAACGTCTGTCTATTTTGACAAGTATGCGCTGGCCCATTTCCGTTGACAACGCCTTGAAATCCAAAGGAACATCCGTAAGTGATGCCCTGCAAAGAACTATGATGTACATAATGTTCAACAAGCACACGCATGGTGTTAGTGGTGTGGGTTGTGGGTTGTGGGGAGAACTGTCGTTCTTCAAGCGCTTCAAGTCGGCGCTTGAGGTTGTGGTTGCGCAGACGTTTGTTGTCCTGTCGCAACTACTCGATTTGCTGGACTGATGCCAGTGTTTCTAGCTTGCTGGATCGATCGCTCATCTTGTCGAGAACGCTGATTTTGTGGATTCAGGTGAGCAGGAAAGGGTATGGTTGCACGAAATCGAAGAGCTTTCGTGTCATAAGGATCTACCTCGTACACCGGTTGCTCATCATCGTCATCTTGGTCATACTTCCAGCGATCGGACATTTCTGTATCTACTCCCCTCTGTGGAGCAGCCATTCCTCTACGGTCGATCCAAAGTCGGCCACCTCTACCGATTCTTCTTCGATAAGCTGGCTGCCCACGGGGCTCATCTTCTTCTGGAGGAGAACCATATCGGAACGAGAAGGGCTCAGATTTTTCCTGGACCGGAGAGAGGTGGTCGAAGGACTCTGATGTCACGGAAGATGGAGGAGTCATCAGATACTGATACTGAGCTGTGGCAGGTCGGAAACCCATCTCAGCACCTTGTCCATGGACTGGTGACAGTGGCTCTCGAGTCAGATCAACATGGCCCAAGTTCCATTTGCGGTGTTGCTGGGCTTTCTCTTCGATCTCTATCTGAAGAGCATTTTCCTTTTGGGCCACTATGTCACTCAGCAAAATGAGGTCAGCGTCGAGGGCTTTGCCATCTGGTCTTCCTTGGAAGCGCATCTGCGACCCAGGCAGGCGGGGTGGTTGAGCAAAGTCGGCTATCTTCCTCTTCTGTGGCTGCGAATTTATTAGCTGTGTCAAGGACTCGGCCTGGAGACGACGTACACGTTGGTTGATTAGGAGATCATCGTCGTCTGTTTTGATGCCAAGTCTGACCTTAGCTTCTTTGACCTTAGCTCGTTCCAAGAAGATAGTCTTTTCAAGATGTACGAATTGCTGCTTCGACACCTCTCTGTCATGCGCGAGTACGACTATCTCATTAGCCGCCTCCAGTTCCCTTCTCAGTCTCTTCAACTTGTCTACACTCTGTGTGTCACGAGCTCTCGTTTTCCTGGTCTGTCGAACGTCCCGACGTCTGAAGCAGACATATGGATCAGCGTCATCTTTGTTTTGGTCAACTTCCTCCTTGAGTTTTGGTTGCAGCGGATGATTATCCGAGGCTTGTCTACGACTCTTCCAGTACTCAAAAACATCCTTTGCGAAAGCGACATTCCTGCCTTGAAATCGCTGGGCGATGAGAGACTTGTGATCTTCAAAGGGTAAGATGGTACCATCTACTGATGCAAAAGGAATCTCGGAGTCATGCTTGTCCTCGAAAATCTCCATCAACTTCTCGAAATCATCCTCGGTACACTTCGCTGCTTGCGGCTTCTTCTGGTTATGTGCTTTGAGAAAGACATCATCCTCTGTTGTCATGTTGTACTGGACACCAGTACACTCCTCGACAGTTTGGGAGGTACGGATGTATGTGGCTGGTTTATGGTATTCCAGGCTGTAGAGGGCGTCATAATCGATGTCTTTACCCTCTTCAGCAGGAGGCGCTGGAATCTCTTCGACCTCCTTGGCAGTTGCACTGGTTGTGGTTCTTAGTGCAGCTTGTAAATGATATTCCTTGGGACAAGGGTCAGCCTTCAATTTCGTCACATGGCACAGCCATGTGGAGATATCAGATGGTATAAACGTGACTTACTTTCTCTTCGGCCGCCTCCACCCCAGATGGACCACCTTGATAGACATTCAATAGTGAACTGTAATCATCGGCGTCAAATTCATCTTCTCTGAAGACATGTTGGGGTGTTGTCTTTGCAAGCTTCCTTTGACGAACTTCTCTTCGCCCGGGATTCTTATTAGGAGCCATATTGTTGTTGCTGTGTGTTGTGCGTTGCGCGGTGGGTGGTGAGGTCAGGTGGTGCGATCTGAAGCTGCGATCGCGACTTTTTCACGCTGAAAATTCGACACCGTAGATTTGATATCATATTGCGATGGAGCCCCAAGTTTTAGAACATCTCGACGCGTTGATGATGTGCTTTTGATGAACAAAGATGGCGGATTTCGAAGCGTGCGGCCAGGTGTCGTTTGAGCAGAGTTTTCGACGCCGATGAGGAAGGTGGCCCGTGCCCTGGTAGGCAGAACAGCTGTCCAATTAGAGTCAGTGGGCTCGGTGCTAGCTCGTAACCGAATATCAAAATCAAAATCCGGCTAGCTGAGGAGACGGGGCGACTGACTATCTTCGCATCTGATAATTGTACATGTCTTTGAAATGCAAAGTAAGGTTCTATAATATATTCACTGTGGCTTTCCTTCTCTGTGTCCAGCGCTACCGGCATTATATAAGCCATGGATACACAGACTCAGGAGGTATACTATGCTACGGAAGCGACAACGATCATATTCATCAGATCTGTGATTTCTGGGTAGCCCTCAAGAAATGCACAGTTCAACCGTGTTTTTACTGAGGAGAACTTGAGTTTCGGATTGTGCTGTATTCGTGCATTTGTCATTTTTTGGGGGTTGTGTTAGAAATACGTACAATCCTTGGTGGTGGAGCCTTGTCAAGTCTAGTCCATTTCAGTCGAAATGGCTTGTCCATGGCTGTAATCACTTAACAAGATATCGATCCGTAATTACGCACAGTTATAGCTTGGCGGTTGTATCGACTCGTACATACGACAGGAAGTAAGTTGTCCATGTGGCCGTGTCGAAGTGGAGTGCTAGACACTTGATGCCAAGAAACAACATTCATTGGCAGTTTTCCAAAAAAGAAAAAAGATATACATTTTCGGATTATGAGATAAATCCTTCGTATGTGTTTCGAAGGACATGAGATTAGACAAGCGGCAAAATGACAACTCATAATGCGGTGATAAGGTAAATTCTCAATGTAACCACATGACATTGGGCTTTCATTAGCGCGGTGCAGCTGGACCCTTTGAGTCTCCGACGACCTCGACCTCAAATACCCCACAACACTTAACCCCTCCACCCCGCACCATCGCCAATACAACTCATTCGAGATGGGTAACGCCAGCAGTTCAATGCTAGAGAACATTGTGCAAGGCTCTAATTGTATTGGAACCTTCCCGCCCGATCCCATCGAAAGCTTGCAAGCTAACCTTGCCCTACAGTTGATCGAGATGAGGTGGAAAGAATTCGAAAGAGATTCATGAAACTGGACAAGGTGCGCAGCGCAGGCAAGAATTCGACGTTGATATCCTGCTGTCAGAGCTAACATGAAAGCGGCCTTCAGGACAATTCCGGCACGATCGAGCGCGACGAATTTCTCAGCCTTCCACAGATCTCCTCGAACCCACTCGCAACTAGGTCAGGAATACATCTCTTCAAGTCTGAATGCTGGCAGAGAGGCCATAATGTTGACTGTCAATATGCAGAATGATAGCTATCTTCGATGAAGACGGAGGCGGAGACGTAGACTTTCAAGAATTTGTCTCAGGACTCAGCGCATTCTCAAGCAAGGGCAATAAGGAGCAGAAGCTACGGTTCGCATTTAAGGTCTACGATATTGACCGCGACGGCTACATCAGCAATGGCGAGCTGTTCATCGTGTTGAAGATGATGGTTGGCAGCAATCTGAAAGATCAGCAGCTGCAGCAGATTGTTGACAAGACGATCATGGAGGCTGATTTAGATCGCGATGGTAAGATCAGCTTCGAGGAGTTTACGCGCATGGTGGAGAATACGGATGTTAGCATGAGCATGACTTTGGGTGAGTTTGAAATTCGAACCTTGGCAACTGAGCGAGATGGTGATATGGCTTAAGCTGACATCAACAGATCAATTTTGAGTTAGAGGCTGTTGAGAAAGCAGCAATTACAGTCACACCCGATATCACGGCCAGTAGTCATTGGCTCAGGCTCAACAGAGGAGTCACGTTTGGAATACTGGCCAACTGGTTTGGGGTCTGATGACATATCTCTCTCCTAAGAAAATACCACGGCATTGAAGCCTCCAGTTTCCAATATGCTATTCGTGTCTTTCGAGCAGCTTATGAAGCCAGGTAACGGCTTTCTATTTTGGTACGGAAAGTCCTCCATATCCAGCAGTTTACTTCCCGAGCCGAACGCTACAAATTACCTCTTCCAGAATATGGCTTCCTCCCTGTAATTCACCCCAATCTCTTTCTCGTACCTGACTCTTGTTTCGACCTACCCTAAGTAGATCGTAACCACGGAAATTGCATTCCTCGGCCTCGCCGTTAGAGCATGAACAACTTTTCCATTCCGCGTCAGCTGAAAGCAAATCCATGCCTGAAAAATCGTCCAAAGAGTTTATGGTTCGTACTTCAAAGGCCCGGTGGACGAACGAGGCGCATGAATTATGCCCAGTTTGTGATCCTTGGCCGGAACAACAGTGTCTTGTTGCTATCGTCATTTCGCGATACAAGTGCCTTAGCAGATTTTGAAACACTACTAACGACAGCGTATGCCGGCAGGTTCATTCGATGAATCCTGAATCATGCATAACTTTACCTGATCCTGTTTAGTCTCTCAAGCCGCAAGCCGAGCCGCTCATGGATCGATGCGAGGATCACGGTTCTAACGGTGAGGGTGAAACATTCTAGAAAAGGAAGAAAGAGATGGAATCTGTTTCGAAGTTTGAAGCACGTGCCTATTCCTCGTTAGCGTTTATGCATCGGAGAGATGGTTGTATGGATATCTTCTTAACCTTCCAGAAACGAAGTGAAGCAGGGCTATCCTGTTACCTGTTCGAGACACTTGAAGGGGCTTCCCTCGACGGATGTGTCAGTGGGTGCGGTAGAGAAATTCGGAAAAAGTTGGACGCCGGTAAGGCTTAGCGTCAATTCGAACCTAGGTCATTTTTGGCCCTTCCTTGGTTGGGCTGTGAGTAATCTCAGTTCTCCTTTGGGAACAGCTTGCGAGCGCCGAGGAGTGCTGTCTGTATGTGGCCGTCATGCAGAAGTTGGATTGGAAGTACGGCGTGTAAGCATGGAATTTGGAAGGTAAGATGTGATATCAACCTGCGAGGCGAGGAATGGGCTGGTGTTGTTGCATCGTTCAATTATGAAGCGAGGCCTAAGATCGATTAAATATTCCTCGATTAAATATTCCATGACTGGATATGATGTGGAAGATCTATCTGAAGTAGCTCTTGGAATCTGAAGTTCGCGTGGACTTTCAAGGAGTTCCCCTTCACATTTAGAAAATGCGCCGAAGATTCGTCGAGCTTGCATGGGTTACTTGCCATTACTACCGTACACTGTACAACTTTACAAGTCCAGTGCATGTTAAATGACGCTGGGTGATCCGAGATCTTCGCGCGCCCCAGCAAGGCTGATGCAACAACATCGAAAGCCAACTTTCCGTATAGCTGTATTGGGACGTTTCAACCGGCGATCGGAGATGCCACGAAGTTGCGAGCAATTCGAGATTTAGATTTGCTCTCCGCCAACACCTACTGTACGTTCTCTCCGTCTCTCATTTCTTCATTGGCTCTATGGTTGCGATTTGATCTTCATGGCATGCGTCCGAGCAGATATCCCATGTCAAGTAGTCAGTGCAGTACAGTGCAGAGACTTTCGTCAGAGATGAAACAGGAAAACATTTTCACAATATTCACAGTTGCCGCGGTCACATTTTCCCTGGTGTGATTTTGTTTTCGACTTTGCGATCATGCCAGCTGTGTCTGATGAGGCGTGCATGGCGCCCAAGGATACGGACTATCTGAGGCTTGAGATTGGCTGGGACACCATGGAACTTGGCACAAGCCCGAGAGCCTGGAACTATCGAACGAGCTGGCGATGCTGCTGCAGTGCTGCTGTTGGTAGACGACCGGGAGGAAGCAAGCCGAGTGAGGCGGTTCCTTTGCGTTCATGGTGTTGGCGTATCTGTTTGTCACCATCATTGTTTGCACTTCCCACGGCATGTTGGTGTTGATGAAAGATGTGATGCCGCGTGAGGGTGCTTGAAACAATTGTGACATATTATTTGGCCGGCGCAATTACGGTAAGGTTAGGAGATGGTCACAGCGCCGTAAATTTGATCAGGGGCAAGGCTAGGTACCTTATGGCAGGTAGGGGCGAGGCAGGGGCATGCCGGATATTGAATCTCCCAGCGCGCCCCGCCGCAGGCTCTGGGTGCCCTGTCAGACGGCGATCCTCCAGCCAGGGGTCTCATGCAGGCTCATGCAGCAAATATATCGACAAGGTATATTTTGACGACTGCTCATGGATCAGGGTTCAATATTCTCCCCGATGGAAAAGGCAGCACCACAAAGTCCACGACCCGACCGGACTGGTTGGGCATGACTGCACCATCGTCAGCCATGTCGTCCAGAGTCTTTCGAGGGACATGGTGCCTAAATCTACGGAGGTAGGTTTACTGACTGTAAGGTAGGTATACATTACCTACCTAGTACTTACCGTGGGAAGAAACCTGACTGCGCAAGACTGGCATTATCTCCCCGGAGTGGAAATAGCTTGCTGCATGGATAAGGTAGAGTTCGACGCCAACGTCAGGCAGCAAGTGTTTCTGTTCTTCAGCAACGCTTCAGGGAAACCTGGAGCTTGCGGCTGGCCTTCGTCAGAAGCCTGGGGCTGTTGCTGTTGCTGTTGCTGTTGCTGAAAACAGAAATCACCAACATGCACTTTGTGGCTGCCAAAGTGGATTGTGACAAGGTAAGTACTACACGCTAACTGGACAGCCTTCAGAGTCACCGTCGATGGGTTTCTGGGTTTGCTTACTTAAACTACCTAGGTAGATTAAATTGCCCTAGGTATTGAAACTTTCTTCACCATATCACTTACCGGCGAAGTACGAGAAGACCGGCAATGTACAGACAGCCAGTGACCTAACGTGAATATCCGCAGTGAGCAAATCAGAAAAAGGTGAACTTATGACGAAAAGGAGGGGACTTATCAGCTCGACCTCATTCTGTCCTTGAAAGAAGCCGACGGTAGCATGTCGTCTCGATTCCTGTCCAACGCCATATTACCTCCTTTTTCTTCCCAGGTATGACAACAATGTGCATTTTTGATGGACTTTCCGATGTCAGGCGACGATCAGTTTCCTAGACAGTATCCTATATCTGCCAGTAGTGGTCTGGACATTGCTTCTTGCCGTCGAGGTTTTCGACTTTGCTCCGTCATTCTCCGCCCTTGCCACTCCTTTCAGCTGATGGATTCCTTTTGGTGGGCATTTGTCGTTGCAAAGAAGTCTCTCGGACGAGATGGGCTGGCGGGATGTGTGGCTGAAGCCTCCTATTTTCTCTCCGGACGACCCGAATGCAGCTCAGCTCCGGTCCCAGCACCCAGGCCCAATGTGCCGGTTATCCCTGCAGTCTGGCTACTTTTTCCTGGTTGAGGCTTTCGGATTTTCTTCTTCTACTCGATCGGACGCCAAAGCAAGCTTTGGTTGCTTCACCTGTCAGTTTTCCAAGCATCAACGCCTCATCCGGCGATCTTCTGAAGGGAGCGGGAGAGGGGTCTAGCGGTGCACCAGATCACCAAACATAACCACGGAGCCCAGCCCAGTCCACTACTCGGGCCAGGACCCTGCACTGCTTGCCCTGTCCTTACAAGTCACGTCTTTCTATATAATAAAATATTTCCGTGCAATATCAGAGGCGTCGCTCCACGATCCCCTCTGATCTTTTTGAGCTCTGAATAGCTTCCTGCCCAACCACCTGAATTTTACCTACCTGCCCAACATTCTGCCATCTTGGTGTGTGGGAGCACGCGCCTGAGTCGGGCCTCAAGTCTTTCTGCTGGGTGTCTCTACAACAACACAACACTTCTCCGGCTCTACCGTGGAATCTCTCGCAAGTTTTTCTACTTCTGGGCAACTAGCAGGTCGCCTGCATACTGGCCGTGGCGTAATATCCTGTACAATAATACTGTACACCTGTCGTGCGCGAGAGCAAGACAAGAAAACAGCATTCCGGAAGCTTTATCCCGACCCAACTCTAAATCTCAAACCTATATCCCAGCACCCAAGCGCCAGCAACTGCCAACTTTCGGCATACAGTACCGGAGGCGGAGGGTCGTAACTAACCTACTTCTCCATCCCTATTATTCCACCCCTTGGGGCCGTACTGGAGTATCGCCAGAGTCCGGACGAACAAGACGTCAGAAACACTGAACCACACTCAGGAACTCTTGTCCTTGTCTACACTACTTCTATCCGCGCAGCACTACACTACCTATACCTCGTCAACTGTATTGTGCATACCTCAGCTATCTATCTACCCAATAGAGCAAGAGCAACATTCCGCTCTTGCCTGCCTATCACAGCACAGCACAGCACAGCACAGCACAGGACGGTCTCGAGGCTTGACAGCATCAGCGGACTCAGACCACATTCTTCACGCGCAAACACGCGCTCCTCACAGAAAGTGTTGGTGTTGGCTTCCCTTTCGCTCCTGGCAAAGGATGAGAATTACAAAAAGTGCGGAAGAGTCTAAAGTTACAGCACAGTACAGTATCCAGTGCACCAATAATAATACCTGACGAGAGAAGAGAATTGGAAGTCTGCATCACGTCGTCACGTCCACTCTCCACTCCACTCCACTCCACTCCACTCCAGCGTCAACAACGTCGCCGCTAGTACCTGACATTAGTCCGCAAACGTCGGGACATTCCAAGCACTTCAATTGGACAATTAGACAAATTTCAGATCTTCCAATTAGCACCAGCTGCACCACAAGCTACCGACCTAGAGAAGGTCTCCAAGGAAGGTCGGGTCAGGACTCAGGAGCAGCAAGTCGGATTAGTGCGGCGCCAGAGCGTTAGTCGAGTCGAATCGAGGACGGGGACGGGGACGGAGTGACGCAGATTTAGATTCAAATTGGTGGAGGACTCACTACAGTACTCACAGCAGTAGTGGTGGTGGCTGAGGTGTCTGGGACTATTTCTCCCCTCCCCCTCCCCCGAGCCCTCCCCCTTCCCCTTCCCCTTCCCCTTTCCCTTCCCCTTTCCAGTCTGTTCAGTGTTCAGCCGTCCCCGACGCAGATCTGTCGTTCGCTCATCGTATCGCACCTGTCCGCTCCTGTCCGCTCCTGTCCGCTCCGGCGCTTTCGACTCATCAGGTCTGGCCAGTCTCGACCAGTCCTCCTCGCTCCAGCCAAGCGAGCAACATAGCTGGGTACTCCTTGCGTGCCACTTCAGGTACCTGACCTGACCTGGCCTGGCCTGCCCTGGAGTCTTGCGCGCCCTGCCTTGCCTACCTTGCCTGCCAGAGTCCTCCAGCGGCTGCCAGCCTGTACTAAAAGGAGGTTCAATTGTTTTATTTCTATGGAAATTTACCTTACCTAGTTTTGCTTTGCTTTGCTTCATTCACTCTTCACTTTTCGGGCATACCAGACCAGACCCGACACTCCGAGCCTACCTAAGGTATCCCTTCCATCATCACCGTTGCCTTACTTTATTAGGTATTCTTCACCTCGCCCTCCACCTCTGCACCTACGGTAGCTCAGAGCTGCTTCATTCACCGCATTATTCGAACCCGGTTGTGAAGTGTTGTTGGGCCCACGCTGTTATTCGTTTGGCTCCTGGTGCTTTACTTTACTTTACTTTACCTCACTTCACTTCACTTCACTTTACATTACAGGACACTCCTCCAGTTTGCAAGTCAACACATCCACCAAGAGCTACCTTAGCTGCAAGACATTATTTGAAGACAAGGCGGCCAGACAAGAAAACCCCGGCCCCACTGCTTCGCCAGAAACCCAGAAACTCCACTTCACGACCACCGGCATTCATCACTTTACACGTGGCTTGCAAGACAAACCGCCAAAGCAGGAAAGGCGTCGTCGACTTTCAGCCACAGATCTTCCTCTCCATCTCGGTTTCCTCTAAGTAGTCTTCTCCACATCCACGTCCACTTCCACCAACCACCGGGTTCCTGGCCTGGCCTGGCTTGGACTCGAGTCAAAATCAGAGTCAAAGTCAAAGTCAAAGCCCTGACCGGCTAGCAAGGAGCCTTTAGCCCGATCTGCACATATCACCTCACTACTACCTTCACCACGGGCGTGCCCCCACTAGTGTTAGTGTTAGGTAGTACTTAGTAGCTGGTATCTAGTGTTCGAGCTTCTCTCCAGCAGCAGTAACAGCAATAACAGCAACAACATCAAGCAAAGCAGAGCAGATCACAAGCACAAGCACACGAATATCACCGCGTCCTTCGCCTCCTTCTCCTCCGCCTGCGACTACGACCAGGTAGGACGTACCATCATCACCGCCATCACAAATTATTGCTGCAACTCCTGCTGCATTATTAGCACTGTAACTCTACAGCGCTTTACTGCACCGCGCTTCTGCAATCTGCACGTCCTTCAAAAAAAAACGTTCGCCTTAGTGTTGCTCTCTTCGGTTCAGACTCGACCTAGTTCGGCAGCCGGACTCACTCCTAGCATCACAAGGCAGGGCACGACTTCTTGACGTTCCGACGGACGCACTTTGTCTCCAGTTTCATCAACTCTAACTCAACCTCACTCATTTTTTGGTTCAAGATTTTGAGGCACGCTACGTGCATGACAGTGGACTTTCTGCGTTCAGGCGTCCCGATTCATGCCCATCCCGCTTGTGCGCTGCTTTTCACCGTCCTCCCTGCCATCCTTGTCAATTCAGGAAGACCGATTTTTCCTCCATATCCTCCTGATATCTTAACAATCGGGCACCGACCGATTCCTGTACCCAGCTTTCATCGGGTTGTTTCTCCATAGATTGCCCTTCAACACTGAGACAAACCCTCCTTGAAACCGGGTTACATCAGATCTCGTGGCCACGGCTTCTAGAAGACTAAGTCGACGTGCGTGCACGCTTCGCCCTTAGAGAATCCTCGGAACAAATAACTTGGCCTGAACCATAGCAAGAGAGGCGCTCTCTGCTGTACCAAGAACTACCACCAATTCATCATCAGCTTGTTCAGGTCGGCCCAAACCCTGACACTGGTGCCGTTTGCCCTACGAAGCAGATATCCCGCAAGGACCTTGCCTGTCCCAGCATCAAGGATTTACCCAGCAGCGGGTGACGGAGTCTTGCCAGCAAAACGTTGGGCCTGTATTCGCCGTTTTGTTCATATTGTCTTCTTCCTGCAAAATTAGTTCTCAGGTCACACAAAATCTGAGCCTTGCGCCTCACGACTCAAGCAGTAATTTGTCTCTCTCTTAGACGAACGTCCTTCTTTCGTCTATTCAAATTCGAACTTCAATTCTGCAGCTCGGGCTTGCCAGCTGGTGGACTTCAAGGAGGGCGATTCGCACAAAGCAAACCCAAAACTCTGGAAATTCCTTCCCTCTGGGCCACCTGCTCTAGAAACTGCTGGTCTGTCCACCATCGCATTCTCTCCTTTCTTCTTTGTAGAAGGAAGAAACGTTAACAGGGTCATAGCATACCCAATCCCACTCTCCTTTGTGTACTTTCGAAATCTCCTACGAGAAAAATACCCGGACGCGTCGCGACTATCTCCCCCGAGGGAGCATGAGCTTGACGAGTAACACACCAGCAAACTGGCACTCCTACAATCATCGCCAGCTCCATTGCAGGTGGCGGCGCATCGACTTGATCCCCTACTAGCAGGCTCGACGTCACCCTTCCCGCGGGGCATGGACGACAACAATCGTCGAAGAAGGCAAAATGAACCGCCATATCAAGGGTCAGATCCTAGGTTCGGTGCAGATCAGAGCCAGGGTCGCGGATTTTCGAGCTCCTCTGCAGAAAGATATCGGCCAGCTCCTTTAAACACCTCGCCATCAACGGGTCGTGGAACAGCGGGTGCTTCCGCGTACTCAGGGTACTATCCTGAGCCTGCTTCGTCTTTTGCAGGCTCATTGCCATCCAACACTTTGCAGTATCAGCCAGGCTATGCTCAGGACCAGAGACAGCAGCAGAGTTTCACTGGCTACACTCCGGACATCAGCATGTACAATGTTGGACAGCAGACTGCCCAAAATACTGTGTACGACTCGACCTCGCAGTTTCAGGCACGGCAACCTGCAGCAATGCAGATGCTTTCAGATGTTGCGGCACCGTACTTTCCCAATGAACAAAACAATCCGCCAGGTCCACCTTCACTGCAACATCATGCATCTTCGGGGTCCTCTGCCGTTTATCAACAACACCAGCAAAGCCCCGCAGATCGAAGTGCTCCTCTTCTTCAACAAGGTTACCCTACCAGCATGAGTATGGGAGCTATGAATCAGAATGCCCCAGAGATTATGGAGGAGGAGGACTTCCAAGCACAGGGACCTGGGATGGAAGCAGCATATACGGCCTACCAGACAGCGTTGAAGCAGATCTTTCAAAACACAATCAACGGGCGTCTGGGGGAAGCAAGTCTTTCGCTTTTGGAAGTATCTGAGTGGCTTTTAGGGCATGTCGGGGATTTAGGTAGGCTCTCTGTTTCTTCTGTTTGATCCTGCCAACTAATGGTTTTCTGATAAGGTCTTACTGTAGACGAAGTTGCGCTTCATAGCGATCGAATCCGTCTCTGGGGTGAATTCAATACGGCATGGCTTAGTATCTTTCAGAAACAAAAGGATATGCTGGAGTCTGGGCAGCAGCTACAACGTGGTCAAAGCTTAATGACCCAAGAATTCATCAACAAGATGGCTAAAGATTTAATCAGGATGTGTGATGCCGTCGAGAAGCATGGTTTGGTTGATTACCAGTATGGAGTTGCTGAAGAGCAGATAATTATGAGTGCGTATTGAGTGTCTCTTTGAAGAACCATTACATGCTAACAACGGAATAGTCCTCACCGAATGTCTTGATCTTCAAGAGTCAATGGAGGGGGCCGGATCGACTTCGGGCATTGGTAGAGCACCTCCTTGAGCTCCTGGCCTCCATTATCGTTATTTCCTTTAATTATGTCTAAATACCATGTAACTCTATGGTTCTGTCACGAGTTTAGCGCTTCATGTTTGATGTTCGATGGCGGTCACGACAATTGGTTTTACGAGGTTGGGTTACGTCCGGGTGTTGGTGGGGTTTGCATACTGGCATTTTCAGGGGTAAAAGGCTTGTGACAATAACAATCGGATACACTGGCGGCTGGATGGTGGCTCGGGACGGGGAGGAACTGCAATGGAGTGATGGATGGTATTACAGGGCGGGCTTTCACAAGCAATCCGGAGTCTTTTGTCTATTGCTATTACTAGGCATTACCATTTTTGCCCAGGGCCAGCTGCAGTCGCTACTTGGTTGCGTACGAGCACAGTACATACACTTGCCATGAATAGAACATTGCACATACACAAGAGAGATCATACTCAGGTCAGCTGGTCCCGACTTTTCCCATGACGGCACTTTGCACGTCTTGGGCATGTAAACATTAGCTGCACCCTGCAGGGAGGCAACAAAGTAACATTCTCCACCCCTCCACCCCACGTCCAACATGTCTCAGCCTTGCTTCCCGCCAAGCACCCGAAAGGACCAGAAAAGAAAACATACCTACATCAAGATCAGATCTGGATCGTCCGTCACCCAAGATCTCATTTTCCGGGGACCTGGTTGTCACAGCTCAGCTCAGCACAGCCGGCTTCCCGGATTTCCCAGCATCGGGGTTCTCCCGGATCAAGTTACGACTCCCCTGCCGTGTTCTGTAAGTGGTGCAGCGTGCTTTGCTTCTGTGATTCGTCACATTCTTCAGACTACCTGTCATATGACGACCTGCAACAAAGCATTCCATTGTCAGGAAGACCTTCGGCACGATTTGGTGAGCGAGGATGGATTGCGGGTCGCTTGGACTTCTGGCGGTGGCTTGTCTTTGACCAGCTGATTGCAGTTGATGTTATATCGACTTCTGTTAATATGCAGGGATTAGTACGCTTGCTTGGATTTGACTTCTCGATAATCAAATTGGACTCTTGACGTGTCAGTGTTATTGATTGCGTAGTCAATTGCCGTACACTTTACTTTCCCATTGATGTCAGACAGACCATTGGCTAGGATGTACAAGCAACTCGCTAGGATGCCGAGTTGATAGACAAACTTACCAGGTAAATTATATTAGAGTTATATTAGAGGCGCCTCCATCTAAGAAGTGAAGAATTCAAAAGCAAGTGTAAGCTAAGCATAAGAACAAACTAATACGGGCGTTCCATGGTTCCAGCGCTTGCATGCAGAACTTGAAGATCTTGTGCCACGTCAAAAGGGTAAGGCGACAGAAGGCACCGATCTACATCAATTGATTCGATTTGATTTGGCAATGCAATGAGGCGTCAGCACAGCATGCAGCAGCTAGGAATCCTGGGTCCATGGCCCTGGATCTGCACTTCATTGGGTGCAGTCTGCCACGTCGAACGGAAGTAAAGCCGGGGTTGGGGCTGGCTTTGTCTGTGTGCTGTTGACCTATATGTTCTCTGTTATTGGTCTGGGCAGCAGAGAAAGAGGGCGAGGCTGGCCAGCAAGTTAGGCTCGCAGTAAATGTTGCGTAATTATGCTCATACGAGTAGTCAAGGGAAGTGGAAATCGATACCGAAAAGTGATGATCTTCGTGAAAACCTTCTTATCGAAGCATATTTGCCGTACCTTGGAGTGTGAGAAGCAGGCAGAACTGTTACCTGCCGCAACAAATGGCCGCCCTTCATCGATGCATTGTTATAAAATTCCAACGAGTGGAATGGGGATACATCAACTGCCAGGTCGGGGACAAATCGTGTCGAAAAGAACACGCTATTGCGCTATTCTATTCATCAATGCTGGCTAACATGTTGTGATCACGTTTTACCACACCTTTGGTAGGTAGCTGCCAGCGAGCTCAGAGCCAAAATGGTTCAACGCCTTTTGGCCAACGAATACTTCAAATTGGGTGTATGCATCAGTAGTCTGAATGGATCTGAAAATGCCTTACAGTTGCTGTATTTGACATCTTCCCTTGCGAGAACTGTCAGGATGTGTTGCGATAGTAAGCTGCATGTCGTAACATCCGATTGCGAGTTGGTATTATCCTTGATACAATATGATACAGAACAGAGAGTTTCTATCTTTTGACCCATGCGGGCATCTTTCTGGCTTTGACATGACCTGGTTTCTTCCTTTCCACTCTTCTCGGATCGCGAGTAACACAACCAGCTGTGGCATGTCAGAACTGAACCAAGTAATAAAAAGAAGCAGGTGTACTAGTGCAAATGAGTTCTGAAGACTTACCTCTCCTCAATGCCGGCTTCAGTCCGGGCTCGTGAGCCAGTAACGCCTTGCCCACAGCCAAGGTCAAAGCTTCTGCTTGACCTGTCGTTCCACCACCAGAGACAAGAGCCCATACGTTGTACTTATCCATCCTGTCCGTGGCCTTCAGCGCCCAGATGGCGCTCTCTCTATCATGAATCCTTCCAAATGCCTCCGCCAGTGTCTTTCCATTGATCAGTACCTCACCAGTCCCCTCCACAACCCACGCTCTTGCCGTAGAAGATTTCCTCCTCCCAGCGCCTAAAGCCCTGCCCAGGCTGTCTATCGGTATGACCTTTGTGTCGTTCTGATATGGGTTGATATCCTTTTTGTACTCGTTCAATGCTGCCTTGACTTCTGGGGGCATGAGAGATGGATGTATGGAATTCAGCCGTTGTAGCAGTTCGATGATCTTGTGGTACTTGGATGCCTTGACAGATTCTCCGACCATGTTTCGGTACTCGACCAGGGACCGCCATGCTACTCTTGGAGCTTCTCCTGGCTTCACGGTTGGCAGAGCAGAAAATCTGCGAACAAGGCTTTGAAGTGCCAGGAGATCATCGATGAAAATCGGTTGGGCAGTGAAGTAAGATGGTGAGTCCGGCACAAGTCGAGCGAAGAAGGGAGGTTCCTCTATTTCTCCATCTGCCTCCCCGCGCCCACCAAACTTGATTTCTGGAGCCGCAATTCCAGCGTGTAGCCGAGTTGACGTCGAGAAATGTTTGGTTGAAGCACTTAGAACTGCCCTGCGGACGGGTAGATTGGAGGGCGTCATTCGAGGCGTACAGGCACTTCGAAATCCTTCACGGAGACCTACGGGGAGCCATGCCACCTTCATCGTTCAAATAAAAACACGCAGTAGTCGTTTTCGTTGTCTGAACAGACCTTGCATCGACAGACAGATAGGATCGGATGGCTCAAAAAAGCTTAGTCGGCCTCAGGTTGTCTCTGCGGCCTCAGGCTCCAAATACTCACAACAGATGGAGCTTCCGATGCCCTAGCCGTATTCATCCTAGCGGTCTGTCCCCACCATCGCATACTTCAGAAAATTCTCCCGCTGAACTTGCATCAAGCTTCTTCTTCCAAACAAACCCAAATACCAAATACCAAACCACAACATAGCAAACATGGCCCCGTTCGGAAAGCTCTACACCTACCCGGTATGTCCCTTCTCCAGCTTCTGCATGCATAGCTTTGTCTCTCTGGAACCTGCAGCTAATCATCGCAACAGGGCAACCCCCGCTCCACCGCCATTCGCGCTGTGGCTAAGGCCAACAACGTCGATATTGAGATCGTTGAGACTGAGCCAGCGAAGGGTGTCTCGGCCGAGTACCTCAAGATCAACAAGCTCGGCAAAGTCCCAACCTTCGTCGGTGCTGATGGCTACACTCTCCACGAGTGCATTGCGATTGCCATCTACAGTACGTAGCCATATCATTACCCCTCTGTGCCCGACACTAGAGAATACCCTGCACCCCTCTGGCGCGCGGTCCCTGCTATGATGAAAAAACCTTTTCAGTTATCCCTGTCTTAACAATCGTGTGGACTTCTTAATTAGACTCTGAGCATGCACATCAACCTTCATATTTCTGCTTTGACTTGTCCATGACCCGCCACTGACAGTCATATAGTTACCTCTCAAAATGAGAAGACCACTCTCCTTGGTAAGACTAAGCAAGAGTAAGCATGCCCTTGGTTCCAAGCGCATCACCCATACTAACTTTCTTAGCTACGCTGCTATCTTGAAGTGGATGTCCTTCTTCAATACCGAGATCCTCCCTACCCTTGGTGGCTGGTTCCGTCCTCTCATCGGCCGTGATCCATACAACAAGAAGAGCGTCGATGACTCGTCCAAGGCCGCCCTCAAGGCAGTCAGCGTTGTTGAGGAGCACCTCCAAAACAACACCTACCTTGCTGGTGAGCGTATCACTCTTGCTGATCTCTTCGCTGCTGGTATCATCTCCCGTGGATTCCAATTCTTCTTTGACAAGACATGGCGCTCTGCCAACCCCAACGTTACCCGTTGGTATGAAACTGTCTACAACCAGCCAATCTACTCTGCTGTGGTTGATCCGCTCGCATTCATCGATGAGGCCATCAAGAACCAAGCCCCAAAGAAGCCAGAGCAGGCCAAGAAGGAGGCCGCACCAAAGGCCGCCGCTAAGCCAAAGGCAAAGGCAGCTGAGGATGAGAAAGAGGAGGAAGTGCAGGAGGCACCAAAGGCCAAGCACCCTCTTGAGTCCCTTTCAAAGCCAACCATTCCTCTCGACGAGTGGAAGCGTCAATACTCTAACAGCGACACCCTGGTTGCCCTGAAATGGTTCTGGGAGAACTTCAACGCTGACGACTACTCCATCTGGAGAGTTGACTACAAGTACAATGAGGAACTTACCCAGGTCTTCATGACTTCCAACCTGATTGGTGGCTTCTTCGCTCGTCTTGAAGGCTCTCGCAAGTACATCTTTGGCTGTGCTTCCGTTTATGGTGTTAAGGATGACTCTGTCATCCAGGGTGCGTTTGTCATTCGTGGCCAAGAGGCTCTGCCCGCTTTCGATGTTGCTCCCGATTTTGAGAGCTACGAGTTTACTAAGCTTGACCCAACCAAGGCCGAGGACAAGGAGTTCGTCAACGACCAATGGACCTGGGAGAAGCCAGTCACTGTCAATGGTAAGGAGTACCCATGGGCTGATGGCAAGGTCTTCAAGTAAACTTGGACCGAAACATGTTCTCTTCAATCTGGTTTTAGCGTTGGGGAAATAAATGGGATAGCTTCATGGACGGATGAATGTAACGATCATGATAGACGGAAAGGTGTGAACACCTATGGGCCTTGCTAGGTCCCGCAATGCAATACTACAATGACATTATGTTTTGTGTAATCGTGCTGTTTTTTTTTTGTCAACCATCTATGCACCTTGTAATTATGTGTTTTGATTTTCTACTGCTTGTTGGGAATTGCACAAAGGAAAATCGTGCCCCGGCATGGGCGTTCATCTGTTGCATAACCTCTCGGTGTTTGAATCTCATAGATCCCAGCTCAATGCGTCTCTGTAGGGCGTAATCGTAGAGATGTCGAGCCTGGACAGTTGTCGCTGTTCTATAGCACATCAGGAGAGTTCATAGAGGAAGGTTTGAGATGCTCACACTTAGCAAGCCTCCGATTCTTGAGGCCACTTTCTAATCACTTGCTAGCTGCCTTATGCATGGTATTGTATGGTTTGACCTGCGACTGGTAGAGCAGCTCTGAAAGGACGGGCTCGGAGGTAGGCAGCAACATTTGAATGCATACTGAGGCTGTTCAAGTAATCATGAACCTGTGGCAGGATCTGTCCTGGCTCGTTCTCATCGCCAAAGAACTCTGGGATCGAGATCATGTTGAAAGGCTCAGTTCTCCCCTTCTCGGGCGAATCATCCACCAAAACCGTGTTCACATGACTCCATCTCCCGCCGAACTCGAATGAAGGGTGAGCTGCCGCGATCTTAGGATCATCCCATAGCTTTGTCAATCTCTTGTAGCACTGAGTCCTCGCATTGTAATCGATAGGTGAAAGACCAAACATTTCTCGTCCCCATATTGCCACGACCTTGCGTCTCAGTTCCTGGTCAAGAATGGCGTCACACATGAGTTTGACGTTCTCCGGCCTTGCAGACGACCAGATCACAACCGTGAAAGTGTTGATACAATATCTAAGGAACCTGGCTGTATTTGGCCGGGCGATGAACTTCGAGGGTGCTCGCCTGTTGGGTCGGAAGAGAAGTGTGCCATTCAGATCGACAACGACGAGGAGATGTTGAGCTTGGGGAAGCTGGCGTACAGGCTCATTGCTCGCAGAAAGGTAGGCTTTAGAAGGATTCGGTATACCCCCTGACTCTGGAGATGGTGGGATAATTGCGTCTCTGCGAACCTTTGCAGATGGAGTTCCATTCATATTTCTGCCTTGATTCGTGTGCCACTTTGGATTTCGGTCGTTTGGAATGAAGGCTCGAGAACTTGAGTGTTTGGTGGGTTTGGGGGAATCTTGGGAGGAATTTCTGCCTTTGATCGAAACTTTTTTGAGTGATTGGGTAACGGCGTCGATATCGTCTGTAGAGACACCGTCTCTGCTTTTCTGAGGAGCAGCACCAGACTTCTCCAAACGAGGCGACGCTGGTTGAAATGTGTCTGCTTGCGGGTTCATGATAGCAGCTTGATGAGAATATCGCACACCTTTATAGAAGAGGCCATTGGCTCGTCTTCGTGGCCAGTATCGTAGAGCGTACATGGAATCTGTTGTTCACCTTTGACCAGTGTTGGCAACGGTATGAAAAACATAGACGTTCAATGCGGTACCACCGTACTTATCTAATCGGATTGCCAGTCGTCACCGCCTCTTGGCGTTGCTTCAACTAGCTTAGTCCAGTTGACGGGCTCTGTTATCGGCAACTTTTTTGAGACTTTTCAACAGCACCAGCAATTATGTCTTCGGCGTCTATAAAGCGCAAAGCACCAGAAACCCTGCTCCAGCGTCGTGTGAGACCCAGGCGGGAGCCGAGTGTGGGATCTGAAGGAGCCAGTGAGAAACCTGCCGCAGACTCGAACGGAGAGGATGACGATGAGGAAGAGCCACGGGATGTAGTAGAGGATGATAGTGAAGAGGTTTGTTTAAACCAAGATATCTATACATACGAATCGCTAACGCAGTCTCAGGCAGAGGCAGTCTCAGATGAGTCTGGAGGCGAATCTGGGGGCGAAGAAACATCAGATAATGCTGCATCAATATCATTTGGCGCATTGGCTAAGGCGCAAGCGTCTATGGGATCAGGTCGGAAGAAGCGGGCCACGAAGAATAAGGATGGAGATACGTGGGAAGACAACGAGGCACAGGAACGGAAAGCTGGTAGGAAGGATCACCGAGATTTCAACAGATCAAGTAAACATGCCCCCACCGAAATATCGAGCAAGAAGGCGGTTTCCCGGAAGCGAGAGGTGGTTCCTGTAGTCAAACGAGCATATCGCGATCCAAGATTTGAGGCTATAGGCGGACCGATTGATGAATCAAAAGTCAGCAAAGCTTATGCATTTCTCGACGATTACCGCGAAGACGAAATGAAAGAACTGCGGAATGCAATCAAGAGTACCAAAGACGAGGACGCCAAGGAGAAGCTGAAGAGGGCATTATTGTCAATGGAGTCCAAGAAAAAGGCTCAGCTGAGAAAGAATAAGGAGCAAGAGATTTTAGACCGGCATAGAAAGGAAGAAAAAGAGTTGGTGAAGCAAGGAAAGCAGCCTTTCTATCTGAAGAAGGCTGAGCAGAAGAAACGTGTCTTGCTTGATACGTTCGGCGAGCTCAAAGGAAAACAGCTTGATCGTGTCATTGAGCGGAGACGAAAGAAGGTGGAGGGTAAGGAGAAGAAAAAGATGCCATTTACAAGACGAAATGTCGAGTAGATCGGTATGGTTCCGAGCGATAATTAGCTTGCAGGAAGTCTTCTTCGCTCGCAGATTAGATACCAATAATATTGTTCCAGAGATTCGAGTCTGGCTTGTACTTTAATGTATGGCAGTGATACATCTACGGTGCGTAAAATTAAAGAAGGTGCACCTGTTTCATGCTATTTTCAAAAAGTTCACGACATCTTACACGGCTCCCCAACCTTGCACATAGTAGGAATGCGCCGCTCAGCTTCCTATGCAGGCTGTAGGTTTCTTCTGGCGGAGGAGCCAACCTCTCCCTGATCATTAACGGAATTAACTCCTTCACTCGATCTGTGATTGTCTGGTTCTTGAAGTCATAGATCTCAGGTGAAGATTCCAAGAAAGGCTCGGCGAGCGTCAGTACGGATGCAATATGCGCATCAAGCATTGCCTTTGACTCCCGCCCCGTGAGATAGCCCAGCTCAATGGATAGGGCCTCTACAGTGTCCCTGTCTGACCTGGATGCGGCTGCCAGGAGCTCTGTGTATTTCGCGATGAAAAACTCGGGATATTCTCGTGACGCACCAAAATCTAGCAGCTCCAGCTTGTTCGTTTTAGCATTGTATAAGAAATTGGTCCAGTTTGGATCCGTTTGCATAAATCTGAATTCGGTGATTTCGCGAAGGCAAAGGCGAAGGATCTGTGTGCCAATCCAGTCTTTCTGCTCTTGGGTGAAACTCTGGACCCTAGTGACGCCAATGCCATCCATGAATTCCATTGTCAACACTTGTTTTCCCGAAGCTTCCGAGTAGAATTTCGGGACAATGAACACATCCTTTTCGTCTGCTAGTAACCTTTCGAATCTCCGTCCGCATTCGGCTTCTCTGGCGTAGTCACATTCCCATGCCAGTTCAGTCCTAGCATTGGCGATGGTCTTGTCAAGAAAGAGGCCCTTTGGCAAAAGCCGAGAAGCAGTCAAAAGGAGGGCCAGATTATTGAGATCCGAATCGATTGAGTCGGCGACTCCGGGGTATTGAATTTTCACGGCTACACGGGCGCCATTGGATTTCAAGACAGCACTGTGAACTTGTCCAATTGAAGCGGCCGCAAGTGGCTTCTCGTCAAAGCTAGAGAACATTGCTCTCCATTCCGATCCAAGGTTGGTAGCAAGTACTCGGTCACGCTGGGAAGAGGGCATGTAATCTGCCCTATCTTGGACTCTTTGCAAGACTTCTCGGATCGGCTCGGGAAGCATCTTAGAGTCTTGAAAGCTGATTACCTGGCCAAGCTTCAAGGCGGCCCCTCTCATACGGGAGAGCTTCGTCACGAGTCTGTCCATGTTGCCAGCGCTGAGCATGTAAGAACCCTCATTGCCGCCTCCTGCTACTCGACGAAGGCTTTCGGAAATTGCTCCTCCAACCATGCCAGCCGCTAGCCCTCCATAATTCCACAGTCTCCCTAGCCTAGATGAAGGCACTTTCGATTCTTTCAATTCATAAGGTGTCAAATCTGACGGACTGGTAGTTTCCTCTGCTATAGACGCGGCGAGCTTCTGGATGTTTTCGTCATGTCGTTCCCGCTGGACATCAGGCACGGAAATTCTCGTAGAATGATCATCCTGTTGACTGTGAGCTTCGGCCCTATTGCGGTCGATGCCTGTGGTAGCTACTATCTCGTCGCTGGACATACTAGTACTAATCACATCCTTCTGCTTTCCATTACCCGTTCGCCCTCCCTGGATATCACCGCCGAGAAGCCTAGCGACTCGTGGACTATGGAAGAGATCAGTGTTGATACCCACCGGGAGACAATTGTCGCTAGCAGGGAAACTTGACGAGCCGTAAAAGGTGTCGGAATTTATCTCTATTTTTGGCAGATGTGGGTCTCCTTGTGTGTCTGATGCGTGGCTGGGGAGTTGTACTCGGGGTAAAGAGGAAACAGCCGGCGAAGTATGTGTCGACTTCTCATAAAAGCTATCCTCGCCATGTCCTTCTTCCAGGGGACCTTCGACAGACCTATCGTATGCATCGGCTGTCTTGAAAGGTATTTGCGCAGGTTCTGGAAGTCGTGCATCTGCAGGCGTCGACTTTGACTCTTGTGATGGAATGGGGATCGATGACGCATCTGAAGCGAGCGGTATAATTTCGTCGTGATCCAGTGGCTTCTTCGCTGTTTCATCCTTCAGTCTGGTATGTATTATATCGTGGTCTAATGCAGACTCATTCAAGTCCGAATCCTCGGGAGGGATGGTCCCATCTAGTAAAGGAAACCGATTGGCCTTCTCCTGCTTGATTTCTAAGTCTGCCTCTGGAGCTTCATTCACAGCAGAATTGGCTGGCGACTTTTCGTAAAAATGATCTTGTTCTATACCGCTCCGTGGGTGGGACTTTGAGGGTCCAGTAGTTGATTCTTTCCTTGGGATCTTCTCTTCTCCACTCGCTTGGGCCGGTGTATCTGAAGACCATTCTGGAGCATCCTCATTCAAGCGCGAAGCAAGAAATGAAGCTGCTTTTATAGTCTCAGTGACACGATCCGTCTGATTGCGCACAGCCCTTGCCAGGGTCGATGTCCTATTGTAAACTTCCAACTGTCTTGATCTCAATCCAACATGCTTCTGTGCGACGCCACGAGAAGCGTTGAACAGCGCGGCAAGGTCCAAGAGGCGCTTCCCAGCCATCACAGCAATTTCCAATTCGATGCTGCAAATGGCTAACTTTCCATCCTGCACGGCGGTGAGACAAAGCGGAAGGAGAAGACAGCGCAGGTTTGTGTTTGTCTGGTATTCCGTGGGATGAAATGAAAGAATCAAAAATTCGTTGATGACGTCCGCCAGAAGAGAAGGTCAAAGCTCAACCTCACTGATTGAGGATCCTTGGCGAGCTTGGCAAGAGGCTCTCCTGCGGCCTCCATTGTATTAATAGACTATTTTGCGGCTAAATGTGGTGTCACAACTTCGTTCAGGCTTGCACTTCCCAATCTTGTAGGTATCCAATTTTAACTTTTTGATGTTTTTGCAGTTCTAGCTCGTGATATAGAGCATTACTTTTGATGAATAACATAACGAAGAGTAAACACTTGATTCGGTTTATCCTTCAGTCATGTACTATCCAGTACCTCTAAGAGTAATTGCGCTTCTTGTCGCAATCTATTGGACTGGCTCTTCGATAGGGCTTTGGTAGTCTATTGAGAGTTCCTTTTTCAATTTCACATCAGATAAAGCCGAAACCCAGGTAACGTTCCCATCTACTTGGTTGAGGGCGTCCAACGAGCCCGTAGGGCAGATTTAGTCCGCACAGTATTGAGGTTTTGCACGCCGAAAGAGGATGAAGATCCACGAGAACTTCCACTCCCAACTTTGCTCCACAACCGCTGCGCAGCTGGAGTTAGTTGACCAGGCACGACTCTTGGACTGCTAGGGAACCTCGGTACCGGAGTCGCATCTACCTTGCCTGTCATGCCATTTTTGGTTGATGTTCGTTTAGCGTGTGCGTTTTCGTCAACCATTCGGTGATGCAGGTCTTCTCTTCTGCTCTGATCCATGATCACAAAAGGGTTCTTCGCAAGATCTCCCTTGCCTAGGTCAATACTTGAAAGGGGCACTTGCATTTCGTCTTCCGGCTCGTCGTCCACGAAAGCATACCCATTCACTCGAGGTGTTTCGTTGCATCCTGTTCCAGACTCCAGGTCGCTTGCCCGTCGTCGTCCATCGATAGCATCTCGCACAGCTGACAATGACGGCGACGGTGGTATGTTAGTTTCGTCCGGGGCAATTATAGTAGTAGGCATGCGAGTGTTGACATACACGACTCCCTTTGGGGCCGCTCTTGATTCATTCTGTAACCTTTGTGCAATTGTCTCAACTGAATCTTCCACGCTGTCGAGGCGGAACATCAAGTTGTTATCCGGCTTTGACTTCCACGATTCGGGACGTGCAGACTTCTCGTTGACATCACGAATAGCTAACCTGTCTCTTTCTCCACCATCATCCACAAGAGAGCCTCGTGACTTGAGAAGCTTGGCTTCTATCTCTTTCTGCTTCAGCATCATTTTCGATGGTAATTTATTGTTGGCTGACCACATCCAGGCATACTTCTCGGCTCGCGTCTGATTCTGCTTATCCAGAAGTTTGTAGAAGCTTTCGTTGTCTTCGCTCGTATACAAAGACTGGAATCTATCCAGGCTCATGTTGGTGTCGATCTCTGGCAGTGTATTTGCCTGTGAGGATGTCGTAGTATCTGATGTGGCCGACATAGGAGTATCGCCCGCAAAGGTTCTGGGGGTATCGGTTGCTCGTAGCGGGGTTTGAATGGAAGTGCCGCGCCTACCTCTCCGTCTACCAGGTGTCATAACTTGTGTGAGTCTACGGCTGGCTGAAGAAATCCATGCTGGGTCTTGCGAGTCAAGGGCATCCAGGTACTCCTGCTGCGTTTCTGTCTCTAACAGCCCAGGGAAGAAATCCCGGGCGATAATCTCAGATATTGCATCAGTGTACGATTCCTCGTCGATGACGTTTTTGGGCCTCTTGATTCTCTTTGGTGGCGGCGGCATCAGTTGGGTATCTGACGACTTCCGTACAAGCGCTGAAGATTGTGGCACGTCCATACTCCCCGAGTACGTAGTGGAAGCACCAGGAAAGTTTGACATCCGAGTTCCAATCGTCGTGACTTGGAGCCGTCCTGGGAGGTAGCCCGCGGGTCGTTGTCGCCGATTGTGCTTGTTCTTACGCGGGTATAGCCAGTTGGTGGGCCTGACTGCAGGGGAATCAAGATGAGGTTGGAATGTGTGTGCTGGAGTGCTACCCCCCGGTTTGCAGAGATAGCTGTGGAAAACAGAGGATACTGGCCTGGTACAGAGCTGTATGCTACGATGTGTTCGTGGAGTTGGGATGGAGCCGGAGTTGAAGTAAAGTGCAAGTCGTACCTAGTCAAAGAAACTGGAGCCAAAATCAAATCCCCACAATCAGAGGTCCGGCTAGCCTAGCCGAATATAGCGTAGCATTCCTACCTAGTTGGTCTTACCTTGTTTCCGCACTATGGTTTTGGCTCGGCTCTGATGTTGACAGGGCTGGACAAGCGCAAGCGCAGGGCATGGGAAAGGAAAGCTTGGACTTGTGATTTCCGTTCGTGCATCGTTCGCGCCGCCGCCTCACTTCTGCTTGCTTCCTTTCCTCAGATACAGAAGTTCCAAGTTCCTTTCAGCACTTTGCCTTTCTTTCCCTGCATCGTTTTGCGCAGCTGCATACCGCTGTCATAATTCTGCCAATATTCACACATCTCCACACTTATAAAATCTACCCCGAGAACTTCGTTTGCCCTGCCCGCCACACCACGTCCCTTCGATGACTCTCTCCGAAGACCAGGCTGTCGCCTTCAAGAACGATGGCAACAAGGCGTTTGCTGCGCACGACTGGCCGACAGCCATTGATTTCTATACCAAAGCGATAGAGCTTGACGACCAGAAACCAACGTACTACTCCAACAGAGCGCAGGTACGTTCTCGGTCCTCATTATACTTGCTCGCGTGACTGACTCGGGATGAAAAGGCAAATATCAAGTCCGAGGCGTACGGCTATGCCATTGCAGATGCTACAAAGGCAATTGAACTCGATCCAAACTTCGTCAAGGTGTGTGTTCGCTGTGGGCCATAGAAATCTCAGGTAGTTGACCACCACCCAGGCATATTACCGCAGAGCCGTCGCTTACACGGCTATTCTGAAATCGAAAGACGCTCTACGGGATTTCAAGACCGTTGTTAGGAAAGCGCCGAATGACAAAGATGCGAAGCTTAAGCTGGCAGAATGTGAGAAGATTGTCAAGAGAGTCGCCTTTCTCCAGGCTATCGACCCCGGGGATGAGCCATCTGCCGCCCAAGGTCTGGACCTGGACTCAATGGTCGTAGATGCCAACTATGATGGTGCACGATTGGAACAAGAGATGACGCAGGAGTTCATAAGTGATATGTTGGAGCGATTCAAGAACGGAAAAAAGATTCACAAGAAATACGTTTATCAAATCATCTTGGCGGTTAAAAGGATCGTTTATGATGAAGCAACTATGGTCGAAATGGAGATTGAGGATGATGCAAATCTTACCGTCTGTGGAGATACACATGGTAGGTGGCTACTTCTTGTCTGAGAACTTTACTAACATCCTATGTTGGCCAATTTTTCGATTTAATGGAACTATTCCGATTGAATGGATTCCCCACGGAAAAACACTACTATCTGTTCAATGGCGACTTCGTTGACAGAGGCTCCTGGTCAACTGAAATTGCTCTTCTGTTGTATGCGTACAAATGGCTGCGCCCAGCCTCGTTCTTCATAAACCGTGGAAATCACGAGACCGATGACATGAATCGTGTTTATGGCTTCGAGGGTGAATGTAAGGCGAAATATAACGGTACGTGTATTTTCCTCCTTATTCTTGCAGGCATTTTGCAACAACTTTTATCCTGACCGTTTCTAGAGCGCATATTCAAGCTTTTCTCGGAGAGTTTCTCAGCACTGCCGTTGGCGACTCTGATTGGCAAGAAGTATCTTGTGCTTCACGGTGGTCTGTTTTCTGATGATAAGATCACTCTGGACGATATTCGAAAGCTCAACAGGCACAACCAGCGGCAACCAGGCCAGGCAGGATTAATGATGGAAATGCTGTGGACAGACCCACAAACCGAACCTGGTCGTGGTCCCAGTAAGAGAGGTGTCGGAATGCAATTCGGACCAGATGTGACGAAGAGATTCTGTGACAACAACGGCTTGAAGGCTATCATTCGCAGTCATGAAGTCAGGATGGAAGGCTACGAAGAAGAGCATGACGGGAGATGTATTACAGGTATTTGCCCTTTGAATTCGTCTATGTCGAAAAGTACTAACTTCTAAAAAGTCTTCTCTGCGCCCAGGTACTGTGACAGCACTGAGAACAAAGGTGCCTACATCAATATTGGCCCTGATTATAGACTCGATTTCCACAAATTTGATGCTGTCCCACATCCCAACATCAAACCCATGGTTCGTGACTTCCTAAACTCCGTAGTAAATCTGCTGACAAGGTACAGGCATATGCACAAAGCAGTCTCATGTCTATGACCTAACGAATTCAACACTAGAAAAGAGCACGCGCATCCCTTGAGATGGTTTCGTTACATACTCAGTATTCAAAGCATTGCGAGATGGCGTTGGACTTGGGATACCAGAAGCTGGTAGCGGACACCAGAAGACCTAGAAAGGACAGGTGTACAATTAAGGGATTAGATACCCGTCGCATGTTGATCAAAGGTAATAGAGATATGAAACGTGCTGCATATGCCGAACAAGCCCAATCCTCCTATGACCATTCTCTTATTTATTCCATATTTGATCCGCATCTCCTTGCGCAATCAGAACGCTGAGCCAGGCTCCTGAGGACTTGACTCTCCATCCCACGTTGCCATACACCTCAGTACCTCCGTTCCATCCTCCAACCGCTGCAAGCACAGGACTGAGATCTTCCCGAGGAACTCTGATCCAGGTTTCCCTCCCATTGACCTTCAAAACATCAATAGAGATTGATGAGCCTGTGAGTCCGAGAAATTGGCTTAGAGCAGACCCAATGTAAGAGCGGACTGTGAGAGAATCCAGTAGGAGATCTGGTGCATTTGATGATTCGGCGATGAGCTCGAGACAGGCATACGAGAACTGGTGTGTCTTCATGATTTTCGACGTGATTTCATGTCCTCTTTGGAGCATCTGTTGGGTTTCCTTTTGATCGGCAGTGCCTGGGATATTTCCGCTGCTCACCATCATGGACGAACCCCGTTTTGGGCAGCTGAGCTGGTAGTCGTCTGAACAGCTGATACCAAAGTAGAGTGCCGTCGCCGCTGGCACTTTTCGTTCAAGCTCGATGATTGCGAATGCTGGCCACGCAAATTGACGGCTATGGCAATTATGGGGCCAGGCCTTGCCTCATACTCTCTACGTACATGCAATTGTGCTTGACGATAATTCATACACGGCTTTGCTCCCATCTCATCCTTTGTTCTCGCTATCGTCAACATTTTCACGCTAAGCCAAAATGAGTGATAGTGCGAAATGAGAACAAAAGGTTGCTTCTATCGTCTCACATTGCCTTGCCTCTCGTTCTTGGGCCCGGACTTTAAGGTGATTGATATTTAGTGAAAACTTAAAGTTGTGAGAGAAAAATATCGTGCTGTGCCGAACATACAAGCTCAGGGTGAGCTAGATATATGAACCATCTTTATTTTCAGTAATGTTTTCTGAATTGCCAAGGCACTATTGATATCCTGTTGATTATACACGACTACTGGTGAACTTTAGATTCTACGAACGGCATTTCGTTAGACAAAGATGCAGGCTTTCGGTTACCCTTTCGCATTACCTACCCCTACTTCTCAGAATATGACCAAGCGGACAAATAAGCAAATGGCGTCAACCCTAGGGAAGTTGGTAAATCATTCCAGATTGTTGCTAGGGAACAGAGACCAGATTTAGACGCAGCAGAGGGTCATCTTGAAGTCGCTTCCCCTCGGAACTCAGACCAAGCTTCCCGCTCTGACAGCCTTCATTAACAGCACACATCAGCTTCTGTCGGTGTTCGAACGAACCACACATTTGATACCCAATCCCACCTACCTCAGTCTTATGACCGGAACCTATCATTCTCATTCTCTCTCACTCTCGCTCTGAATCATAATCTATCATTGCATACCATGTGGGACCTTCTCCCACTCAATTTCCCCTGGGTCCTTCCCTTGATGGCACAATAATTAGTCTCCAATCGCATGAAAATGTTCTTCATAGTAGGGGTAGCTCACAGTAGTTCGTCCCACTCGGAGTGAAGCCTAACTTTTCAAGAACCCTCCCACTTCTGCTGTTGTCCCTCTCTGTCTCTGCAATGAAGCGTCTCACACCTCTTTCAACCACAGCCCATCGCATAACAGCCTCTGCCGCAGTTCTCGCTATTCCCGAGCCCCAGCTACCCGGTAGATCAGTACATCGTTTTCCCGATGTTCCAGGCGGAAAAATCATGTACATGTGGCAAACTTTCTCGCATCATGGATGTTAGAAATTGAGCAAGAGACACACATACCACTTTTGTGCGACACCATACCTCAGCTCAACCATCTCACGCCAAGGCGGAAGGGGAGGGTCATCTGAGGCTCGCGGCGGCATAGATGTCGTGCTTGCGTCGCGGACACCTGCATATCCTACCCAGTCGACGGATTCCATGTGCAACAGATCGAGGTCATGTCCCACAAGAATCACAACTTCTTGCATCCCCTTTCCTAGTTCTCTTCCTTCGCAGTCTTTGAGTCTGGAGAGGTCACATTCCTCTGCGAGTCGGCCAACAGCGAAATCGCCCATTTCCGTATCTCTCTTCCAAGATCTTTCAAGGGCTGCTAATGTTTCCTCGTCGCTCCATGACCTTGCCGGGAACCCCTGCCCGAAGCCCATTTCACAAAATTCCTTGCTGGCATGGAGGCTGGCAAAGAAGGCTCGGTAAGTAGGCAGTGTTTTCGCAATCAGTGCAGGGACAAGGATTAGCGTTCTACTCCGGATGAGTAGCGCGAAGGGGATAAAGTGCTTCGTGTCTTCTACGGGCTCCATTGTTACTTCGTTTTGACGTGATGTAATGCAAGTTTTCGAATTTTTGGTTGGTGCTGTCACCAGTAGGAGTCTTCAGTTCTTAAGTGTGCTAGCTTCCGGCTGACAGCGGCTGATCTCGCCTCCGAAAAGTATTATGGAGCAGGGTTATTCAGGGGCTACAAGCGAGCGATTACGCGGTATGTAAATATCAACACTGCGTCTTGTCTTCGCATGAGTACCTGATTCGGGCTTGTTAATCAGAATCAGAATATGATAAAATGATAGGCATTTGTGTGATATATATCTGTACCGGTATGTTGCTCTATCACATCATTTGCTTGCGAGCATCCTTACAGGCAAAGGCAGGTAGGTGTAGATGGACTGTCCCCGGATAGTCTAAAGACAGTTCTTTCTTGTCATTCTATGATTTTCTAAGAACGTTCCTCGGACTGTCTTAGAATAGTACTTTAATTAGGGACAGTTTAGGGCAATTCGAAATTGCTACTTGAGTGCCTTACACTTAGGTATAACTTTTATTTATCAGAGTACCCCTATTGAACTATACTTAGTTGTACCTCACACGTTGACTTACTAAAGTGAACTTTTCACGAATTGATTGATTCAGTTACTCTTAAGAACTAGAAGTAGGAGTTGATCTTGTACAAGAGGTACCGAGTAATTAATTGAAGTGGAAAGAAATCGACTTCTATTCCTTTAAGGAACGAAGGGGCTCTTACCTTAGAGGTAAAATCCCTAAGAAAAGAACCGTTCTAAGACAGTCCGAGGAAGGGTTTTAATATGGAACAGTTCTTGTAAAAATAATCGCTATTAGACCGTCAGGGGATAGTCCATTTGCACCTGCCTTTGCCTCTAAGGATTAATGGCAAGGATTATTGTCGACATGTCACCTTAATGCCAGAAAAACAATTTTACAGGGCACAGCGCTGAAGCCAGGCGCTAAGATTCTGTAGGTTGCTTGTACTACAGTGCACGTGCACTAACTTTGGGCCCTGCAAAATTTGTATTCCGATTGGTATTTGAGGGCATAGATATGACTGCATGCGAGAACGTATACCTCTCTCGTTTTGGTAGCTATGAGTCTGTTGCGTCTCTCTCGGGGTGACTATCCAGTGCTACACATATCATGCAATACAAGCTTGGCTGTCTGTATATCTGAACTGGTTTTCGGACTTTCAAGCATTTCCCAATCACTATATGGATTAAGTTGCTAGTCTATTCTCCCCACTTCGGTATACTTATTAAGAATGGTAATGTAAGGCAATAGTCAGTATAGTATGAGTCAAGCCTATTCAGCGCAGGCTGAATATTGTGATCTTTTGGTCCTGTTAGTAGAGTTAGTATGAGCCTAACCTCAGTATCACTACAGGCAACCTCTGGCGACAGAGCTAGGAAGTTACGCCAGACGATACCCCCACTCGCTCAGTTACCGGGAAGAATGAGCTATAACACATATGACTTTTACTCTTGATACCGTGTGTAAGTAAATTTATAAGTTTAACTGAAAAATCATTGCTACCACTCGAATCCTCGTCAAAAATGAATCCCTGGTCCCTAGCTCTGATTGCGGCTTTGTCTTCTAAAGCTTTGGTAAGACTGAGCTTCACTCTTGTTGCATGACTTCAGGGTAAAGTTCGTTAACTAAATATGATTTAGAGATGATTCTTATTCTATATACCCTAAATGCTTGATGAAAGATAGCTAGCAATGACACGAAAATCATCACAACTTCGATATTGTATTAAACATTACTGTTGCTCCGAGTTGTAAATATATTCATTCAGATTCGGGTGTAGGAGCTACTCTGAGTCTCTGAGGCTAATCTACATTGTACCTTTCGGTGGGAAGAAGTACGACAAGGTGGTAAGTTGCATCAAATACCCAGCACATTACTTCAAGAAAAGTACATAAATAAAACTACAGCGACAAGTTTATGTACTCGAACTTCGAGAAGACGAACTTTTGTTTTGTTTCGTTCCAGGGAAGGCACTTGTTGAGATTTTGTGAATACGAAGTAGTTAACTTAGAAGACATCAACGACACTTCTATGTTTTCGTTAGCTAGGCTCATATGCCTGCTCAACGAAAGGACGTCCTTCGTCCCTACCTTAGATATATGGGCACATCGCATTGCGTCCACTCGTCCAGCAGACATTTCTTTGCACCACGTAGAAGGACATGGAAATGCTCCACCGCACCTACGCTTTGTAGCTTCGGGAGATTCTTGAAATACAAAACCCTATCCCCAGACACACCATCATTGCGCATTCGTTGAACGAAAGTTCGATCAACGAAATCCTCAACAAGGGACTTGGACTCGGATGTCAATCCCCCCCCTTCATTGACCGCTAGTCGCGTCTTCATCCACACAACCAGATGAGTTATATCATCTGTTAACCCATACGGCCAGTCGTTGTAGATGATCTTGTAGTCCGATTCGTCAGCGAAAGGTTCGGGGTTCTTTGGTTGGATCGGACAGTCCAGCGGCTGCGGTGACTCAGGATCGACCCAGAATAGACGACTTTGGAGAAGGAAAGTCGCGGTGGAACTTCTGTTTGAAATAATCTCTTGTGACCAGTCCATATAACGGCGGAGGATTGATGGTGATCGCGGCAAAATGGAGAGATCATGTCTGGCTAGTCGAGGTTAGCTATTAGATAAATAAGATCGGCGTATGAGAAGTGACCAGATGCAGAAGGAAATACCTATGGCAGTTTTGAGGTCTGTCCACGTATATGGGATAAATTCCTCATCTGACATCGAGAGAGTTGCTCGATCTGTTGCGGTCAGATGGAAGGGTGTCGCAACCATCTTGTGAGCCTCGTCGTATAAGGTTGATGAAGCAATAGTTAGCAGCAAAATTGGACTGAGAAGCTTCAAGGGCAGGGGGGAACTCCAAGCTTACTTAGAAAGTGATATTTGTTGTTGTCAGTAGCCAATCGAGTGATACCTGGTCGGGACAACGGCTTGTTCGGTGAGCGTTCAGTTCGAGCCAAAAGCGTTCCCAGGCTGGTCACACAATCCTCTACTCTGCGGATTCTCGATTTAGACTGTCACACCACACTACGCATGTCAATTCTCTTCAGAATCTTTTTGATCACCAGTCATCTAATACGCTTTTGTAAACATATTCGTCTTCACGACCTACTATAGGTATACGAAGGTAAATATCTCGGCAACCTTATCAGACGACATCCTTGCCACACACCTGAACTGCATATCTTAGGCCGAGAACTAGATCTTCAGAGTACTTGCATTCTATACCGATGATCGTTGATACGAGCTGTTACATGATTTAATCTGCATTCCCAGACAGCAGAAGCTGCAGAACCTATCCACTCTCACGCCCGCAGCTTAGCAGCATCCTAGCAATGGTCTAGAAAGAACGATTTCGCTGCCGCAATCACCAAATCCTGTTCCTCGGTGGTCATGTTGAAATGTAACGGAAGACGGACAAGACGCTGGCTTTCGAGAGTGGTAAAACAGTCTTCGCCTACAAAACGACCGGATTGTAGCCCGATACTGGAGATCAGACGTGGGGTCAGTCAATGAGCCAAAAATATTCGTCCGAGGTACGTAAATAATTATATATATGGCCTGTACTTACGGCCTTGAATGAAGTGGTGCGAAGTGCGCAGACGCAACTACCCCGTTTGCTTTCATGTGACGAATGAAAGCGTTCCGCTGGTCAAGTGATCGTAACTTGAAGAAGAACATGTGGGCGTTATGGGTACAGCCTGGGCATCATTGCATTATCAATATGATGACTGTGCTTCCTACCGACAACCCGCGGTCAAGGGAAAAGATAAAGGGGGAAACTAGTTCTGGGACGGAGGATTAAGCCTACCAGATGGGACCGAGGGCATGACTATGTGACCTTGGCTTGCCAAAGGCTGAAGATGAATTTCGTACCGGCTCCAAAACTCATGACTAGTTCCCCGGTCACGTTAGCTCAGATCAGAGATGCTGTAAATTGAAATACTGTACTGTATTCTCTGTACCATGGGTGCTTTCTCAAATTGAGCCCACAGGTATGCGGCCTGGACCTCTGACATGAAGAAGTTGGATCCGATATCTTCCCAGCAATACCGGCTGACCAGACCTCGAAGAAACTGCATTCGGTTCGTTCCGTTATCGTACACGATCTCTGCACGAGCGAGAAGCGATTCTTTATTAATGGATAGTGCACCACCTTGGCCACCTACGAGGATCGGGAAGTCAGCAATTGTTCATGGGTTCATATTCAGGGGACAGATGTGGGTTAATATACTCCTCCGATACCCGGCGTGAGTGAACGGTATTGGCTGAATAACTCACCAGATGTGAAGTTCTTGGTTTCGTGGAAACTGAAACAGCTGATGTCCCCGATGGACCCAAGACAGCGTGACTTGTAGGTGGCTGTAAGGGCTTGAGCCGCATCCTCTACAACAAGTAGATTGTATCTATCGGCAAGTGACATGATGCTATCCATCTCGCACGCAACACCTGCATACTTCAGGCACGTGGTTAGTAATGATGTCTTCCTCTTCTTAATTTATTTTGGCTCTATAAGTCGTGAGTGTATCATGATATATCCCTAATCAGTGTGACAATATCTCCGTAAAAACATTCGATAGAAGGAACAGCAAACTCACATGCACAGCCACAATGACTCTTGTCTTGGGTGTTATGGCAGCTTCGATCAATTTGTGATCGATGTTCATAGTTGCCGGCTCAACATCAACATACACAAGAGTTGCTCCTCTCAGCAGCCAGGCGTTTATAGTGGATACGTAGGTATATAAAGGTACAATCACTTCATCTCCAGGTTTGACGTCAAGAACTATCGCGGCTATCTCTAAGGCAGACGTGCAAGATGTCGTTAAAAACACCCTACCGCGACCATTGAGTTTGGCGATGAATTCTGAATAACGACAAGTGAAATCTCCATTACCGCCAAGGCATCCGCCGCCAGCAGCTGCTTTAACGTGTTCGATTTCAGCTCCCAAAGACAAAGGCTGATTGAATGGGATCAGAGAAGTGGCGTCCAGCATAATTATTCGGGGTGCGTACAAAATCCCAAGAGATGGCATATATAAGATGCGACAATAATACAACAATAGAGCCGACGGAGGTATTCTTACGTGATAAATACTAATGAAACGTGCTAGTTGCACGTAGTTCGATTCTTGATGGTCTTGCCGGATATTCGCATGAGCCGTATAGTGTAGAAGTCTCTAGGGAGAGGAAATGCGACCTAAGGAGGCCTTCTTCGACGAGGAGGCATTCTCAATGCAATGGAGCGTCAGACAGTATAACTGCATTCGACCTTGTAACCCCCACGAACTTCACTATCTTATCAATGCTACTACGGTTTCCGATATACTATTGACTAACAAGTGTACTGCAGAAATTTCTCTCTCACTATGACGTGACATTTTTACTAGATGTCCGGGGATGTATTACCACCTGAAGACGTGAGTTGTTGAATGATATACATATATTTTGATTGGAAACATATTCCTCTTCAGGTAGCGACCTACCCGATAGCTTCCAAAGGAATCTAAGGGCATTATCTCAGTGCTCATAAGGTGATACGACCTCTACCACGAGCCAATTGTTAAGACATAGCATGTGCCTCGGGAAGCTAGTTCTAAATGTCAGCTTGGCTTTAGAGACATACAGCGACACGAGGAGGTAACCAGCTCGCATCGAGGTGTTACGACATACAAAATCAGCTCAATTGTGCCTACGAGGTTTCAATGCTCGAAGCTAGCCGAAATTGAGCTTCGCAAAGGCGGCTAGTAGTTAGACAAGAAAGGTCTTACATCACCTCGCTTATTCAGAGGGTAAACATAACATTTCGGTTTTACCGGTCGGCATCGGATTCTCTGCCCGAATGGCTCCATAGTTATGGGTGTCTGTCTATCACATGCTTCATTCTCCCCTTCATATGGCTACATTACTTGGTAGTATGTACTTCTTGCACGCCCTACTTATTAGTAAACTCGGCTGCCTGCCTAGCTATAGAGTGCTCTTCCTTTACAGAAACATTTTCTTCAGATATTTCGTGGATTAAAGCCAACAGAATACAGGTTTCTTATATATATTATAGTTAATGTCCTTCTGTACGCTATGAGGTTCTGGTGTACTGTACCCCTCATTCAAAATTAGCGTGCTTCAAATACGGATATGGATACCTCCGTACGGACGTATGCCAAAAACCCCGCTAAGTTTATGTAGCTGTCGCAATAGATAATCCTGTCTATATAGCCTGTCATAAGTTCGACAGATCTGCCACTGATGCACTTTAGGCGTACCGGCAATCTCGGCAGCGAGTATATACATCTTCGCTCTCCGGATGCTAGACTGGCTACCACTAGTAGTTGTACTTTGTGTCGTTTTATTGCCACTCTTTACGCATAGTTCTATGTACAAGGGGAAGTTTAAGGGTCTTAGCGGAGAGTTCTCGTCTCCGGTGATACTAGACTTGACGCAATGTAGGTGACAACATAAGCGTGTCGATCAAAAGTAATCGATAGCCTCTGGATATGCCACATACTGGCGAGACACGTATCACAGCATAATACTTAGGTCAGTATAACTCGTGCCTACCTAGGTGGTACTAATCTCGGAGATACTATTAGTAACGGCAAAGTCTCCTAACAAGCCGAGCAAAATATTCGGTCCCAACGTATATCTAGATGCTCTCTGTGGACATAAATGCCAAAGGTACACTTCATAAATTATCATCGAGAGAAGGGGAAAGGAGAGAAAATGAATCCAGTCCCTTTGAACGGAACACCACAGATTCATCCTCGGCTGCCTCGGTTGCTCAAATTCCGCTCTTCACACCTCTTTATTATTACCACTATCTGTGCTACAGCATTCACAGTCAGTTCTAGGTACTTGAATTGTATTAAGCAATACTTTAGCTAACTTAACACATTAGGATAGTTTCATTTACGCTATTATGAGGGCTGCGTCTTCAGATGAATATATGGTTTCTAACCTCTGCAGTTTGTGCTAGTCTTACCTTTCTCGCTGTAAGATAGGTACTATGTTATCCCTGAAAGTAGTATAAGCGTCTAATAGCCATTTAGTGGATTTGAAGTCCGCTAACACTAATAGTTCAGAAATGGACGTCTGGGCTCCTCGGGATATTTAGTGCCGTTGTACTAGTAGGATCCCGTGAGTTACTAGAAGTTACAGATACTATACTCAGGCTGTGCTGAATTCTAGTAGCAATTATGGGTTTAATCTCCGATAGTGGAAAATCTAGGAAGTCGGCATATACGTTTGGACTTGTATGCTTAGTTAGTGGTATCTCTACTCTTGCTATCACAAACCAGCTTTAGATGCTAGTTATTAGTAGAATACTTTAAGGCATTTCCGCAGCAGGTAAGTGTAAGCAATTCAGAGCTGTATTTTGTCGACTGATCCGGGAAGTGGTGTTTACGGTTGGCCTAGCAATCGTGGCAGACACAGTCGAACCTAAGGATATCGGATATTATATGGGCTATGTCATATCATGGACGAGTTATAGAAATCTCATAGGTCCTTTCTTTGGGAGCATTGCTTTCAATTTTACTAGCCACTTCGCTGTCGTGGGATTAATAGGATTAACTGCGCTCGTCGATATTCTATTAAGGCTGTTCATGATTGAAAAGAACGAGGCAAGGGAGTACGAAGCATCCCTCGATGCTACAGAAAGCACTAGACTCCTGACAAGCTGCTCACAACCTCTACCGATTCCCCCAACAAGATGGAAAATGTTCAGCCTCCTCGCGAATCCCAGAGTGGCAACAGCAATATACGGGGTATTTATACAGTGAGTTTGTTTCATATCCTCGATTGTCTTTTCTGATTTTGATTTGAATTTGTCTCGGTTAACTCGCCTGTCTCGCGGGATTATTGTCTTTCCCGGCGAATACTAAATTACAAACAGCGTTGTTATAATAGCGAGTTTCGATGCAGTACTGCCTATTCTTTTAGGCGAGGTTCTCGAATGGACTTCTTTAAAGGTTGCATTGTGCTTCTTAGCTATTGCTGTTCTAAACACACTTCTCGGCCCTGTGGCAGGAATACTGTCAGACACGTGTAGTCCGGTGTAGCCTGCCTTCCTTGGATGTATTTTGACCTCTATTCCAATGATTCTCCTCCAACTGGTTCACGAGAACACTAATGAATAAATATAGCTTCTCTACGGTCTCCTAGTAGCTGTTGGTGTGTAAATACCTGAAATTTCAAATGTGATATTTGTAGGCTGATATCCTAGAAAGGTACTGCTGCAAGTTTAATTATATCCCCTCTCGCAGTAGACCTATTCCTTGTCGTGGATATACATGTGAGTCGAGACTCGCCCTTAGGGGATGCTCGAGAGATGGATACTATATGTGGATTGTTTACTTACTTCTATAGGTCTCCGATAGTGATAAGCCCGCTTATGCACAGTCATATGGACTTTTCACCTCTGCGATGGCGGGTGGCACTCTCATAGAACCTGTGCTCGGTGGGTACCCGAAAGAAACATTTAGGTGGACAGCTATAACATGGGGTCTAGGTATATTCGTTGCCTTTGGTACTATCTCAATTGTTAGTCTATCATGTTCTTTATGATTTCTTTACTAATATTTACTCTCTAGTATCTCTTTACTAGATAGATTAGAAGTGAAGAGGTTAGAGAGATTATAGAAGATTAATTAGTTAGTATATATATATATTATAGTAGGGCCACCTAATTTTAGTGCTTAGTGTAGTAGAGAGAGGTTATGTTATTAGTATAACTAAGCGATAGTACTTCGAGATTTTGAATTATTACTCTTTTAGATTATTATTTTTAATAACACTACTTAAGATTATTATAATAATTACTATTATTTTTTTTCTTATATAAAGCTTAATATTTTATAGTGCTATTAAGAATTTATAAGATATAAAAATAATATATAATAGTCTCTTAAGTAGAGCTAATACCTTATAATAGTACTATTAATAAATAATTTGGCCTAGTAGTAAGATTAAACGATTTTTTATTAGAGGTTACTAATACTTAAAAATCTACGAAGATATAAAGTACTACTTCTCTTATAAGTAAATACCTACTATCCTAATAGGACTACATATTAATAAAACTAAAAAGACTTTATATTATTAGTAATATTATACTAGTAAATAAATAATAAGTATATATTAATATATATTAAAATTAAAGATTTAATCTGAAGGTATTTAAAAGTATATATTATAAAGAGTATCTAAGGGTTAAAATATATATTACTTTTCAAATAGCTCTTAGCTAGCCTTTATAGAGAGTTCTTCTTTTAACTAAAGTACTTATTTCTTTTAATTACCTTTTATATTTCTATTACATAAGTCTATAGACTAATACTAGTAAAACTTCTTTTGGAAATAAAAGGTTTCTTTAAAAAAAAAAGAAACTAAAGATATAATAAAATAATAAATATTTAAATCATAAGAATTAATAGTTAGACTATATTTAGTTACTATTTAAAAGTAATTCTACTAATAAGTAAAAATATAGATAAATTATGATTTACTATTAAATAATATCTTAAAATATAAATAAACATATAAAGAATTAAATATTATTATTAATTTATTATATAGCTTTAAAAAGTCAGAGAGTTAATATTTTATCTAGATATAATTAATAATATAAAAGTAAAAGATAATAGTAATATAATAGTAATAATAGTAAATACTATTATATTATATTTAAATTAAGTCTAAATTTAGTATATTTACTTATATAAAGATAACTTTCTTTTAAAACTCCTTTCTTTTTTTATTAAATAATAATAATAACTCTTATAAGTTTAAAATTAATACTATTTACCTTAGAGATTCTTACTAACTAAGAGATTTCTTTAGAAGATATTATAATAATAGAGGTTTTTACTAATATAAATAATACTAATCCTTTACTCTCTTAGTATTCTTTTAGTTATATTTTATATATAATACCTTAGCTTTATTAATTATTAAAACAAAAATAAAAGATTATATAAATTTAAGAGTTCTTTTAGTAAGA